TATATATATAAGCGTCGCGTAAAATTAAAGTTATTACACGTACGTAACAAATAATTATTAAATATGATTTCTACTTTGTTTACGCAATGTTTATCACACAAAAGAAACGTACAAAATGTTTAAGTCTCTCATGCTCCCGTTCTGTACGGGGAGTCATTACTATCCGCACAACTTCTTGTCTCTTTCTACGTCTGTCAACACGATTTCGATTCCACGCTTCGTCCAGCATTATATGTCGATCGCTTCGACACGGGGAAACGCATTGCACACGCGTCCCGGTAACCCTTCCGCCGGCCGGTTGTATTTTAACAATGTTACAGTGAATCAGGCGGTCGTGAGGCGCCTTTAAAAATAGCGGCATACATATACGCCGCAGCGGGTGGCTTGTAAATAATAAAGTACACGTACATCAGGAAACTTCGAAAGCCGCGGTGGGACGAGTAAACAAGACGTCGGTGGGACGTTGAAAATTTTACGCCAAGTCGACGACCCTTTCTGACCGCCGCCTCTCGCGCGACGCACTTGACATTTCCCAGTCATCGTCAGCTATGCGCGCGAATCTCTCTCTCTCTCTCTCTCTCTCGTTGCCGTCTACTCGTGTCAATTAACTCCGTCGTCGGGATCGCAGACCTTCCGCCATTCTTGCCACCCGCGAAGATTGACATTTATTTGCAAGCACGAATAAACGGGCATAAACGGGCGGACGCGCGCGCTCATGACACGACGGCTCTGACTGTGTCCGCTCGTTTTTCGTCGCCGCGTCGTCGCTTTCATCTCACCCGAGTGTTCAGCCCATCCCTTCGGACGCGGCAGCGACTCTCCGGTATCAATCATTTGCTCTGTCGATTAAACGTCGTTAATAACTTGACGCGCGCGATATTCGCGATTTCTATTCCTCCTCCTCCGCGAGAGAGGAGCGACGTGCCATAAATACGAGAACGTCAAACTAATGGAATCATATCTCATTGACACGTTCCCTGGGCTTGATCGTCGCGCGATATTCAACGCCGCGCTCCTCTCCCCTCGTCCCCCCAATTTATGAGACTTTACTCTCGACCGTGCAACTTAGAAAAATTACTTAACATTGTATCGTCGAGATCGCGCGTGCTGTGCGGTCTGAAAGGAGACTCGACTCGATTACGGGGAATATCTCGCGCGCGCGCGCGCGCGTCAGTTTCTTCTGTTTTCTCCTCGATAATGGTCCTCTTTTCTTCGGGGGCTTTTGTGCCAAGTTCGTTGCCTTCCGAAATTCTCACCCTACGCGCGATCCCCCCCCCCTCCCCCCGCTCGTTTCTCTTCCTTCTCCTTATTGTCTCGCGTTGCACATTAAACCGGCCACAGAGAGCAGCGCGGCGGGATTCAATATTTACAGAGTTCTCGTGTATGGACCATTCCGCCTTGTTCGCTCGCACTTTATCCCCTCCTCCTCCTCCCGTAGGAATTTTCTGGTTATTGTTGTACGCCGTGCTCATAATATTGACCCCCCGATACCGTACTTTTCTGTTTCATTCCGGTGCAATACGTCCCGCTTCCGGCCGCTCTTTGTTCAACGCGCGACAGCTGTCACGATCGATCGCGCCACATTCATTCGGGTAACGTTTCGAAACTTTTTTCATTTATTTACAACCTCTGTTCCTCGATTTTGTAAAATTCTCGCGCAAATGTATGACAGAGGTAATGTCGCGCGCACGACACTCCTGCCGAGCGGGAGATCCGACACAAGCGCGGCGTGTATTTTGTTTGCAGAGTCGACTCCCAATTGGCTGTTCCGGCCCGTGTCGCGACGGTAAATCGTATTTTGTATTTTAACCAATAATTGCAATATTATCTCATATTCGAATCGTGCGCGAGGTGATTACTCGAGCGGCTCTGCTCCGATCGTACGTGTGTCTTCTCCGTTCGACCACTTCCGTGAGTTGCTCCGTGACAGCAAGGGGGGCTAACGCGACGGGGTAGAGGGAAAGTAAATATCCAATGAAACGTTTACTCGCGAAAATTCATCTCGAATTTGATTACACATATCTTACGTGGATAAAAGAAAGCACAGGCAACCTGGGATATTCTGCATTTTGTAATTTTAACCAATAATGTTACACGACACGCTTTATCCCTCTAAGTTCAACCATTACAATAGTGATTGGTCAGATTGTGTGACCAATCATCGTAACGTGGGATGCTTTCTGGGACTCACATAAGAGAGATGGAAAGAGAAACATTCTTCCTCTTACGTGGGTCCCAAATATTTTAAGGTAGTTCTGTAAGAGGAAAATCTCATTTATATGTGTGGAAAGTTTCCAAATAAAAAATACCTTGGATCTTAAAGGGTTATTATTAACAGAAGCGACCGGCGTTCACCGCTATGAATGTTCAACGAACGGCCGAGACAACGCGGCCTTGTGCGCAATGTCTTTCGACAAATCACATTTCTAAGCCATCCTATCATTTCCCTTCCTCCTCTCTCTCTCTCTCTCTCTCTCTCTCTCTCCCCCCGTCACTTCCTTCTTCCATCGTCGATGTTATTTTCAGCCCATGCGCGGCGGCACTCGCTTCCCCTTTGGAGTTCCTCCTGGTGGTTTCGCGCGACCGACCGACTGCACGCGGTCCGTTCATAATAATTAGCAACGCCAACGAAAATAGAACTCTCGGTGGCACGACATGGCACCAGGATAACGCCGGCCGACCATCCAGACGAACAGACGGACGGACGGATGGACGGGAGAGACGGACAAGCAGACGGTTTACAGAGCGACATTATGACGCCATAATTCTGCGATACGCCCCTATATTCGCCGCTGTTACGGCCCGCGAATATTCCGACGGAGCGCATTAATAATGCTTTGACTTCGGCTCCGCGATGGGACGCATATATTATATGCGATGCAGAGCGCGTCAAATCGATGATACGCGTGCATTCGCTCGCGTAGACTCTCGCGTGACTGCCGCTTAATAACGCTTAATAACAATCCGAGGACGATCACATTCGCGCGCGCCCATTTCGCAGCAATCGTCCCGCGCGCTTCGCGCATTGAGTCGTAAAACTCGATTTATTCCGCCCGTGACGACAGTCTTTCGCGCTGCTCCTCGCGATCGACGCGTCTTATTCCGGCGGGGAAATCAATGGTCATCGGTCGCGGAGCGAGACTGGTCGGTTGGAAATAGCCTGGCGGTGATTCGCGAAATCCGAGCGAGCACTGTTCTCGCGGCCGACTTTTCGCCGAGATTCGCTTCGGGAATTTCATGATCGATTCCCCTTTCAGCACTGTACATTTCGTGCACGTGAAATGGAAGAAATTGCCACGCCGATGAGGGTAAAATTAGTTAATTTCTCGGAGATCGAACTTCGAAGGACTCTCCATCGGCGCTTATTTCGGTAGTCTGACGGATCTGGAACGGCGTTATTACACGGAAAAACGCTATTTTAATGGAATTGGTCGACAGCGCTGCAATTGGAATAAATTTTCTTCTCTTTGCTCAGTAGAAATATTATCAACTTTCCGCCGGCAAAATGTAATTTAGTACTTTCCGTCTGCAATATGGGTCTTTGATGCAGGTTTTCACGCTGTTCCGGACTATATGAAATTTATTTTTAATTTTCGTGTATTTTGAAAGCTTTAATAATAAATTTTTTCAATCGTAGAAGTCGGAGCGCATTTTATATATTTTTTACAAATTGAAATCAGAGCAGAAACATCGAGAAAACGGGATTTTAATAAAAATTCATAACTTTTATATGAGAAAAAAAATCCTTTTACGCTATAATATTTAAGAATATATATTTTCAAAAAAAATAATACATAATGATAATTTTTCTTATCTATGCATTTTGAAGGCAAAATCTTTATATATTCATTGAAATTAGAAGATTTATTTCAATTGCGGCGCTGTTAATTAATTCTATCGAAACAGCATCTTCCCCGTATGATGATTTTCGAAGAAGTGATCACGCGTCTTGAGAATCTCTACACAGTCGCGAGCGTACTCCGCGATTGGTTGGCAACGAGTTAATCTATTTTGCACCAAGAGAAAGAAAGCGGAGCTGTTTTCAATAGTCAATAAACCTTATCATTAATAAGAGCGTCATAATTCGTTCATTACTTTGCAAACGAGACTACGCGCGTTTTGCATATCGAACGCGCGGTGTGTCAATTAATTGTGCAGCAATTGTATGCACGTTCATTGTATACACGTCACGTAAAGTACATGATTATTTTATTGACCGTCGGAGGGCATGTCGTTTCACGGTGTGATAAATAATTTCTCGCGATGTCGCATTTTTAATGTTGTTAACATAATGATTGTAACATAAACAATGGCGAAATATCAAACGAGCTATTACAATCAATTCCGTGATCTTTCGCGCACACGCGCGCGCGCGCGGCCTTCTCGTTCATACGTGCGTTCGATTGGCGGGCTCGGCTAATATTACAAACGTGACTTACATGACATTCTATTATCATTATGTTCTCGGACTCCCGACCGAGAACCGCTCGAATTCAGATTCCTGACCCGACCAGGCGTGTTTCGCCTCGAGTTTCTAAGCCTCACGTGTGTTATCAAGACACGTCGCGTAAGCAGAATCGCATAACAAACGCGACTTGAGTTCGGCGAACGACCGAATACAATCGTTAACACGTGTGTATCAATTCGGATACTCTCTTGTCGGTGCGTCTGAAAGCCTTCACCGTTTACTGTTGAATTTCAAGCCCACAATCACTAATGAATCAATTATAAAACTAGCTTTTCCGGGGATATCGATGTAAATATATAAAGAGTAGAATATAAATTCCGCAACGAGCAAGAGAGGAGTCTCGCCGAGTTAAATCAGTTTCTTTCGACTTGAATTAATTCCCCCCCCCCCCCCGGAAGTGGTTAGCGCCNTTTAATTGAAATGAAGTACTGTTTATAATCGCGAGCGCTTATTACTCAATTAAAGATACTTCCAGGCGTATGTGCACATTCGTCCATCCATTTGAACCGTTCGTTTCTGCCTTTTGCTTCAGGGCGACTCTGGGTCGCATATGCATGAAACTCGTGATCGTGATGGGCATCACCTGGGTGGCGGATGTAGTCTCATGGGCGGTCGGCGGGCCCCAGTACATCTGGTACTTCACCGACTTGATAAACGCTTGCCAAGGAGTGCTGATTTTTGCGGCGGTCGGCTGCCAGCCGCAGGTCAGAGCCGCGCTGAAGAGGCTCTGCAACAGGAACCCGCAGACCAACGCCGGAAGGCAGGGTAACGGCCACAGCACGACCAGCCACGGGATGCCCAGCATGGGCGATAGCGTGACGCAGAATCCGAGCACCAAGACCGCACCGTTGGAGACCATCTGCTAGGGTGGCTTTTTCTCCCCCTCCTTTTTATCTCTCCCTCTCTCTCTCTCTCTCTCTCGGCGTGCGCAGCTTCCGAACAAGTTCGCCCCGACGATATGGACGCGTTCTCTGGGACATTTTCTCTCGTCGCCGCGATAACCAAGTAACCTTAGCGACGAGTCCCCCCTTCGTCGAGGATCGTCGGAAGTACCGCGAGAAGCCTCTCGCAATTCGCTGCAATTCGACCGCTCTCGCGACTTCCTCGACGGAGAGCGCGTGCGTTCCCGTCGCGAGATTACGCGGGCGACGGTCGGGCCGAGGAGAGGGACCGTAAGTCGCGGCTTTCGTTCGGCAGACGCGGAAACTCCCCGCCGGCGAAATAATTGTACCTCGTGCTTTCCACGAGTCTTCTCCGTCGCGCGCGACGCCGACGAGCATCGTTCTCCACGCGAACGAGATGCTTGAAACGCCGTGAGAAGAGATGTCCGCGACGCTTTTCGCGACGGCGCGAATCTCGATCGTTCACTTGTAAATCACAAAAGAGTTTCGGGCGAGATGTTCCCCATTTTTCCCCCGTCCGGTCTTGCAATTTCGGTATCAGATTAAAGCACTCCCCAACCTGATCATAAATATATGTGCTTTGGAGTGTAATCATTTACCGTTTCAGAGAAAATAGCTTCGGAATGTTTCAATCCCGACAGATGAAATAATCGCCGTCTGTCAGAATTGAAATCTTTTTCATTTCCTTTGTAATGGCAAATAGTTACGCCTTAAGATGTATATATATATATATATTTGTAATCAGCTCATTGTGAATATTTTAATCTGATACCAAAATTGCATACGAAATCGAGTGGGAAAAAAATCGATATGGACGTATATGGACGTTTGGCCGCGCTCCTTACCAGGAAGCGACACGCGGCCACGGCTAAATAGACAATGACATGCGGTTACTCTTCGGGCCTCGTTAACGCGGGCAGAAACAAGCGTGATTTATGATGACCGAGACGCGCGAGTTGATACTTCTTCTACTCTTTTTTTATTTCTCTTTTTCCCCACAGCGCGCGCACGCCGGCAACATTCATTGATATTAATAATATCGGCTGACGATATATGTATATATATATATACACGTGTGTTTGCGTGTGCGTGTATGTTATGTGTGAGAGCGAGTGATTACATCTCCCTGGTAAGATTAATCACTTTTAACGATAGACGTAAATGGAGCATCGTTGTCGTGCTCAATTGGACACGAAGATTATCGACGAGCGCGCGACGATCACGACGGCCGGTTCGCGAAGCGTTCGCGCGAACGATCAGCCGTTTCGTTTTTTTTTTTCTACTGTCTTTTACACCAGCCAAAACTTGCGACCACCACACGTGATTCTGCTCTACTATTTACTGAAATTTATACAGCAATTTGAGAAAGCGCGATTTTCCGCGATTTATAAAGGATCTTTTTAGGAATCTACGAAATCTGATATACTTCGTCTGGGAGGTTTTACGTTGCGGTTCATCGCGCCCGTGGCGCAACACCCCGAGGATCAACGTTCGACGAGGTTCCGGTGCGCGATTTCTTTAACAATCTAACGATAATCGTCTCTTCATACTATCTCTCTCTCTCTTTCTTCTTCTTTCTCGTCTTCTTCTTCTTCTTCTTCTTCTTCACTCGAGGTCCCGGATATACGAAAAAGGTTCAGGCTGAAAGAAACGGCGAACGACCTCGCCTCGCGTTCGTATTGCCTCGTATTACCGAAGGACGATCGGTTCATCGTGAGCCTCCTCCGCGGGGTCCTCCGCCTTCCTTCATTATTCATCGGATGTTATCGAATCTAGGAGCAATCGTTTTTCCGTTTCCTTTAGCATAAATTTGCATCGGCGTCGTTACCCTGGCGGGACCGCTCTCCTCCTCCCACTGCCCGGCATTAACATGTAACGTTGCAGCTTTCCAGCGCAATCTATCGCTGATCAGTCCGGACGGGGTCGCTGTTCGTTGGCGAACGAGCGAGCGAGCGAGCGTGTGTAAAACGAAACAAAACGAAAATAAATAAAAAAAGGCCGCTTCGCGCGCGTGTTGTATACCGCCGGGCGCGATATACAGCATGTAAAAAACGGTTCCGCACGTTCGCGTACACACAATTTACTGACCGTGCGCGTCGCTCTCTGCACGAATAATCCGCCCGCGCTCGCGATCGCTCGCGATCGTCCTTTGCGCCTTCTCGCCATCCCGGGCGCGATTTTTTACACGAGAAAGAGAGAGAGAGAGAGAGAGAGAGAGAGAGACCGAGCGCTCTCCGGTTTCATCTCGGATCCAGATCGCACTGGAAACGCGCGTATAGGTATGTATATACGTGTATCGATATCCGAGGTACTCATGCCGGGAGGAGGGAAAGTCCGGAGGAGGAACTCACCCGCGCGCAACGTAAGCGCAGGAAGAGAACGTTCGCGGGAACGTTCGCGCGAGAGGAGATACTAATGATATCGAACACACGAGCACGTGGTGTCGCAATCAAGGCGCGGCTCCGATCGAAAAGGAGGCGGATGGGATACGCACACTGAGAGAAAAATATTACACGATATTTGTAATCATCATACAAGCGAAAGAATTATAGTCAGGAGAAGCATTTTTCCAATTAGTGTTGCTGTACACAGTAAAAATGTCGGGTTTAAAACGGGGTTCACTGCGATTTCGCGTTACTTTAAGACGAGCTTAACGCATTCCACGTGTTAAAGTAACACAAAATTTCGGTGAACCGTGAAACGTAAATTTTTTACTGTGTAAAAGTATCAGTGATAATAACTTTATATCCTAATAAACATCAACTGATAGTGTGTAACATTACAACAATGTAATATTAATATAATTATACACAATTTTCCACTCAGCAATGTAATTGTCGTAACTGTTAGAACGCATGTTAATATTACACTTATATTGTTGAACGAGAAATTATAACACTGATGTAGTGTTACTGTTAGTTGGTGTACCGAAAACAGCTGAAACAGGCAATGCACACGGACGTGACTTTGCCTGTGTATGCGGGTATCGTCTCCGATTCCTTTTTCGATCGAGCCGTGCTTTGATTTCGGCGTCGCTGCACACACGAGATTCGAAAATCGAACTATGCTAACCGCGACTGCCGACTTTTCGGAAGAGCTTTTTCCTCGACATCTCTGAAAGTATCCGCGAGATACAAAGTAATAGCTCTCGCGAAACAATACAACGAAGAAGAATCACCTCGTCGCCGAGGCCCGGGCCTCGATGACGAGGATTTTTTAACGACTTTGACGCGCGACCAGCCGTGTTCTCCCCGCGGCAAAGGCAATCGCACAAAGGGGAAGACACAGACACACGAGAATGCACGCTCAATTATTAACGTGAATTAACGAGCGCGCGTCTCGAGAGATGTAGATCGCGCTCCGTTCAGCGCCGAAGAAGTGAGGTGTCGGTTTCGAATGGCTTTTCTTAATCGTACAAAGCAGGGAGAGGAATTTCGCATGCTCGTAGGTAGGTCAAGGCATAATAATTGATGTCAACTCGCGACAATACACACTAGGAATTCAATGCCTTTTGAAATGCCTTCCAAATGCGGCGCGTCAGTCCGACACGTCGAATTGTATACAAAGAGAGAAAGAGAGAAAGAAAGAAAGAGAGAGAAGATCGGTGCACGACACGCGTCGCTCTTACCTTCGCGCGAATTTCTCCCCGCGAATGACTCTCCCGACGACGATTCCGTCGTCGTGCGTTCCCGCCGATCGGCGGCAGTAAAGAGCCGCAGTGGTGTTCTTAAGGTGAGTGTGCACTGAGTGAGCGAACGACAGCGAATGTGTAAGGCCGGGAACACATAGGAAAATATTAGTAGTAAGACCTGAGCGGTAAAGAAATTGATCGACCAATCAGTATGTTTCTCTATGCATTTCTAAAGATGATAGAAGTAACTAAGATTCCAACCAGTTGTGATCCTAGTTACTTTTCTGCTTAAAGTCAAAGTTATCGTCACTTCTATCGTCGTTTGGAACGCATAAATCTAAAAAAATATTGGTCGGTCTATTTCCTTATTTAAGTCTTACTGCTTACATTTTCTATGTGCCACTAGCTTAAGGGCTCCACGATGCTAGATTTCAGTCCGAGTTATTGATCGGATGTAAAAGTTATTAGAAATTAGTGCAATATTAATTAACATCTGCAATATTTTCTAGGACCTCTTAAGGTGCGTATGCACTTAGCGAACGAACAGTAAACGAACAGAGAATGCAAAGTTTCATTATTACATTTTAGAAAATGCGTATATCGAACAAATTCGAACACAATTTTTCAGGCAGATTTGCTTATAAGGTGGCTTATCAGACGGCTTTGAAGAAAGTTCACGCGCGTTTAAACAAACGTGAATACATTACACATTCGTTGTTCGTTCGCTATGTGTATGCGCCTTTATTTTCTGCCAACAAACCGAGATCTGACATCGTAGACATAATCCCTGATATATTCGTCCAAATTCACTCAACTTTCTTTGATAAATCACCTCGCGAGCAAGTCGGTTCTGTTCGAATTCGTGTACACATTTGTCAAATTGTAACAGCGAATGTTTGTATTCGCTGTTCGTTCCTCGTTTGGTTCGCTCAGTGTACAACCGGCATAATAAAAATTGCAACGCTTTTCTTTCGATGTGCAATAGGAAATTTCGATGACGCGTTTCGCAACGCTTTCGGTGTGCAATAGGAAAATTCGTTTTTTTTTTTTGTAATTTTCAAGAAATACATTTTCCAAATCGAATACGAAGTACGTTGCGATATACTCATCGATAAAAAAATGTTGCAACTTTTATTACGTCCACTGTACAATAGTGGACAGAAAGGGTTGCAACACTTTTTTTCAAGGAGTTTCGGAATGCATCCCGGTAGGAGAATTTGTTTCTCAGCTGTTCTCAGGAGATACATTCTCTTCCTTGGATACGAGATGCGTTGCGAAACTCGTCGAAAAAAAAGTGTTGCAACCTTCCTCTCCACTACTGTACACCTAGCTTTATGCGCGGTGGACCTTCCGTCTCTCTCCTCTCTCTCTCTATGCACTTTCTTCCTCTTTTTCTCTCTCTCGCTCGCGATCGAGAAAGAGCAGTTTTTACTTTTAACGATACGCGAATGAGTTACGACACACGAGTTCTCGACGATGTTCCGTGTTCTTTTTTTCTTTTTTTAGTTTATGTCTCCGAGAGCAGAGGGAGATTCGTCCGTCGCAAGGCGAGAAAATGCGCGCGGACGTTTTACTTCGAGACGAACGTTTGGTGTTTCTTCACCCCTTCATTTCCTTTTTTTTTATCTCGTTTTCCCTTTTACCGTATGCGACGCATAAACGAAGAACGATGACGCTTTCCGCAATCGCGCGACTCGGATCGCGATTGCCGTCGGAAGCAGCCGCGATAGGTTCCGCGGTGGGTTCGCATAATCGCGGAACCTCGCCCTCGAGTTTTCGAGCCCCTCGCACGAGATTGGCGTTTCACTCGAACGCGCTTAGACATTAAGGGAGTCATTTCTCTCCCTTTTTTTTTTTTACTTTAGTTTTCGTTTCGTTTTTTTTTTCTCCTTTTGTTTCGTCAAACGCATCCAAGAAGAGACTGATACGCGCATCTCATTAGCCACGATCAGCCGAGGTGCTGACATGGGGCCTCGATTGTGCATCTTTGCCGACTTCTCTCACATCTCTCTCGTACTTTCATCTCATGCGAACGAATCCGCGCGATTGGCTGTAAGCTGAAAATATCCCCGCGACACCGTTCGACGCCACTTGACACGAAATTACTCATCGAGCAATCTCGCCGGTGATATCGCATTTTCATCATGGCGGAAGTTATCCGATCGAACGAGAGCTCACTTTTGTAATTCTCACCGTGTTTCGGGATGCACAATCGATGCCCTCTGATCTCTCTGATGTGAGAACATCTCGCCCCACCTTCGCGCAATTACCATTTCCCGATAAACACCAACTAATAATAACATTACAACGATGTTATAACTTTCTCTCAACAATGAAGCCGTTGTACACAACGCATTGTTATATTGCGCTTACATTGTGAAATGAGAAATTATAACGTTGATTTAATGTTACTGTTGATCGATGTTTATTGAATTGTCGAAGGAAAAAGCCACCGGGCCGACGAATCGACTGGAATTGCGGTCTGAATATAGTTTCAAAGTTTCGAGAAAACGAGAACCCGTTTTTCCCAAATTTCCCGCAGATTTTTCTGGCTTCTTACTTTCTTTACTTGAGAGAAGTAAACGTGTCAGGTTTTAACCGAACGCATTTCTCCAAACGAATTTTTCTACTCTTACGACAAAAATCGAGGAAATTCGCAGAAAAATGGGGTTGGGAGGGAAAAACAGTTTCTTCCGGAACTTTGAAACTATGTATAGGTTTGAGATTCAAGCGATTCGTCTGAGATGGAACATGCTCTCGGTTACGTTGCGTCTCGTCACAGTTTTATCGTTTCGGACGATGTATGACGACGTCGCCTGGAATACTCACCGCAGAGCAGGGGATAAACCCGGTGGTGTAAAAACGGCCGAGTCGTTTCCGACGGTCCAGAAGGTCAGGTCGTTCCTCGGCGAAACTTCGTTAGTTCCTTTTTCTTTTCTAGTACGTACGAGACTGTGTGCAAAGTGACGTCGTCGCCGTCGGTTACTCCGCTTTCCTCTCACTCCGTCCCGCCATCGGCAGGGACTCGTGCCGACTGATCGATCGATCGTTCTCTCGATAGCGCGATCACGAGACAATCGATTTTCCGCGTATTTTCCTATCGAGGAAATCGACTCGTGCGGAAATCGAGCAGCGTTCGGCCGGCGACGTTATTGGCTGGATGTCCGAGCGCGCGCGCATGTGTGCATGTATGTGTGTATGTATACGAACGCGCGTGTATGTGTCCATCGCGACCGCGATTAATTAATTGCGTGACGGTGCGTGCATGAGTGAGTGCGTGCATGCGTACATCCGCGTGTAATTACCGTATTAACGAGCAGTAATATCGTTAGAAACTACGTAATCGCACCCGAATAATCCGCTGACGGAAGAGTCGACGGGGGCTCCGGGCTCCATCTACTGTTCGGAACTATTCGGAACTGTTCGGAAAGCTTCCCGATCGTAATAGTTCGGTTATTCCTTAGAAAACACTTACGGAGATCTTGGGAATGATTGAGCGATCCCGAACGGTAACTTTTCTAAGCATTTCTGTAATAAGGAGAAAATGTCAGGCCATGAGGAACAAAGCACGGATGGTTTGGTATAATATTAAACATTGATATTGACAATATTAATGTTTAATATAACACCGAACCATCCGTGCTTTGCTTCTCGTAACCTAATATTCCTTTCTTTCTTTCTTCGGCAAGCCCGAACATGGAGCTGTCTAATTTAATTTAATTTCTTTAATAGGTAGCCTGGCACTTTTATTCTCCCTTCCTTCCCCCGCGATTCTTCGGTTAAAATGTTAAGTAGAATAGATACCGTTATTTTGTTACGCCGTGTTTTTCAACGCGAATGCGCGATGATATGTTATTTTTTTTTTCCTTTTAAGTCAGCGAGAGTCTCCGTTATTTATCGACGTAGAAAGAAGTAGAGGTATATATGTGTAATCACGGTAAGAGAAGACTGTCGTCGTACGTACGTAATGGCATTCATGATTCATCAACCGCCACTGCACTCCCTGTAAATAATCCATCCATCCATCCATCCGTCTTATTACTTTGTCAGTGTTATCTTTCGCGGTTACGATTATCGATTATTACGACTATTAAGACTATCATTATTCTTATGATTATTGTAATTGATATTATTATACCGTCGCATACGCACGTGTCTAAGTAGTATTGACATCCGTTTTTAGACCAAATTAAGCACCGTTATAGGTCTGATAAGAGAAAGAATCTAGTACAGCGCGTAAGTTATTATTATTATTATTATATTATATATATATATATAATACCCGCGTATACAAAAAAAAAAATATATATATATATATGTACATTCGTCCTGCGAGAAGGAGCGTGTCCGATGCGAAAATCCTGGCCAATTTTCGTTCCCAGTGAAAATTCTCGGGGAGGCTAGAGCTTTGACTCGCGACAGAAGTGACTCGCTTTCTCACACAGCAGTCAGTCAGGATTCTGGAATTCTTCTCTTCTTCAGATCCCTTCTCATTTTGTGGAAAGATTACTCAACTTCCAAGCGCAATTCGCTAAATGTTTGTTATGCTCTCGAGCATGGATATAAACGCGCGAAATGATGGATGGATATTATTATATATTATGTACAACTGTCGACATAATCTCTGTACGATTATGTTAATTATTCATCACGGTTATTATTTAACGGCCTCCTCTCGGCCATCGGATCGATTCGTCGCGCGACGATTGTGATACATTAGCAGCCACGTTCAAGTGATTCGACGATAGTTTCTCAAGTACTAAATATGATATAAACGACACGGGAGCTAAGAGGAAGTAGCCTTAAACTAATTTATTCGGGGTAGATCATCGACGTGATGATGTAACGATACCTTTAAACGTATACAACAATAGCTTGCCAGTATGAGTAGTTATTAAGCAGTAATATAATAAGTGATATACAAGCAAATAAACACACCGATATACACACATCCACACAGACAGTTTGGGCTCTCTCGCGAATCGATTATGTTCGCAGACTCGAGCGAAACGAAGAATGTCGCTCGTTGATCCGACATTAAATGTACGTTAGGTTTCAAAACGGTTCGAACACTGTATTTTTTTTTTTTTTCAATACAATTCGCAACGCAGCCGATGGTTCGATGGGTGAATGTAATTTCTGGGAATTAATCAGAAACCAAGTTCTCTCATCGCGTCCCGAATTGCGAATCGAAGATAAAAGAGGTTCAAATAGGTTTGAAACTCGGTGTACACGGAGTTATTCGTTAAAAATGAATCGAAAAGATTGCATATAACTGCGCACGATAAGGGGAACATTGTAAAGCGTTGAATTCGACGTTATAAGATCCACACCTTATAACTCCGTAATAGCGGAGTGATATTTCATTATTTGCAGTATAACGCGAATAAAATATTTGGCGCGCACATTTAACATACTCGAGTCGAGAAGACTTTTAAGTCTCGAATTTGTACATTTTTTCACGAATTCACAAATCTCGTATGTCAAATTAGGCATAGGCGCGTTTACAGCCGCTACGGCCGCTTGCGGATCGGGCGAACACGAACTTGTTCACCTCGATGGTTTTTCTTTACGTTCCGTCGCAGCGGACCGACGGCTTCACTGCCAGGAAAAACAACACCGGATCGGGCGTGGCAAACAAGCGAGCTCCTTCAATGCGTTCGTGTGAGAGCTTCATCGTCACGAAATAGGAATTGCATGGGAAAGCAACTTCTTGAGAGAAAACGGAGGCTATATACGTAGACAATAGTATTAAACTTCATGTAGAGATTAGCGACGACTTCACTAACCGTATAGGAAGAGTATAGTTATTATATATTATAGCGAGGATACATTTACAACGACCGTGCGTCACCGCCGATCGTACACCATTCCTATACGATGTATCGTAACAGTATTTGCTATCGCACTAATGATAATAAAGAAAAACTGTTGGTACACGATTACACTTTCGTTTATTACACCCCGTACTATATTTTTACGAAAATGTACGTTCGAGATAATCTCGGCGATATTAGTGACAAAAGTAAGAACATTTTTCTTTATACAACGATGACTTAAGTCACGTCAAGACATTTCAGAGGATTAATACATCATGAAGATAAGAAATGTACGATGATAATAGTGATATTAAATCATAAGAATTATATAATAAGGATTTAATGAATATATATGTATATAAACGCGTTTTATTTAGTCGCAATTTATTAAAGCACAAGTTCTTTCCATATAGGTACATATTTGTCTACAAGTCAAGAGATTTATGCAACATGAAGAATAATTTATATTAATCTTTCTTATCACATAACGTAATTTTCACACCCAAAAGGTTCCCGCCGTAAAAGGCTGGAATTGTATCACGTTTAATCAATCTGTAATATGTAACACGAAACTCCTTCCGATATAAAAGTCTTGAAAATGACTATATCGTTTGGGCGAGAAAACAGAAAGGAAAACTGAGTCGCCGGTAACAACAATGCAGTAAGCTACGTAAAGAGAACTTCCAGTATCTTCAAGCAAGGCGTCGCAGGACATCGTTGATATACGTGGTAGGATTTCTTATATATTCCAATATGCCTGCAATGAGATATTGGTCTTTAGTGTCTCAATCGAGAAAAGTGAATTATTGAGAATCACGATTATCTCTCACATTAGTTAAAGAAATATCATTTCCCGACTTTTACTCACTTCTCTTGCACTGAAACATTCAATGTCTCGCGTGCGCTAAGGACTTACCAATAATATCGCAAAACTCCTCGAACGATGTGCACGGTAATAATTCGTCGCGATACGTCGCAAGCACGCGCTCCGAAGCTTTCAACATCGCCTCGTCGTTGTGCCTGATGTATTCAGCTAAAACCGAAGGCCACTGATCCTCGGACAGAACATTTACTTTCTGCAAGCACGAGACAAACCACGTTTTCAGACCGAACCAACGTAACTCAACGAGCATAGATCGAGAGTAACGTCGAGAAAAGCGCGGCAACCTTGAAGAAGTTAGCGTAGATGCAATCCACTAGACCGAAGAAGATTAGAACGCTCTTATAAACTGCGTAATCCTTAGCGGTTGGTTCCATTAGGGTCTTCGTGGGGGCCGAAGGCGATACGTAGCGTTGATGCGCGAGAACGAGCAGTCGATTGAGGTGTACAAATCTATGCAGTTTCCATCGATCGGGCGTAAGCAAGAGCAGCGAAAGCGTGCACTGATACAACGGCCCCTCCGCCTCGTAGCAACTATCGAGCCACGCTGATCCCGGCGACACTTCCAGATAAGTCATCAGAGCCTTGTCCTCTCTAGTCGCCGATCGCGTTCTGCAAACGAATATCCATTTATAATATCGATAACGTGCTTCCGTACATCTTTTTACTTTTAACTGAGTTACAAGTTAAAAGTCAATGACCCATAAAATTAACCTGGTTAAAAATTACGTAAGCAAAACCAAATTAAACGTCAAATTGAAATGAAGTCATCATCTTATTGAAGTTAAAAGTTAATTACGCAAAATATATATATAGAGCGACCCATTTTAAACGACGCATTGAGATTTCTCGAAAACCAAGGCTTTCATTGAAAAATGTTTCGTACAAGTTTTGTAGTTTTAAGGGGGACGTAAGTTGGTGACTTTAATGTAACTTTGTTACATAATCAATAATTCAAGATCAATTAAAGGTTAACTTAAGCCTTTTAATGGGATTTTTTTTTAATTCTTTTCTTACTCTCATAGTTCCGAAGATATTCAAGATGATAATAGTTAGTGGCCTGTATTCCTCTTTACACAAATAACTTTTCCAACGTAGATCGAATTTATACAATGAAAACTGTGTATTCTCAAGTATCCGATCGGGATGTACTTACGAGTTGACGACGTACAGAGCCATGTGTATTAAATACGGTACTATGTGCATATTGGACTGGGGACCGCCGCCGCCGGTGTCCTCGTGGAAGCTCTTCTCCTGGGCGAATCGCAAGAGAAGCAACTTCAAGTCGTGAATGGTGGACGAGTAGGATATATCGCGGTGACTAGTACACTCCTGCAGGTAGGTGTTGTGCCTGGCCAAGCAACTGGCGAAAGCGGACTCCGGCACCTGCGGGCCCCACAACGGCAACAGTCCGTTGCACTTCGTGTTGGCGTTCTGCAGCGCCGCGCTCTCCCATTCGTCTCGGGCGCGCGCCAGACGCACCGCCGACATGTGGCAGTCCACGTGGACGACGTTGAAGTGCGTGACGGTCGTGTAGCCGACGGTTTTTCGTTGTTTCGTCTCGAATTCCTCTACGTTGCAGCGCTTCGTGAAGGTGTAGATGCCCAACACCTGCAGCAGAGTAACAACAAAGAACAATATCAATTAAGAGAGATAACGAAATACGCAAAAGGTTATATTTTAAGTTCCCGGAAAAGTCTGCGATTAATATCCTGAAAATTATTAAATATACTTAATATTAAATATGACAACACTCGAAAATTATTAACATTCCAATACTTTCACTAAGAAGGTTCGATTGGGAATGATCTATCCGAGGTGTAAAATTGCACGCTCTTTTCGCTGACCTCAGAAAGCTCCTTGTAAATAATAAAACGGTAACTACATTGTTGTTGTTACCATGTTTGGCTTGAACTTGTATCCTTCACGGCAGATAACGCAGATCAGTCCAGTCTCGTCTCCCAGGTCTTCCATCTGTTGAAGAATCGTTCCGCTGGCGGTGACCTGTCCCTTGTCATTGGTCTGCATGCCAAGGGCACCCAACTGTCTCTCTCGCATCGCCATAGCTAAGCGCTTTTTCTCGCTGCGCGTGTGTTGACGAGCTTCCTCGATTAATTCGGCTACTCGCTTGTTGGTGCACAATGCCTCCAGCAGATTCTCCGCCAACGAGCCCACGTGTTCGTTCGAAGACACCTGCTCCAGTCTGTGGAATATGCTGATAGTCACTTGCGACACCGCCAACTGCAACATAAGAACGACGAAATGATCATACACGAACGATGATTGTTCTATGAAGTTTAATAACTGTTTGCAAAAGTTGAATAATTAATATAACCAGTATTATTAATACAACTGGCTTGTGAAAAACAACTTGAGTTACCTGAGTCGGCTCGTGATCCGTGGCTAAGCCCGTGAGGAACCGAAGGATATACTTCAACGCTGGTTTGGATATGAAATCCTTCAGCTCATCGCTGTCTGTGCGTAAGAGCGTAGGTTTGACGCATGGCGCGTGCACCTGTAAGGAAAAACCGTAAGGAAAAATATTCTTAATACTCACGATAAGATTATTTGAATTTTCGTAGTTTCGATGAGCTTATTTGTTTAGTGATTGTAAGACAAAGAGTTAAAAAATCTCACAATGTGAGAACAATGTTATTTAAGTACGCCTTTTTGCGATAAGTAGGGACTTACGGTGATATATTCGAGGGCGTCCTTCACTATACCCATACTTATGATATAGTCTTTCAGCGTGTTGCCGATCGCGTTTCGCTCGATACCTTGAGTGAGGATGCAGAAGAGCTCTAGCTTCTGCTCGTCCTCGGGCGTGTGTTCAAAGTCGAACTTGTAGAAGTTCAACACCGGTTTAAAGTAGTCGCACAACAGTGCCATTTTCTCCTTGTTGCCGTAAGTCAACGCTGCCAAAACTCTCGCAAGATGCGCGAGCACGCTCGTGCTCTGTCTCACTGCCGTGGACTGCGTGCACGATAACAGCGCTTTAATATGTTCCGGACCGCCGAGAGTGCGCGAAAACGCCTCAAATACACTCAGTGGTTGCGAAGCTGCATTCGCCAGTATAGTTTCCATGATCTAAAAACAATGTAAAATATTTACGTTAGAGTAATTAAAAAGTAGGATTGAATGTAATAACTATCTAGTTGAAAGTTAAGTTAAAAAATTCATGACGTTCAAATTAATTGATTTTAAATAAGTTAATTTGTAACTTAAAATCTTAAAACAATCGATATTTTTTTTTCTCTCTAATAGACACCATCTTTTTATTACTTCACATAAATCTAATGTGCGATGAAAAAAAACTATTTCTGTAAAAAATCACATGATTTTACGTAATTTAACTTTTGATTTTAATATGTTAACTTTAAGTTAATTTTAGAGGCGATTAATTTTTAATTTAACTTGGTTAATAATAAAAATTAATTTACCCCGCTAAAGGCTAACATAAAATAGAGTGACTAAGAGGGCAGAACTACTAAGCGCAACAGCCTCTTTCCGGTAATACTTACATCCAACAATTGTTCGGTGATTTTCGCTTGGGAGTTTTCGGACTCCGTGGCAAGGCAACGCTGAAGGACGTCAAGGAACACGGTGACCGCTCCCAGTTCGGGTTTGCTTAAAACTTCTTGGTTCTTCTTTACCTTCACGCACAATCGGAACAATTTCAGCAACACCTGCAGGAGAGGCCTCGCGCGATTCACATCGTGTATCGCGGCCAATCTGTCTAACATGACCTGCAGACCGCCACATTCCGCTAGCACATTCGCCATCTTGTAAACTTCCTCGTTGTTCACTTCCTGCTCGCTACTGGCATTCAACGTCTCGACAAATTCTTCAGTGGCGTCGCCGAGAAGGCCGCGCATACGATATATAACGCGCATAGCGTCGCATTCGCCACCCTCCAATACCCATATCTTCTTATAAACCTGGACAAAGAACGAGGAAAGCGTGTTCGATCTCGTTTCATGAAGACAATAAAGTCTCGCGACGATTTCACTACACAGAGAAAAAATTTCCTTGGGATTTGATAAAAATTCTTTGATTGAAATAAATTTGTCTTTTGAAATAGAAAACAAATGTTTGATTCAACAAACAGGATTGGTTTCTCAAACAATAAATAACTTTACGTCAAACAATATATTTCTTTCATATCTTCACCCAAACATTATTATAAAAGTTTTCGCAAGCGATAAATTATTTGGAAAAAATAACGCTATCTTAGAAAAATATTCAAGAATTTTATTGTGTTTCAGTGGAATAATATTTAATGCGTAAAGAAATACACTTTTCTTTTACTGAAAACCAAACATTATTTCCTCTAAATAATATTGCTTTTCTATCAAACAACATGGTTTACTCTAGTAAAACATTTTCTTTCAAACATGATATTTAATATTTGTTTAAATTATGTTGTTTATATTAAACAAACACATGTACTAAATCTAAAAGAGTTTCTCTCTGTTAAAAAAAAAATTACATAGAATTAACTCCTACCTCCTTAACAGGAAGATCCAGGCTGATGATCTTATTGTTGACGAGGAGCTCCATGCCGTTGTCATCTTCCAGAAGCGCAACCAATTCACAATCTTGGCAAATCTTATTTTTCACGTCTCTCATAAGCGGGCCGAGTCCAGGTTCCAAGCTGCTGTAAGGATTCCCCAACATTCTCCCCTGCGAGAATGACGTGATAAGACGAATAAGTATTTTCGGTGCAAATGTGGAAGCTTCAACTGAAAACGGACGCGCGCGAACTCACCTGCAGGAAATCTTCCTGTTGTGGATCTTTCTCGAGCGTCAGGAAGAATTCCCCAATGTCGTTCTCCTCCGGATAGATGATCGAACACAATCTCTCAAATATGAAGACCGGAGTGCGGACGTCTTGAGGATTGTGCTTCTGCACGGTCTCAACGCAGATTGCCATGAACGCTTTAGTTTCCTCTTCGGTACCTGTGATGCGAGAAAAACATATTACTGGCGCGTGTGCGAACACTATAATTTAAACAAAGAAAAAAAATATTCAAACGCGCAGAAAACTTCGAGACTATTATTTCCTTTTGTTACCAGTAGTCATCTCCTCCAGGAGCTCCAGCAGTTTCTCTTGTGTATCATCGATCAGTCTGGTGCGTTGCACGACGAGCCTCCTGAGCGACAGGTAGCCGTTCAACACCGCGCCGACCAGCCGCCCCTTGTATTGCTGCTTGATGTTTTCTTGCTCCAGGAAAGTTGCCAGAAGTTCCGTGAGCATTTTCAGCGAATAGCCTTGAGCGAGGTCGCTGGTCAACGTAGTCTCTTCCAGCCGATGTAACTCCTCTATCTCCCTGGTCAAGAGATCCGCCAGCAGGGTCATCACACCGCGCACCGCCAGAAACTGCTTCCACGGTGATTGTCTGATCAAGCACTGATACAACGTCAGAAACTCGGTGCTGCTTTCGCCAGCAGTACGTAGCTCCTCCAAGTAACACGTCAACAGAACCAGGACCTCCTTCTTCCTCTCAGTGCCTTGGCACAGGCTCTCTATCATGCTGCAGGCGACTTGCCGCGCCAGCCGAGAACTTGGATTGAAGAGCACTTCCTTCAACCAGGCGCCGTCCGACAGCTTCAACGGCTGGACGCCTTGATGCCGCATGCAACGTTGGTGCCACCTGTGCCCGTACTTCTCTATCAAGTACAACACTCGAGCTTCGTCCTAAAACAAGGAATGCAAACAAATCATGGAATCATTTTAGCGGATCTGTTATCTTTTATTTCACGTTATTATATTCTATTATCTTCATAAATTAAATATACAATCTTTGTAAATTATACATACAAGGTATACACACACAGGGTATCATTTAATATCGTTTAAAAATAATTCAGAAAATTATATATAAATATAAATAAATAAATAAATAAATAAATAAATATATATATATAAAGTTAGATATATACATACACGTTATGCATTGTTGATATGCATTATTGATTATTACCGCGACTATTGCAATTTTATAATTTAACATGCACCTACTCGAGCGTTAACTTCCACTTTGTTTACATTTTACACCAACCTTTTTAAGAGGTTTCGTCGTAGACGGTTCCGTTTTCTTGGCCGGCATGCGGTGAAGCCATTCCGAATAGGAATGCTTGGGGTCACCGCTGATCCACTTCCCCACATCGATACTGATGCCTTCCGGTGGCTGCACCGTCGCCAGAGACTCCATGGTTTTATCCTGACACGAGAATCATAAGGTTAGATCGCACGCATACCGCGCACAACTCATTAAAAAGAAGAAAGCGACGAGATCGTTCGCTCGCTCTTACTTTATTCTTCTTGGAGACCGGCTGTTCGGGTTTGATGAGGCCTTGCAGGATCTTCAGACACGGCAATATGATACTTTCCATGACGACGGGACTCTTGGACTCTTTGCAGGCGGTCAGGAACAGCTGCATGACGCAACGCAACTTCTGCTCCCAGCAGGAGTCCTCCTTCTGCACGAGCGCCGCGAGGAGAGCCATTTCGTGACGCACGGCGACCGAGAGGTCGGGAGTGGCGACTCGTCCGCGCAACGTCAACGTGATCCGGCTGGTAAGAAGGGAACATATCTCCTTGGTCGACTGAGCGTTGTCCCTGGTGACGAGGCAGAGCAGCTGCCGCACCTCCTCCTGCATTTGCACCGTGCCCTTCCGCAGGTTGTGCTCCACGAGCTCCTGAATGAGGCCCTGCTTGCACAGGACGTCCCTGGCGACGCTGTTGGTCGCCAAGGCGCGCAGCAGGGTGAGACAGTGCTCGGTGGCGGCGGACGCGCAACCGTAACAGCGTCCCACCGGCGAGACTATCGCCTCGTCCTTGGTGACGTCGCTCACGGACATGCCGTACGACGACTGCGAGCTGCTCTGGCCCCGTTGGTTCCTGTCGTAAGCTACGAGCTCCCTGCGGCAGGCCAGCACGCGCTGAATGATCTTGCTGAGCTCCTCGAAGGAGGTCTTGCACTCGCCGCAGTATCGCTGCGCGAGCAGCTGGATCGCTCGGTTCACTTGGGTGCTGCCGGATATCTGTATGCCGTCCTCCAGCCCGCGATCCAGACGATGCTCGGAGATCTTGATGAGCAGCATCTCCAGTGTCGGCTTGTTGGATATCAGGGTCTTGTACACCCGGTCCGCTTTCTCCAGCAGCGTGTTAATGGTGGCCACGGTCTTCTTCCGGTCGTCGTCGCTCTCGATCGGGTCCACGGCGCAGCACGGCCTACCGGTCAGCGTGTAGTCGAACTTGGCGTACTTGCAGAAGCCACATGCGTGACACAGGAACGGATCCTTCTCGTCGTAGTTGATCGCGCGACACTTGTGGCACTGGAACACGTTTTCGCCGCAGTTCGCGCAGATGCCGGGATTCGCCGGCACACTGGCGGAACATCGCGGGCACTGCAGCGTCTCGGACGACGCCTGGATGTTCTCGTAGAAGTCGGCGTACTCGATCATCAAGTTGCACGCCACTATCGGCAGGGGGAACTCCATCTTGACCTCGGTCTGGCCCTGCGCGAGCGTGATCTTCTTCGCCTTGTGCCACATCGCCGGCTTGTTCTTCAGCTCCACGACGGCCTGCACCGACCGGTTGTTGTAGTAGACGTTGATGGTGCGCACCATCTTGGTGCGCTTCAAGTCGCCGATGCGCAGGGTGATGCGGCTGATCGTGTGACTGCCGACCAGCTTCACTATCTGCGTCGTCGTCGTGAACTTGGAGTCCACCTTGATGGAGGACAGCTTGATCGTCGCCATCGAGACCTCCGGATTGTTGCACACGAGGCAAGGTTCGCTCTCCAGGTAGTAGCCGTCCAATTCGACAAACTGCGCCAGATTCACGTAGAGATTCGCGTTAGGGTGTCGCGCGAGCAGCTGATTCTGCGCGTGCAAAACCGCGACCGCCTGCTCCATATACGTGTGCATCTTCTTCCCGGCGTGGGGCGTCTTCAGGCAGAAGTAGCCGAGCAAATCGACGAACTGCGCCGCCTTCCTGCCGTAGGCCGGAAGCAGAGGCCACAGGCGCCATAGGAGGTCCAACAGGACTTCCTGGTCGGACGGTCCGCAATTTCTGCAGTTTGATAAATACACATTTTACGTTCCCGAGTCAACTGGATTGTCGGAATAACGGTGAAATTTCAGCTTTATGCTTTGTGCAAATGATTTATGAAAACTGCCCGATTTCACCATTAGGCGTTAATGTCTGCAATGATTCAGGCAGATTCTTTCTAAGTGAATACATAATACATGAGATGTACGGTACAACTTGTGCAAATTTTTGCCCCCTCTACCCCCCCCCCCCCNAAAAACAAGCTACACATCTATGGTGGAGCCAACTCACTTGTAGATTGCCAGTATAAGAGAGTGCGCCTGCCAACGGACATTCGTGTTGTTCGTTTCGAGCAGGAAGGTCTGTATAAACTTGATCAGCAGTGCGGGATGCACTTGCTTCTGGATCTGTTCAACCAACGTCAAGCACTGTGCCTCTTCGAATTTGGCCTCTGTGTCGGAATCCTCCGATTTCTCGCGTTCCCGCCTCTCCTTCGTGCCGGTTGCCGACTTAGAATCCTGATTTATATGTATATTCGATATTAAAACATGATGCATATCGTATGTATATTCGATATTAAAACATGGACAACAATATTAATATATGGACGCGTTAACACATATCCAATAAATAGCCCGACTTCTCTAATAATCGACTGATCTCGAATAATCGACGAATCTCGCGTATTTCGTTATATCTACTCTGTACTTCGTTACATTTACCTTGGATCTCGTGTCCTTGGCTTCCTTGGACTTGTTGTTCGAGCAGATGGCGCACTGCAACAGTTGGAGCACCGTGGGGCTCACGCCTTCGTCCAGGAGCGTCGATATCGAGAAGAGATACGACAGTACGGTGTTCTGCTTCAGGCAAAATCGTTGCCAGTTCCCCGTGCGGCTGGTGGCGATCTCCACGCAGCATTTCAGATGTTCGATCAATTCCACCAACGAATCGTACGGCAGATTGATGGAATGCGGACGCGCGTGCAATGGATCGTATCCGCCGGTGCTGCAGCACTGTTGCACGGACTGACGGCAGAAGTGACGTTAATAAACCTGAACACTGTTCCATCATTCTGAAGGTTCATTATTGAATCCTTGAAACCTCACCTGCACGTGAGATATGAGAGCGTGGAGGTCTCGTAATTGCCGATACTTCTCCTTGTTGCCGCAAATGAAGAGCAGCAATTTACGTACTTGTCGCCTGACAAACGGCGTCTGGTAGGACATCATGTACTCGCAGAGATAGAAGTACCACGGCTGCACAGATCGAGAAATGTATATCCTCGCAAACGAGAACAGGGAGAACATCACGTAAGAAAACTACGACGGTTACCTGTTCGAAAGCGGGTTGCACCACCGTGCTCTCCGCGTATTTGTGCACCTGATACGGTAATCTCAGCACCATCTCCGTGAGTAATTGAGGATAGGGCTCGAACACATCGCCAGCGTGACCCTTGACGTACTGGCGTAAAAAGAACGGCGACATATCCGGAGGCGACGCGGTAAGGTGCTCCTTGAGCAATTGGCCTCCTATCATAGTGCCAGGCTCCTCCGTGGTGGTACTAAGTAAAATTGATTCGTAAGACATTCAAATTTACTTCATAACAGCCAGCAAGTCCTCGTTATAAGTCCCCCCTAGTTTTCCCGATTATTAAGTCCTTTCCTCTTCACACATATATGGTCACTAACGCTACTTCGACTATGTTTATAATCTTAATATACATACGAATGTACACGTGTGCAGCAAGCTTACGTTTTCCAATAATCGAGTAAGGCCTGCAACAACGTTAGGCAATAGTCGATAATACCAGCTTTGCTCAGAATTGCAGCAGTGGTCTGTGACACGAAGTTCGGATTGTCCGAGGAAGTCTTCGTGGCGTACTTCGAACGAGACATAAGAACGCCTGAGAAAGAAAAATTGCAACGAAGTAACAACAGTTATTATCCGATGATGTGTTCATTTAAATTTGAGACTAAATATGGACACAGTCGTTTACTTACTTAATAAACGCATAATGACCAGATGGACTTCCCTCTTATTGCTGCGCTCGCATATGTTGTTCGTATCAGGTTTGTCCATTTCGAGCTCTTTCACGAGCATTTGCAGCAACCGTTCCACGCACGCTTTGTCTCTTTCATCTTGACCATCGAGGTCGGAAGTTAACATCAGCACAACCTGGTAGAAAATAAAAGAAAAGCTGTCCAAAACTTTTGGAATTCGTAAAATATGCATAGTTTTACTTTGTTTATCTTTGTCCAAAAATTGTTTTATAATTGGTCACGTAAAAAATCTACAAATTAATCCTTCTAGAATAAAATAATTTAAAAAGTTAAAAAAGTTGAAAAAGTTAAAATCAATACATTAAAAACTAAAAAAATATATAAACATTAAAAAAATTAAAATTAAAAAATGAAACTAGAAACTCGCCACATCTTCGATAGATTAGGCAGAAAGCGAGACTTTTTCGTTAAAAAATCGCAAAAATTCCCTCGATACTGGATTTACATTATTTTATTTTCAAATTTTGATTGAAAATTTGAAATCGGGAGTCTAAAAAAACCCTTAAAGTTTTACATGTAAATAAGCCATAGTTGATTTTCTTTTTTTCAATTTGACTGCTATATCGAATCCGTCATTTTAATTTTTTAAATTTCGACTTCAGATTTGTAATTAGCAATCCCAAAAACCCCCATGTGCTAAAATTTAATAAAATATGTTCAACAGAAATATTGGTGCAACAAAGGGTTAAAGATTGCAAATACTTTTTCTTCGACGAGTTTCCCAATCCCGACAACGTATTCCGTATCCAATAGGAGAATTTGTTTCTTTTAGTAAATCTCAAGAGATACATTTTCCCATTGGATACGAGATGCGTTGCGAAATTCACAAAGAAAGTGTTGCAACCTTTAATATGCCAACTATACGTGCGTAAGATCCCGAAGAAATACCTGCATAAATGGAATAGCGAGCACTCCCCGGACGTTAATCAGATTCGGCACAAATTGTGTAAATCTGTCCAACAGTAAGAGCCGTATGGCATGCAGTTTGACGGTGATCTCGCCAGTCGTGTCGTTTTCCTGCTCGACACCCTGCTCTTGCTCGGTACCTTCTTCTTGCTCGGTGGTCTAATGGTGGTGACAAACAATAATTCATAAATATCAATATACTCGTGTCGTTCACCAATTGGCTCCGGCGCTCCTCGTTTCGGAACTTCTGAATGAGATAACGAGAGTATGCGTTAATAATACTACTTCTAGATGTGTATGAGAGGCAAGGTTCACACAGCGAAGACAGTATTATTAACGCATGCAACATGATCGGTTCGGTCGTAACTCTCTCGATAAAACTATGAAAATGACATCTTAACTATTAGAGTTCCACGCAACACAGCTTCGGAGCCTCAATGGAACGCAATTTGCATCTCTAACGGATATTCTCAGCTTCTACTGATTATTTACTCGTTCAATTCAAATGAGTGATTTCAAGCCAATCCGTTTGCTGATTCATTCAGACTCCGATCATTAGAGGGATTCAACGAAGTCTTATATAGCACGTTTAATAAAAAATGTCTGAGATGAGAGATAATCAGTCCTACTTGATTTGATATTTTCTGATAATGTTTTCGTGGCAGTGTGGGTTAAAGGCAACGTTTTGAGAACGGAGGTCAAGGTTTCTTTTTTTTTTTAACGATGGACGACTCGACAAGTGATGCTAAGATTAGTGCGAAATCGCTTCAGCGAAATGCGATATGAGGGAAACGCGCGAGATCAAACTTCCAACGATACGTCGCACTGAAGACTGGCGTTGCTCTGATCTCTTCAGTGCGATTCATTCTTCCCGATCGCGCTGTAATCACCCTAACAACTCTGAACTCTCTATATTCCAATTCTTCAATAGAGAATACTAGTGCAGTGTACTTCGCATATACCATAGTATACATATGCATACGCCATGCGCAATTTTCAACCGTGATGTTTACTTTTTACGTTTTACTGTAAACAACGATAATAGCTCTATAACACGTGTACAATGTATGCAAATATGTACAAATTATCATGTACATCTCTACAGATTACCGTTCGATCATGATCAACTGATGAGATGGGTGTACAATGATATGTATACAGGATAATCTTCAAAATGAAAACTCATAAATCCGGTGAAGTAATGTACACACACACACACACACACACACATGTGGAAGTGACTTTGAGCTTTAATGCTACTGGAGTTATTCTTCCGGGAGGAAATTCGAAGTCTATTCTTCTTATATGCATTAAACATGCGAGAAGAGAGTTGACAAAAAAAAAAATGAACAGTAGATTACGAGGACCTCATCAGGATCAACTACGAGCTCAGCGGTAATAGAGGACTACGGATGAAGTCGGTCTCACGTCGATAAACAGGGGGGGGGGGGGAAGGGGGGGNCGAGCTCGAGTGAAACAAGAGAGAAGGGATACGTAGTGGATGGAAAAGAAAAATCAACTTCTGTGTACAAGAGAATCAAGACATCGAGACGTCGGAGGGTGGTACGCGCGGGTATATATTCGGCCAGTCTCCGCCCCGGCGCTTCTCTCCTGCTTTCAAGAACATAGGTAAGTCTGCTACGTAACCTGTACTACAGAGTACACTGAACTTACAGTGAAAGTCGTGGGAACATCTAGAGTATTAGTTTCAGAACGTGGCGCTTGACTGACTCCAATTCCAATCGGAGGCATAGCATCGGGAGCATTGTCTCCGTACGCGGAGCTCCTGCCAGAAACATTATGCTCCCCTGTCATGCTGTCAACGGCGCTGCCTCCGCTATCGCTTCCACCGCTCTCGCTACCCTTGCTACCACCACTACCACCCTAACATAAAATGTGTCCCAAGCGTTACTACGATATGTGCAAGTTCTAAGACTCTGTTGATCCACGTCCACATACTTTCGCTGAATAGCGCCAAGGCAGAGTACGTATTCTGAAGGTGTAACTCACTTGCTCGGCGGGAGACGTTCGCAGGGTGCTACCATCGGTCGCGGCGGTCGAGCCCTCGTCGTCCGAACCGCCCGCGGAGGCGGTCGTGTCGGAATAATGGCCGGCCTCCTGCCCCTAGTTCAGCAACATCGAGTCTTTGTTCATCGAATGTTGGAAATAACGACCGTTCCCGGTAAGATTTCAGTAATACACGCCACGCGCAACAATTAGGGGAGCATTCGAGCACTTCGTCAAAGAACGGACAAGGTTCAACTTCAGCTGTAACTTCGTCGAAAGTTAACGAAATCCAGATCTAAGGAAAGATTTAAAACTCGAAGTCCCCACTTTTGAATGACTTCTGATCCTCGGTAACTCGGAAGTGAGAAATTCTCGGAGTGGAGAAAATGTTGATCTTTCACGGGGGGAAAAGTCGAGAATTTTCCCCGATCTTTTTTTTTTTTTGGGCTCCTCGTATCTCGTGTACACGCGAAAAGAAGCGTTACCTGAGTGGCGCTCGGAACTTGCACCAATCCCTGCGCGGCCAAATTCTGCAAGCTCTGTAACGCGGAGCCGCTTAGATTCTGGAGGCTTTGTATACCCTGCAGGTTGGGGAAGCCTTGTTGGAAGCCTTGTCGCAGCGCTTGGAGGTCGGCACCTCCCTCGTGGTCCTGTAAACTGAGAGCTATCGCGAGCTCCACCATCGCCTCATCGTCGGCATCGGGCGGCACGTCGAGCAATTGCGGGAAATTGCCCGCGCCCAGCAACGCTTCCAGCGGATGATTGACCACTCTCGCAGCCGCCGAGTTCTGATTGCCCTCGGCGCCGAGCATAGCCGCCACTCTGTCCACCGCTTCGACGGCTTCGATGTCGAACTGCTGTTCCACGTCGCGCTCCACCGTGTCTTGGGAGGCCTGCGATGGTACCGAGACGGACTTCTCTTCGGCTTCGGCAACCACGCCTGCGTTACAACGAGAAATAACAATCAAATATACGATCAATTCGATCAGTTTTTATAGATTAATGTTAACCCTTTAACGAGGTTCCATGTCATGTTAATTTTATTATTATTATTATCGATTTTTGAAAGAAAGGAGGAAAGTCTTCGGAGCGTTTCACAAATGTGCTCAATTGATCAGACTTGGCGAGAATTTTGGGTATGCGCGTTTTCTCGCTTCCGACATCATCGAAGACGATTGCAGCGAGGGATCGGGAACCTCAAAAGGTAGTCTTTCTTTTCCGTATACCTGGAGTACTGCAATTTGGCGGGCTCGGTATGTACACCCTCCTGCGTCTGTATCTGGGCCTGAGTACTCGGATTATCGCGTGCTTCGCGCTAAAACTGACCACCGTGTCCGAGGACAGCAGTAATTGCAGGTAGAGTTTCGCGGCAATCGGTGTGTTGTTCTCGACGTCGCAGATCGTGAAGGCGTGAATGATCTCCACGATGGCGTGGACCGTTCCCTCCGCGTGCGTGAGCCCTGGCACGACCACCGGGGCGAGTGCCATGTTCTTAGGGTATGACACATGCAAGGACCACAATATCTCCATCAGTTGTATGACTAGATGCTGATTCCCGTCCGCTTTCGTGCACGAACGGGCTTCCAAGCGGTCCTTCTCGAAAACAGGCACTGGAAAGGCGAACGGCGTGACAGTCTCGTTCCTCAGTGAAGCGGCGAAACAACGAATGATGGTAATGCCTACCGTTACTCTCGTCGATCGACTTGTTCGCATACTGCTCGGCGAATTTCGCGAGATTTTGCGGCCGAGAAACGGCAATAGCACGAACGATCAGCACGAGCCTGTAGAAATTCTCCGCATCGATGTCGCATGAGTCGTTAGCTTCCCGCATTGACCTCAAGGACTCGAGCACGTGCGATAACAATGCGTGGTCCTGAAAAGTGTGCAGAGTAAGAACGTAAACGGAGCATACACGTGCACGTCAAGTTCTTCATACAAAAATTATTTATTATTATTCCACTTCATTTGATTATTTTATACCTTTGTTACTTATTATTATGCATCATTACTTGATTTTGGTCATTTCGTTTGTAATTATTATTGATTATTTTCTACCTTGTGGAAGTGATAAGCCTGTTTGGTGTTGTGAAGCGCAGCTAACAAGGCTGTAGTGTGCATTTGCACCGACGGTGGCGTCGGTAGTATTAACAATCGCGACGCAACATCGATAGCCGTGGATTTTAGGGAGGGCTTGTTGTTGTCGTCGTGCGAGGATAAGATAAACGAAGATTCCAGGACTTCCAATATGCTGGATATCATCCTATAAGTTGACAAAACTTGTCAAAAAGTTTATCGTCGACCTGAGTTACGAAGATACAAATTAATCGTGCACTCTCGTGACAAATATATACGCTATATTTCCGAACTGATTCACCGGATCTATATCTTCACATGAGCAACCGGTACAATTAGTGGTGTAACTCACACACACGAGGATAATTTGTTAATAAAGACGGACGACATCGAACTGATTCTCTCTAAAAAAAAGAAAAAAAAAGCACTACCACAGAATCTGTTTCGCATGCTATCAGTCAAAGACATACAGTTAAGGACAGATGTTTGTCTCTTTCTCTCTCTCTCTCTCTCTCTCTCTCTCTCTTTCCCTCCCTTCCTCTTTTCGTAAAACTACCATTAGGCTAATTGTGAGTCGTTAACTAGCTGGTGACACTAATTGTCAGATCCTAGTCCTACTACTTTCGCGATAATAAAATCATAATATGCTCTTACCTTTCTATGTTAACCGAACTATCCTTTGTCGTTCTGATAAAGTCGTCATTGCATGGATTAAAGAATATTCTTTTTATAAAGTAATTAACTAATCATTTATAAACATATATATATATATATATATATTAATATATATATATATGTTTATAAAAATTATACATTATAACATAATTTATTAATTGGATATCGGTATAAATATGATATTAACGTACTTGTCGGTCGAAGACAATGGTGCGGGAGAAACGATAGTGTTGTCGGCTTCATTGTTGATTGTCGTCACTGGCGCGGATGCTGGTTGAGGTTCCTCTATCTCCTCAGGCCAACCAAATGTATCCTTGGTCTTACCGTATCTTTATGAAAAGAAAGCGTAAGAGCTAATCTGAGTAAGTATTATGCCTGTATCTGCGTCTTATGCATCTATTTTTGGAAAAGACACGATATCGCATCGCAGTGTGCACTAACATTTTGATAGAATCCACCATGATAACACCCTCCGGATCCTGAGACGGGCCAAAAGTGATGGTTAATTTCTTATCAGCTTGAAGGCTTTCCTCTCTCGTTAAAGGGATGTCGAACCAACGACTTCTGGTTAACGTGGTCCGAATACTTCTTCCGAATACCTTCACGACGGCGATAATCGTGAGAGTTAAAGTCACAATTAAAGGAAATACCGTACCGTAAAGAGCATAGATCTCGGACTTACTTCGACATACAAAGGTGCCCGTTGAATGTCCTGATTGCCGAAGAGCACTCTGATTCCCGTCATTACTAAAATCGCATCGTTGTTCGTCACCTCCACGTTAAAGCCCATAGCTTTCGTGGAGACCACGTACATCCCGGTGGTATTCAAACGATGCTTGATCTGAGCGACATTGTAGATTTGCAGGAGATCGTTGCCGCCGAATTCCACCTCGTTCATCATCTGGCAATGCTCGAAGAAATCGATGGGAAATGTGACGTGCGATCCCGATGGCTTTCCAATCTTGTTCGTCTTCTTCTTTCGCGCCGGTTTAATGCCGGAGGTGGTGCTGATCGGTTGCACGGTGGACGACATCCAAAATCCGGTCTGCTCCATACCGGCCATGTAGATCCTCAGACTTCCGTCTTCGCACAGCAATATCAGAGTGGTGCGGTGTTCAGCGTTCGAGCTGGGATGCCGAATCGCCACCATGTCCATGATCTTCGCCTTCGCGGGCACCACTTTGATCTCCTGTATCATGATCGTGTCGGGCTTGATCATCAGTATCACCGGATTATTGCTGGTCTGCATAATCGAGCAAACCAGCCCGGGGTGATTCGCCACCTCGCTCCATTGGCACAACGGCTGCGGCTGGTTGTTGTTCGACTTGTTCCCGTTAGTCTTGTTCGCCAGATTAATTTGGAACACCACCGTGATATCGGAGTCCATGTGCTTGAGCGGCGCGATGAAGCTCTTGCCGCAAGCGTAGCTGAAGAACAACAATTGCAGGGCGTGGGAGTAATAAATGGAGACCCCACCGCTGCCCACTTGGCCGTTGTCCTTCAGTTCCGGATGATAGACGTCTAATGTGTTCGTCACGTAGAAAGCACCGTGCTTGGCTAAGCTCTCCTCGTCCATCACTTGGCTGTAAATGTATCCGGCCGAGGACATCAACAGCATGTGGAACGTGCCGTCCTCCGCGTGCATGAAGGTGCAATCTCGGATCTTGCCCGTCGGCACGAGGAAGTAATACTGCGGGCTCAGCGCGTCCCTGCCCAGGTCGTAAATTTTCACGAAATCGGCGGTAACCAGCGCTAACTGCGTCTGTGCGCCGGGCAGCCACAACGCTTTGATGATGAAGTTCCCGCTCTCGAGCTGAGGGTGAAGAACCAAGTGGTCGGACACCGTTCCCGAGCTGTTGAACGTAAGCACGTGGCAGTCCTTGAATCCACAAACAGCCAAGAAGTCCTCGTTCCACTGGTTCCCGGTGACCGAGAGGACCGTGAAAGGTACCGGTGCCGAGGCGAGCCTAGTCAGAGTCAGTTTCCTTTTAGAAGAGTCGGCTTGCTTCAGCAACGCGCTAAGTTGCAGCACCGTTATCTTGCCCTTCTCGTGTGAAACGGCTGCTTAAACGAAGAGACGTGCATCATTGTAAGTTGGTCCACTCGTCAACGAGACTGTGGAGAATACCTCTTCCTGCAAACTCACCTAAGTGCTGTCGTTTACCGTGCGGGGATGACAAGCAACACATGGCGACACGTCGTATCATATGGGCGGACAATAACTGTCTGATCGTTTGGCCCTGATCTCCCGAGTAATTCATCCTCACGTTTTCAAACGCACCTTCCTGAGATCCCAAGGTCGGTAACTAACAAACAAATCAAACATATTTATTAGACATATTTTTCACACATATAAATATATATAGAATAGAAATCTCGAACAATTTAACATCTTATCGCTATCCGAGTAAAATATCAAGTTGTTGAACAACTAAGAATTTTTATAAGTTAGCGGAGTTTGATAGTACGCTTATGAAGCTTGAACCAAAAATAGTCGAATAGTATCAACATTGATGCTACAGAATAATATGCAAACATATACAAACCATAAGCTGATCTGTATGTTCAAACTTCTTGTCAAGTGTGTGTAAGTGTTTAAGCGCCAATTGAGCACGCGCGTGGCAGCCGACTGGCGAATAACGCTGGCAGGATGCATCCACTGCGGGCACCAATACACGTGTTAGGTCCACTAACGAAGATACTAATCCACTTTTCCATAGTTGAGAATATATCCAATCCTTGGAAGATTCTATAAATATTAATAAATAATATAAATGATATACATGTATACCTACTAATTAATACTGAACTGATTAATACTTGTAGAACATTTATATTTATGTTAGATATTACTTTATATTTATACTACATACATACATAAGTACTTAATAATACAAATTAAGTAAGTATTCTGTAAATATTAATCAATTAAATATTAGTGAATAATTATTCATATCCATTCGAAAATCAAACGAGCAAAGAGCGACAAACCACAGCGCGACCGCGAACTGATATTTAATCAATATTGTTCCTTATAAAACCGTATAATATTATTACCCAATTGCTTGGCCAGGCACGCTTGCTTCTGAGTGTCGCGTCCGTTTCGTTCGTGCTTGTCGTATAAATGCACGGGGCTGGATGCTCTTCGGCGTAGGCTGCTCGTGAGAAGCAGATTGCTCTCGACGGGAGCCCCGACATTGTTGTACGGTATGTTATTGCCGACTTGATGCTCCGAACTCTGCGGGCTGCGCTTCGTCAATGCCTGGCACGATCCGTCGTCCTTAGCGCCGCAATCGCAGAAGAAATTCCCGTACTTGGCATAGGTCACGTCGTGTCCGCGATGACACACTCGCGCGCACACGGTGCAAACGCCGACTCCGTCCACCATGTTGCACGTGTGACAATGGTACCAATGTTGATTCATAAACTCTTTCTGCGTGATCGTGAAGGTGCAGAGCTTGTTGCAGAGACTGTCCTCGTCCGAATCCTCGGCCGCGCTATCGTCATCCTCGTGCGGAATCTCGTCCACCCAGTCGCTGTCGTTCACGTCGTTGCTGGGTATCGCGCCCTCCCACGGCGGGCTGGTCGCCCGATCTTGCGACTGTGCCTGCTGTGGACAAATCGCGCCCACTATGTCTGCTATGTAATTCAACATACAGCAGCCAGCTTCGATGTACGGCGACGGCTTGTCGAAAGTCTGGGGATCCTTATTCATAATCTGCTCCTTGCTGCACGGAACAAATCCGACAGTGAGTACGCAACGAGACATATACAGGGCTTTCGAGTGATTCGAAAGATATGGTTCGTGTTGCGAGAAAAATAGCATTATGATGCGAGCAGCTTCTACAATTACAAACGTTTTCAAAAACTCACCAAAGCTCTACCCATTCAGTTGCAGCTTTGAATAGCAATCTGTGCCCTTTTTCAGACCCAGCGTCGGCCAATGTAGACATAATGTGCATCAATTCCGAGAATCTGTTCCCTTCGATTGTAGGAGAAAGGATGTGGTACGCTAATGGTATGAGAGCTTGGAGGATGGTTATCGAGACGTCCACGCTGGTATTGCTGTGAAAGATACATTTCGGCATGAGGCTTTTCACAGTTCTACCTGACTTTCGAACGGTGATCCTCACCTCTTGTCCTTCACTATGTAATTCGTGAGCGCCCGCAAGAAGCGGCTGTTCTCATGGATCGAGTGCTGCTCGTCGTTATTAGCCGCAGGCTGATTGTTGGCATTGTCAGACACGGAAATGGCCCATTGGACTTGCTCATTATTAGACGCGTTGTTTTTCTCGTCCGGTTTCTGACTATCCTCCGACGTGCTGGAGACAGCTACCACTCTGTAGTGCAAAATAATCATCTCGTACTAACGCAAGTAGATACCAAAGTACATCTCGACGGGACTAACATGACACGAGCACGTACGTATTTGCGGCGGCAGCTGTAGGTGTTGTGACGTTCGTTGTAGAAGTACTCGTCGGTACTTTGCTCGTCGCTCCTAATATGACGTGTCTGAACCAGGTCTGTAGTTTCTCACTCTCGACGTTGGCGAAATTCGCCACAGAATTGCAGAGACGATCCAACGATCCGTCCGTCGTTTTCTCGGCTAGCGCGCCCACATTTTAGTACATCGGAATTATACCATCGCGTAGATAATATAATTAATATATATATACACGTTTTCCATATTGAAAATACTCGAAAAATACATATGAATCAGTCTATCCGTGCTTACCTGTTCTGAACAGTATGTTGAAAAAGTGTAAAATGTGCGTGCTGAACTGCAGCGAAGCTTGAGATGACGTTATGGACAACAAGATAGACACAAGACTATGATTTGAGTCGGGGGCGAAGAACGTATCTAAGGCTTTACATCCAAGAGGTTTCTCCAAAAGTCGCTCCCAATATTTGATACACTGCTTCAATATTTCCTCATCAATAATAACACTGTAAGAATCACACAATGTTGCACATAACAATCGTGATACATCAGATTAGTTAGTCGATTAGTGCATTTCCACTACACCCAGCAAAGTGCGCAAACAGTAATGCATATTAATAAATAATAATAATGATAATAACTTTCTTGGCCGTTACAGTCAAAAGAGAAAGTAAACGATAACACAGAAGTGAGGATAGTGTATGCAAACCAAAGGACAAAGCAACAAGAAAGAAACTAATATATCTGCCTCCAAATCCTCCAATCCAAAAAATAGAACCAATTAGATCAAATATGAATCATTATATCGAGCATAATATAGCTTTCAGCTACAGAGCAAAGTGCAAAGAGAGAGAGAGAGAGAGAGAGAGAAAGAATGTAGAGACATAAGACAATATCGTTTACAAATATGTTGTTGCATTTACTTGATAGGTCCATTTGTGGTGTCAGTATACTCGATTATCAGATTATAAGTGTGATTTAGCACAAACAAGTGCTCTCGCAAGTGTCGTGCTTCATTATCATTGTCCTGTCCCAATAACTTTATCAGAGTACTCGTAGCCATATCTCGAACGTAATCAGTACGTGCGTCCATTGACAATGAAATAAGGATGTTAACTGCTTGAGAATGTATGTCTGACTGTTGCTCCGGGACTGTTGCAGCGCTGAAATAAAAGCATCGCGTTGGCGGATAGAAAGTTAGGAAATAATGTAATTGAGGAATAGAGATCAATATTAAGTGACGTGGCTGTGGTTGATCACAAATGTCACAAAACACGGAACTCATAACTCACGTAATGTACTCCATAACAAACGAAACCAAGCAATGCAGCAAGTTTTTCAGAGACGGATTGATAGAGAAGGTCGGGTGCTCAGACAGGGAGCTGACATGATAACTGACTGTAGTGAGAATGTAACTTTCCGCTGGTATTATGTCATTTGCATATGTATGCTGTAAACCCAAAAATATATTATTCTCCTGCATCATATAGAATCAACTTCGTGTAAACATACGCATGACGCGAATCTTACATTTTAAAACGCTTCTACTTTTACAATCATTAACTTACCCAAGTTACAAGAGGAAATGCGATACTCTTCCACTTGTCCAACGCAGATTTAACGCTACTCGGTAAGAATGAAATCAACGACGATTCCGTTCCCCAATTTGCACCTGCCATTGACAGAATATTATCCAAGATCAGATAGTCCCGTGTACCGTATTTTCCGTCCTCCTCGGTGGACTCGAACGTATGATACAATATGTTAGACCGGCATGACAGCAGAATTGCTTCTGTCAGCGATAAAATATGCGGTAGAATTTCAACGATCATTTTATTCCTGTTCGAAGGCGTCGCATCTGTATTCTGTGGACTCCTACGAGAAAATTGCAATTGCGATAGAAATAGCGCAATTTACGAGACATATCTCTGAATATGCTATGTAATTTACACACTTAGTAGTTTCGATATTCTCCGTCGAGTTTTTCGACACGTTCTCATCCATGAGAACCTGTAGTTTTCCTACAACCGCAGCCAGTATATACAGAGAACCAAGTTTTGGTAAAGACGCTCTTGGCATTATTTTATCGGTGGAAGTATATTCTGGTTTAAGTGAAACAATACAATTCTTTGCCAGGGTAACGTCGTATTTGAGGGAATTCACGGTAGATGAAACGGTTTTCAATAAATTTTCAGCGTACTGCGTGTACATTCCCTGCTTCACCAAACAGTCCTGCAGAAACATAATCGTTAATGCCAAGTGAAAACACAAAGACCAGCTTTTATGTTGTTTTACCTTCATCCAACCGGTGAAAGTCTTATACGCAGCTCTCGGCCCCCATATCAATGAGTGGAGTAACATTGGTCCAGCTGGTATTTCCTCGCCGAGAGCAAGTTTATTCATGTAAGGAGTCGAAGGAGGTAACATCAACAATAATCTATTGTAAGCACACATAGCTTATTAGGTTTCGCGTATATGCACATTTCATTTTGGTCTAATAAAAATATGACAACGACGAGAGTGTAAATAAAGTCATATGTACGTTTCATGTGCACAAGAGCATTTTATACTTACTCCCAACATATAGAAAAGCAATAGTGAATTGCACACAGTCCCGTGAATGTAATTTTCTCCTTATTATCAACACCACTTTTCTTGTGCATATCAGTCTGATTAAGTACATTCAAGATGTCGATTAACGCATCGACTAGGAGAGGATACTTCATTTTATCCGGTGTGCCCAAGATAAAGTTGCAAGCCTGTAGAATGTTTTACGTAATGTAAAATTGCTTGAAAGATTGTTACAAACAATTCGGCCCTTGTACGAAAGATCTATATCATGAAAAATGAACTTTTCAAGAACGAGAAAAAACTATGTTAATGTTTAGTATCAAATACTTTTTTCTTGCAAATTATATTAACCCTTTGCACTCGAGGGCTCCGGAGCGGAGCCATTTAAAATTTGTCTTCAAACTCTTCAAACTCAAATGCAAATAGCAAGAGCGAAATATCCTATACAAAATAGTTTTTACGATTTGTCTTTGTCCTTATGTTATGAACTGAAAGTTATTTGCATTGTCTCCATAGCGGAGCCCTCGAGTTTGAAGACAAATTTTAAATGGCTGGTTAAAAATAGCTGCACGGTTTGTCTTTATTGTTGTAAATCGAAAGAAGTAACTGCAATAGAAAGGTGCAATGTTTCATGGCAAGACCTGTTTTTGAAAAAATTGGCTCATGTTTCCTTCGTAACGATGGATTCAAATATACTTACCAATCCGTCCAATTTCGGTGTATCCTGGTTATTAAAGTCTGTTCTCGATAAATTATAAAATCGCGGTTTCATTGAAAATTCATCCTGCGAGCCGTATTTGCGATAATTATCCTCTATTTCTACCCAAGGAGTGAAAGCCCTGCTAGTCTGTTTATTTCCATCTTTTGTATCGTATACTAAGCTTGTAGCAGAGAACAGATTCCACTGTACCTGTGAGTGTACCAATGAAGGGAAAATTAGACACAAATGAAATTATCGTTTTGTAACAATTAAAATTTTAATAAGCAATATAAGTATATCGCAAGAAGTATACTACCACTCAGGTGACACTTTCACACTGGTGGCCCTGTTGCCTTGCTCCGGTCGTACTGACCAGTATTCTTAATCTAGCATTCGATAGATCGATTCCGCATTACAACAGTATCAGGGCAATCGTAATGAAACATGAGCAAATGATAAATGAACACAATGATTAGAAGTATCGCGGAATAATTATAATTAAGGAATTATCGAATGCATTCTTTCACGAGAGAAATTCATATACAAATACGCCGCGCGGCAGACGTACGTAAACGAGCACGTGTATCTTACTTGTTCGAGTAATACTGGGTGCGCGTCATACAGATGTTTCATCATATACTCGAGTAATAGCAGCAATCGGGACAAGTGCAACAACTGCGAATCCTTCATCGGTGTTTTGACCGCTTCGCTGCAACGCACCGCACCACTTCCGGTCACAAGTAACACTGACTTCTTCTGCATCAAATTCAGAGAATGAAACAGGAAGAGAACTAACTGGGCGTGTTCCACGTTTAAATCTGCAAACATACATCAGTTAATTAATGTTCCAGCAATGAAGAATCAAGTGTTGTGAAAGTGATGAAAGTCATGTAATTTCCACATGTGTTAGATTAATAGCTGTGCAATTGTATGTATCAACAACCATGAGTAGATGTTCCAGTGAACTTTCTGTACCTTCGTTCTCAGCTTCGTACGTAGATTGAGGATTACACACATTCTCAACCATAGTTGTCACCAGCCGATGCCATATGCTTATACACGCAGCTTCTCTTTCTAACTGAGGCTTCAGCAAAAGCACCTAATTACAAAAACAAAAATTTAAGTGTACAAATCAGATGGTTAAAAAAAATATTTTTAATTAGTTTTAACGCAACAATTTAAGTGAATAATCGTAACCTGTGCCAGTACGCTGAGAGTTCGCGGATATACTTGAAGGGGCCAAGTGGTTGAACTACTGTTTTCGGTAGACCAAGGACTCACGCCCAAGTGCTGAAGTAAGGTGTTTTGAAGTGCTTCGCTCAGAGTATTCCACGCAAGCAGGTTGTGCGTATAACGACTCAGAGCTTGAGAAAATTCCGAGTACATAGCGCCCAATGTAGCACCATAAAATGCTGAAATTGTGCCTGAAAGTATAAATTTTGTCATGTAGAGCACACGCACGCACGCACCGAAAGGAACGTACGACAGTGCAAATGCAATTCTTGATATAAAATGAGAGCAAACAGTATTTCTACATAAACCCACCTGTTTCTGTTCTAGCTGTTTCGTGATCCAGATCTCTTATAATTGCTGCCAATATAACCATTTGCTGCTCAACCAAACCGTTAACCACATATTCACGAACGTATGTGCTTCTGCTCCCGATTAAATACTTATTCATAAATTGGAATATCTTCGTCGCAAGTGAAATGTACTGTGAAAGAAAGGGGAATTCTTAATAATTGAAATACAATAATCTATATAATTATCATCAACAGACTCGCAGTGTATGTCCGTTGCGTGCAATGTATATGTTCGATCAACTTAATGAAATAATTATGGAAAATATTGGAAAACATACACCATGCGGCTCACGATTATCGGGAACGATAGTGGTGGTGGTGGTACGTTCCGCGCTTGCTTCATTATTTGTTTCTTTATTGGTATTTGTGGAAGTTTCGTCCGATGGAGCAATGGTTTCTTCAAACCACAGTCCCAAAATAGGTTCGCTGTCCTCCTCTACCGACATAACAAGAGAGTTTGTTCTATACATAGTAAATATATATCGGTACGTTAATAAAATTATCAGCGTGCGAACGATTTGTATTGCATACTTTAATGTTGATGTTGCATCAAAGTTCATATACTGCACATATAAATTAAATATACGTAGATACTTTGAAATTAGCTTCTAATATTGGTTATACCAATGTACGCATACTCTTCACTCTTTACAAACAAGATATTTATCGAGTATTAAAACATACAAAATGCATGAGATATATTAGACGGATATGTAACATTACCCTCATCAGTGGAGTTCTCTGAACAACTCAGAAGATCTTCATAGTATGTGGTAGAATCCGATTGACTCAATGCATCTCCTTCCAAAGGATGCTTTTGCACTCTCTTCAGTGTACAAGCCTACAACAAATGGAATGTACACGTGATATGTTACCTTTTATCTGTGTAAAAGATATAAATGCACGCAAAATGATTCCGGCACCTTTCTGTAACTGATAGTAGCCAGATAAAAGAGCAGATGATTTAAGGGCACCGCTTGTAAAAAGGTTACTGCTCTTTGCAACGCAGTAGCAGTAGACAAGATATCCAATGGCGCTGGTTCTGGAACTGCCACGACCAGGTCGGAATTGGCCTCGATAGATACATCTTCGAGAAGTGCGCTCATCAAGTTCAGTGAGTGTGATGCTAATGCCACTGACAGCACGCCAAATCCCTGTTGCCTGTTATTACGTAAAAATATTTCGTTTATTTCGATCATCGTATAAACAAACTGAAATGAATTCTTGAATCATGAAATATATTAATTCGTGAAATATTCTTCCCAATTGCAAGAAAATGTGCGAGTGTGTATAATAGTTCCAGTAGTACATACGATGCAATATAAAATCGTATAATTACACTTTCATAAGATTCACACGTCCACTTGCATCCCGAGCTTTACTGGGCGACTTCCCTTTTTCATCTTTCCCTTTGTCTGCAGCAAAACTACTAACAGTTAACTGTGCTTGCAATCCAGCGACTAGGAGCCACACACCAATAAGCAAGTGATTTTGCAAAATCTGAAAAAAAAGAAATACATAGTTAATTTTATCATTAAGAAGATAAGAAAGTGATAATAATGTTAGGAAGATAGCTAATAAAATACTTACATGTCCTCCTGCGCGTGTGCTATTTTTAATAACATTTGATACTTGTCCAAATATTTCTAGACTCTTCTCAACGACCGTAATTGCTAGAGTGTCGTACTCCTCGTCGGTGGTTTTCGTATTCTGATTGGCTTGATTATTTCCGGTGGTATTTGTACTACATTTAGGTGATACAGCATTAGTTATGCCAACTATGCTTGATGCTGTTGCATTTGCAATTGAACAGTACAGGCAAGACATAGTCAGTAGTGACAATTTTTCTAATTTCTGAGGTGTTAAAGGTTCAAGTATTGGAAGTGACATCACATTATGTACAATATTAATGTCGCTAACAACAGAGTGTAGATTGTGCCTTATAGTGTGTGCCTCAGATGCATTGGCAGGCAAGCTGAATCCTTTTTTAGATAAATATGCTTGATACTTTCGTGTATAGCGTGACAAGTGTGGAAGATTTAGACACATATCCAATAGAATATCGCCCGCTCCCATATTTTGTAGTGTGCTTATATTATTGGCAATAAACATCATCTGTAATGAAATATACTTTCAGTCTCTCCAATTCTATTATCTTGTTCTGCTAGTACAAACATACTTTAGTGCAAGTAACAATGACGGAAGTATTAAATACCTAATAGAAAAATATATAATTTACTCAGGATTAATAGTCAAAACAGAGATATATTGTACACGATCATAAAGGGATATTTATTTCTATATGAAATATACAAACCTTAGTGTCAGAATGGGTCTCACTTGCGGTGCCATTGGTATTTTTATTTGCACCATCCGTGGGACTTTCACTAGCAAGAATCAAAGATGAAGAAAAGTCTTGCAATGGCATTGTCAATTGCTCAAGGATGCTGGTGGATAAATCACAGCGAGACCGCATAGATTCTTTTACAGACTGTTGAGACGATTCTTTTTCTTTTCCTACAGGTAACGGTTTCGAGGAAGGTGGTACCTTGGCACTTTTTATCGTGGTAATAAGAGCTACTTCCTCTGCTGATGAGAGGAGAGACTGTCCCGTACATAATGCACGTATCGGCAGCAATAACTGCTTTGTGGTCAAAACAGTCTGCGTGGTATCTGATTGAGCTTGCTGCTGCTGCAGCTTTTCCACAAAAAGTGTGAGCAAGACTTTGCATGCTTGATAAGCGATAGGTATTTGACACTTGGCAACTGGAAAGGATTTCGCGAGACTTAATACAACATTATCTTTTGTATAGACAAATGAAACTATAAATAAATATACTTCTCAAGTATATTTCTCAAGTATTTCAAGCTATTCTATATACAAAAGTTACGTAGGATACATAACGTTCGATACAATAAAGAAAAAAAAGAGGAATCTATACACAAATGTAGCTTCCAAGAAAGAAACTGCTTACATTATTACTTACGCAAGTGTTTTTATACACTTATGCAAACGAGAATATACGGTATTACTTACACGAACTTGCGCAAGCGCTAATATAATCCGCGGATAACACAGCGGCAACCGTGAAAAAAGTGTCATATTGCTCCTCGTGGGAAAAAAACTTATTCTCGCTGTAAAGTAAAAAATGAATGTCAGCTATACAGTTGAAAGGAATAGGCCACGGTTATTCGAACAGGCTCGAGCGATGACAGGCATCCATTTCCGTATTGTCACCGGAGGGACATATTTTCAACATCGTCGAAACGATCGTTTCAGCGTGCACGCATGATCGATGGGAAATTATACTTACCTCTTGAGGATACTCTTTGCGAGCCCGAGAACGTCATTTTTATTAAGTGAACGTGAAGTTCCTATTATCGGCTTTAATAACGCAGGCCACTCATCCTGGCCACCACTCTTCGCCGCCATTTTCGATACTGAGAGCTTCGACGAGTCGTTCTCGTCCTTTACATCATCGGTCGCGATCATCACTTTTCATTGGTTCTTTCCAATGTAACTTGTACAGAAATACAATAAAAGTTGAACTCAGTATATGACGAATGTGTGTGTATCTGTGTGTATGTGTGTATGTATATACACATTATATATTCATATATATATATATATATATATATATATGAATAGCACAATTCCCCGAGACGAATTCTCGTAATATCCAATTATCTCAGGAAAATAATATGATTATGATTGTTTTCAACCGAAATCAAAGTTCCGCACGTTAGAACTTTATATTGCGTAGCTAATAATTTGAAAAATTTCGTAAGACACTTTGTTAGGTTAGGTTACATTAGAGAGAAGAAAAACAGAGATCATGGGACAATTTGACTTGATCCGCGTATAGGAAGCGCCTCCATGTTTATTAAACGTGAACAAACTACGTGGCGAATATTAACTCTTCTCAGTAGGTAACAAGTGGTCTGTTCTTTTTAGCTGCACTGCTGAACTGATGCAATACATTAAGGAGAATTCACACCTTGGCAGAAAAGCATAAGGCAGAAAAACAATAGCCAATCAGAACTCGTGCTGGTAGTCGACAGTTTCTGCTTTATCTACTGCTTACTACCAGCGAATTTTGATTGGATATCTGCTTTTCTATCAAGGTGTGAATTCTCCCTTAGCATGAGACAAGTATATTTTGTTCGCAAATGAGGATGAAACGTTTGCATCGTAAAATGTCCTTTACGGCAATTTATAGGTCTGTTCGTTTCCGCTGCACCGCTGAACTAGTGCAATAAGTTGAAGCGAGATAAGTATATGTTTTCTCACTTTAACTTATTGCACTAGTTCAGCGATGCAGCGAAAACGAACAGACCTCATGTGTGAAGGCCTGTACTGACTGTATGATCTCCATTTGTCGATGTCAACAGTAGCGGCTCGTAGTGGAGACTTAGGAATTGAACCAATTGAACGAACAGAAATTTATTTATATCAAACGTAGCTTTTTTTTATATTTAATATTGTTAATCACACAAAACAATTTCTTAATAGATTAAATAAAGCAAAACAGATTGATAATGATATTGTGAATTACTTTCTCTATTCTCTAATAATATCATTGATTCTACTTGCGTTCTAGGTTATCAAGAAATATATTTAAAAATGTTCAAACAAACTTTGAGATTTTCCAGATCGTATAACTTACATCAAATCTTATTAGGTAAGAAAGAATTATTAGAACATGCAAAAAATTTGACTTTAAAAAGTTGTAAAGTAAATTAATATCTTGATTGTTAATCTCTGAAAACTATGAGATTGATTACACATGTTTGTAATCACATATAACATATGCATATTACAATATACAATAATGTATATTTTATACATATTACAATATACAATAATGTATATTTTATACAGGTACATCGAGAAAAGCTGTTGCAATATGTCCTAATGTGATTCAGTATCAAAATACTCAAATGTTTTCCACTGCTCCAGTCATTAAAAAATGGGATTTATATAGTTCTGTCTGTCTGGAACGTCATCCAATTACAGTACAATCAATGCAAGAAATAGAATTAAAATTTTATAATATGTTAAGGAAAATTGAGTTTGAAGATAGTCTAAAAAATGATCATGAATTGAAGAAAGAAAGAGAAGAGAATCAGTCAAAGATAACAAAAAGTGATATGGATATGGAAACTATTTTGATACAGACTGCACAGGAATTTGAAGATAGCAACCTAGAAGAACTAAAAAATTTTAAATTTGCCCCAAGAATTACAAGTATGTATGTTATTATTGTTTTCAATAACATAGTACAATAGAAAATCTTACAGAATATCTTTGAAAACCAACATTATATAATGATATAGTTATAAAACAAATTATATATATGTATCTACTATATAAAAGCTTATTTATCTATCAAAATTTTAAAAAATTGTATGTATCATACTTATATGTTACATATTATATAGTTTGTATAAGCTATAATAAATAATTTATTTATACATAATTTTTAGAATTTGATGAACAAAATGAAACATCATCGTTAAAACGTAAATTGGACAAAAATTTACTTTTATTGGTACATCAAAAGATTGGCGATAAACATTATTGGATACCTCCCCAGGGTATTCGACAGGAAGGAGAAACCATGAGACAAGTATAAATTTTTTTTATACAATTTTACATACATATGTTACTTTAGAAAAGATAAAAAATGACTTTATCATACATTAATATTTTATTTTATTTTTCTAGACAGCAGAAAGAGTACTGCAAAATGAATGTGGTACTAAAATAAAAGTAAAGTTTTATGGAAACGCACCCATTGGATTTTACAAATACAAATATCCTCGGAAGCTTCAGGAAAAAGAAAGCTGTGGTGCTAAAATATTTTATTTTTTAGCAAAATATGTTGATGGAGATATTACGGATAACGTAAAGTATCAATGGTTGGATCATGAAGAACTAGAAAAAGTATTACCTCGTGAAATGCAAAAGAGCATTTCACAGTTTATGTTGTGAATTTAAACAATATATCATTAAAATATTTTATCACATCTAAATCATCTTCGAGTAGTATTGAATGAAGTCGAGATTAATTGTATTATAAACTTTATTTAAAAAATAATAATATCTAAAAATTAAAACAATTATATAGTTCAGAATCGCCCACATCTCTTTCGTCCAGTATACTTTGAATCATCCCTAACTTCTTTTCCTTGCCGCCGCCGTCTTTCCTTTTTCTCTATAATCCACTCCCTACTCTTCTTTAATGGTTTACCCCTGGCTTTCTTTATATACTCCCTGTAATATAAGATTTGTACAAGATCTTTGTTTTAATAAAATAAAATGTAAAATAAATATACTAAATACACGTGAAATTAATAGTATAGCTTTAATTGTAAATTACCAAATAATATAGACATAAGGATCATACCTTTTTGATGTATAAGCTACATTCTGGTTGTCACTTTCTGTACCTAGTGCTTTTGGGAGAGCAACTGCACCACCGGTCATTAAGACCAAAAATATTTTCTTTGCTTTTGTACTATTTGGAAAATCTATGACCACGCCGCCAAAGAAACCAGCTTTTGTAGCTTGAGTAGTAACTAACTCAATTTGCTTACTGTTCTCTGGATAGAACTGCAATACAGCTCTTGCGTTTCTCGACAGACATGCAAACAATGTTGAGAAGAAATGATATAAACGTTTAACAGGATTGTGTGAAGCTTTGTCTGCATAACACAACCATTGTAATGCAGAAACACTAACAGCACCATCAAACGCACCGGCTCTAAATGGCATTCCTTGACCTATATCCCCTAAGATCAAGTCACCGTCCGTTTCTCTTTCTTTAGCTACATCTGTAAAATATGAAATACATTATATATAATTACAAGCAAAATTAAAAGTGGATATTATAATCACATATAATAATGAAATATTTTGACATCATTTAACACACAAATTATATTAAATAAAACATATTGTAGTGCAATTGAAATATTTACCAAGCATAGCTGAAGAAATATCAACACCTATCCATACATGTCCCTGATCTTCTAGCACACTGCCACTTAGACCTGAGCCGCAGCCAATATCTAAGAGTAAACAACTCTGGTCTTCAGGTAATACAAGAAGTTCTATAGCACGTTCAGACATTTGTACTTGAATATCTATCATACGGGAGCTGCAAATATATTTATTTTATTAATATCATCAAAAATATATAGTTATATGTAAAATTTTATAAAGATATACCTTTGAGTGTACTTCTTGGCTTCTGTTTCATTATAATACTGTCGCGAGAAAGATATATCAAATTAACCTCTTCATTAATTTATTAATATAGTTTGTGATCATATAAAGAACTTTATTATATATTCAAATAGCACACACTTGTTATATTCTTCAACTTTAAAAATACTATACAATTTATTTATTCTAAATTACACATTTATAAAACAAAATACTTACCACCTCAGGTGGTGCCATACGTTCTGGACGCTTAGACATGATGTCTAATGTGTATATTTTTATTGTAACTTTCAAAAATTACCGTAAAAATACGTACACATGCAACAAACACGTTTTACAGAATAAATATACATAACCTACTAGAATGCGTTCTTTTTAAATGCTACAACGATGACGAAATAAGTTATCCCAAGAATGTCGAGTCGCATTGGTCAATTCGACAATTTGGCAATTCGACCAATATGATTGGACATTGTAGACCAATAGTCGCAATCTTTACGAATGTTAAGTGGAACACACCTTAAGAAGAAGAGATCTAAAGCCTGTATCAGACTACGGATTGGAGATTGAGATTGAATTGAAATTTGATTAATCAGTGCAAAATTCACTAAATTTCACTAAACTCGAGTTCAGTTAACTTAGCTAAATTAAATTCAATCTCAATCCCCAATCCATAGTCTGATATAGGCTTAATAAAATAGAAAGCGCGTAAAAAATATCGATAAAATAATACAATTCCCAAAATCGATTACTCAAACAAGAAGTTTCGAGAATCGATATATTATACTGCCCACACATGAATTGAAATAAATTGAGCTGGAACTCAGAAGGATTAGAGGAAAATTTTTAGAAAGAAAAATAGTCTTTTCATAATTTTTCATGCATAACTAGTGAAATATACAGAATGCCTTATAAATTCTTATTTGAATTAACGTACTCCAAACATTTAAGATCAAACACTTACGATACGAATTATGGAAACGTATAATCACGCATATTTGGTTTAAGAACCTTTACATTACGAATAAACTTGATTCTCTATACACACAAGGAATTATACTTATTTTCACGAAATTTATTTTCTCGTATATCATGCAATTCCTAACAATAACTCGTTTTTTACTTAATATTGATAAGCTACAAATGATTATAAAACTAGAATTTTCCAGTTACCACTCCTTAATTTTGTATATAATATGCTTGTTCACTCAGTTCACTTAATGGTATTTTCTTTGACGATACAATAAATATATGTAAATGACAAGTTTATTATATCCAGTTTATATACTCATTTTAGTCATAAATAATATTTATATATATAAATACAATAAACACACAATAGTCCATTCTGTCAAGATCCATTTATAATATTTACAGAATTTTTAATGACTAGTTTTCGGAAATTCGAGAAAGAACCGCATTGCCATAAAGTCGCATTATGCGAGCAATGGTGTAATGCAATCAGAAATCTGTGATTACATCGCATCTGAAGCATTTATAGACTCTACTCTTGCTATTTCCTCAAATTTTCGAAAACCATTACTAACGCTTTTGCAAATTTACGATTAATGACGATGATAGAGTACGTATCGTAATATTTTTAATCATAAAGACACGATACAAAAGTTCTCACAATATATATATATATATTTTTTTTTTATTTCATCTGATATTGATAAGTTTCGTGCACGAAAACTTGCAAATGATGATAATAAAGAATGTTTACAGAAAATTTCTCACATTGATAAATCTAACGAATAATATTTCCAAGCCAATTATTAATAAAAAGTGTAAAAATATAAAAAAAAGGTAAAGAAAATACATATAGTGTCAGAGCCCATGAGAAGCAGGAGTTTAGAGAGGTAATCGATTTACAAAACTTCTATTTTGAATCAGGAAATCTGGTCTTTATTTCCAAAAATATCTCGCCCACGTCTGGACTGCCCAAAACTGCCTGCAAATACAAATAAAAAGAACTGTGAGAACTTTTTCGGTATATAAACCGTAAAACTTATCCCCAACGCGGAGTCCGTTCACGGTGATATAACGCACAGCGGAGCACTTAAGAATCTCTCACTCGTACACAGTTTGTCCATTCAGGGTTTTCATTGTGAAATTGGATTGTGTATTCAATGAAAAAAAAAAAAATACAATAAAGATCGTAATAACAAAGACCACATTCTCAAAAGATCAAACACTTTATTTAATATGAAGGTGTGCACCTGGGGGATTTAGGATATACAAAAATTCATATTATCTAAGCTTGAATGTACATCTTCTGCGACAACGCTTGTGATTAAAGTATCCCTTCCAATACCCAACTAAACCTCTGCCTAGACAAACGAGTTGTAATCGTGGTGACAAAAGCATCGAACAAAAAATGTTGAATATAGACCGAATCATCCAGTTCGAAATATCTTGGGGGGAAATAGGTGGATTAAAAAGTTTCAAAAGGAAAAACTTCAAGATCTCTATGACAACCATTGGACTTGCGACGGGATAAAAGTGTGAACCAAGTCCGGACAAAGTAAAACCTTTGACCTGTTGCGATAATAGGGATAAAGTATAATCAAATTGCACCGGGCTGTGCTCTTCACACTTTAGTTCTATTCTTGCCACCCTGTAGCGTGATATATATTATATTGTAATATTATTATTAAAAATCTAAGTAAAAATAATCCCGACCAGTACCGGTAATATAGTAATAATAGTAATGTCTATAATAGTATTAATAGCGATAATAGTAAGAATAATAATAGTAATAGTAGTAATAGCAGAGCAGCAATATCGATAGCGGCAACAGTAGTAATACACTAATAGTAATAATGTCGTACTACTAACTCCTGTAGCGCAACAGATAGCTATATCCGTAATCTACTATTATAAATCGAAACGAATACGAAAATGTTGGAATATTTTGGTAGATCGCGTTTACATAAGCGATATAGTTCATCAACTCACTCAGTATATATACTCACACACCATGAGAGATCAGCTGAGAGCTTCTTATTTCACTTACTTTTTATTATTTTTTTTATTATAATGAATTATAGCCAATAAAATTGAGGCTTAGATCAAATCAGCGACATTCATTGGCATCTCATCGATGTGAGTGTTGTAGAATTGTTCAATGTCTTTTAAAGTTCTCTTATCCTCTTCTGTCACGAAGTTAATGGCCACACCTTTACGACCAAAACGACCACCACGACCAATTCTGTGATATGGAAAAAAAAATTATCAGAATTCATACATTTATATATATTATACATATATATTAACAGTAACACAAAGCTTTAACATTTTAGTGAGGAAATAAAACCATAATAAAAATATACATTTCTAACATCCCTAAGGTTGACGTTACGTTAATATTTTCAATACTTTCTGAAAATACATCTGCAGCTTGTGTTTTTTAACGTATCATCGAAATACAAAATCCGATTTTCCTTAAACTGCAGCACTGATTATTCAAATTAAAATTATAAATATATACGAAATCTCTCTCTTCTTTTTCTATTTATATATTACTACTTCATAGATAGTATTTCCTCTTTCATGACTAAAAATTGTATTTTGCTCAAATAAATTATACTCCGTTAATCTCAATATATATGATTAAAATATAATTATTATTAAATTATTATTAAATAATAAAAAATAAATTAAATAGTCACACAATTTACCTGTGAATGTAATTTTCACGATTCGAAGGTAAGTCATAATTAATGACCAACGACACTTGCTGCACATCTATACCACGCGCCAGGAGATCGGTGGTGATCAAAACTCTGGATGAGCCAGTGCGGAACTGCCTCATAATGAGATCACGTTCCTTCTGTTCCATGTCGCCATGCATAGCAGAGACGGTAAAGTCACGTTTGTGCATACTCTCCGTTAACCAATCTACTTTGCGGCGCGTATTGCAGAAGATAACAGCCTGAGTGATACTCAGAGTATCGTACAGGTCGCAAAGAGTCTCCAACTTCCAATCTTCACGTTCAACGTAAACGAAAAACTGTTTAATTCCTTCAAGTGTCAGCTCCTCTTTCTTAACCAAAATACGAATGGGATTTCTCATAAAGCATTTGGATACATCCAAAACATCTGACGGCATTGTGGCAGATAATAGAATAACCTGGAAGAGACAATCATGTTGTGTATGAGAGACGATGAAGGCTAAAACTATTTGCGAGGAACCACGTGTCGATACAATGTGATAATCGATATTACATGTTGATGTAAGAAATAAATAATCGGTATGTATGTATTGGTATGTTGAAAGTTATTATATAAGTAACTATACGTGTGCAATATAAAATGGCATCATGCTGTAACAGCTATTGTAAATTATTGCTGCTATCACAGAGATATTAAGAGTGACTAATCCATTTTGGGACATTAACGATTATTATTAGGAGTGCTATGCCACGATAACTGTTTGCATTTTAGGCGACTATTACTTCCAGACAAAATATATATGAACACATTCGATGGTAACAGAGCTTATGTCAAACTTATAGTTATACGTTTGACAAGATGGCACTGTTACAACGCACCTGTATCTTATAATATATTTGTTAACTTGACTACTATAAGGTATACCGCAACTTTTTCGTCTTGTACGATTTGTGGACTTGTCCAAAAAAGAGAGAGATACTTTCTAATAATTAAAATAAAATTATCTATTAGATAGTAATTGTAGATCAAACGAATCTCTATAATGCTCAGAAAAAAATATATATCTCTCATATACCTGCACTTCATTGGGCAATAGTTTGAAAACATCGTGGATTTGATCTTTGAATCCTCGCGACAGCATCTCATCGGCTTCATCCAGGACAAACAGTTTGATGCTGCTTGCGCGTAGCGCTCTTCGACTGATCATATCGTAAACTCTGCCGGGTGTGCCAACTACCACGTGGACACCCTGGTCTAATTTACGCATATCTTCGCGTACATTCGTACCACCAATACACGCGTGGCATTCAGCATGCATAAAATCGCCTAGCGCGATAACGACCTTTTGGATCTACACGGAAATCAGAGTATCACGTTTACAGTTCACGTAAAGTAAAACATATTTCCTCGATTTCAACGGAATTCTTTGTTAAAACGGACACCTAACGAATTGCTTACTTGTTGGGCTAACTCACGAGTTGGTGCGAGGATCAAAGCCTGGCATTCTTTAATACTAGTGTCAATTTGTTGAAGAATCGATATCGAGAATGTCGCAGTTTTGCCAGTACCTACGGATACCAAAATATACAATATTGTATAATATATGCTCATGTATATACTAATACATTAACATGCCATCACAGATTAGCAGAAGAGTTTCTCACCAGATTGGGCCTGAGCAATGACATCGAGTCCCCTTATGCATGGTAAAATGGCACGTTGTTGAATTGCCGACGGTTTTTCAAAACCATAAGCATATATTCCACGCAATAGTTCTTCTTTCAAATTCATTTCATCAAAATTTTCGACAACCTAATCGTATCAAAGTATACATTTTATAAGCTGTCACAAAATATCTATGTACGTGTATGTGTACGTGTATGTACGTGTGCGAGTGACGAAATTATATAATTTCATAAAATATACAATTGTTGACAAAGATACGTTAAGATCTCTTCTAGAAAATAATTCGGTACAAATATTATCAGATAATCAACATTTTACGTGGAAGTATTATGTATTCATTTTTCAACCTTTTTCAACCTTGTAAATTCGATAAAGATTCGACAAAGATTACTCAGACCAATCAAAGAAATCCAGATTAGAAAAATGTCATAACAAACACATAACAAGATTATTTCACTTTTCTAATTAATCTCAATAATTCCATAAATTATAAACTGTGTCTAATAACGTGGCTAATCGTGGAAAAACCAGTAAAGAAATAACAAATTGTATTTCGAGGAACTTCCTTGAACCAAGCAGCAATTGTTCCTGCTTGTTAAATTCATACAGTACATAAAAAATGCATATTTATTAAAACTTCCCTATATAATCTGTATTATGTCCACTGAATTATTCCAGAGAAAATTAATGTATTCTCAATTTAAAACTGCCTGACAGTTTGTTTTTAGCTGAACTGGCTATATTAGCTCAAGAAATACATGCATACCAAAGCATAAGAATCTTTACATATGCTCCAACGCGTATGTAAATTTCTTGAACTAGTGCTAGTTTAACTAAAAAAAGAGCGGACCATGTTATCTCAAGATAAAATATTCTTCATGACATCAGTAGAAAGCATGATAAAGAATTTTGTTACACTCAGATATATTAAAACAATGACTAGTTTACTCACAACGTCCCAGTTGGACTCGATGATGCCATCAGGGTCCATTCCCGGAGGCCCATCGTACGTGGGTTGCTCACTTTCACTAGGGCCATTTTTTGAATCTCCTGGCCATTGATCATCATTTCTGAAACATAAATAAGATATCGTTAACTTTAAATATTAATGATTATTGAAAAATTTTCGATAAATCAGGCTTATAAATCATAAAACACTAATCATAACAAAAATATATCTATTTGATATATTTTACCACAACATAACTTTTACAATAAAAACATGTGATCAAAGAATATTAAGTAAATTTTTCTGTATCAAAATAAGAGATAAACATTAAATTTATGGAATTATTTTGATAAAAGCTCTAAAACATTATACATCATAATTTCAACTGGTCATATAACTTTTCCTGGGAGCAAAAGTTCGGTAAATATCAGGCAAACTAACGACGATTTCGGCCGTCGTGTAACTTTTCGGACGATAAAAAATGTGAAACTCCCCACTTTTCACATTTCTGCTCTTAGGGAAAAGTTAGACGGTCGCCACCCCGTAAGGGAATTTATAATATTAGTCACGACAATTATGACACGATGACAAATCACTTTTAAAATCCACGTGACCTTGAGAGCTGAAGTTTTGAATCGATCTGACGAAATACATATATCGGAATCCTACACAAATAAGGCATAATTTAACGGCCATTTACGTTTACGAGCGCCGTGCGAATGTGAACACGACGACGACGACGGAACGAGATCATCGGGATCCGCGAGTTTTCGGTACGTGCGAATCGGAGCTGGCGGACTAACTTGACAGTGACTCACGCGGAAGCATGGCCAAGGAGAAACGAAACGTGTTGCTTCCTGCCGAACGAGCGAGGTGCGCGAGACACGAGATGCTCTCTCTCTCTCTCTCTCTCTTTCTCCCCCGGAGCTCTCGTGCGCGCCCGAACGCGGGCCCGGACACCCGGATTGATTTTTCGGCGGAAACCGTGCAAAAAACGCTATTTCATTACGTAATTCCGGAGCAATGGGAAAACGTGTTCGGCCTGTCGAGTGGCGGTCACGGGGGGAAAAAAGCTTCACCCTGCGACCACGCCGTCGGGACACACTTCGAACGCGGAATCGCCGGGGAGGCCCCGGACGAGTCCGTCCGGGCGGTTTTCGCCACGTTACGGCCGCCGGATGAGGTTAAGACCATCCCCGCGGATACGGCACTCGCGATCGCCGTTAATCTCCCGCGAGCAATGTGACAAAAACGAATGGCACGCCATGTTGTCAGTCTCGTGTCCCGTGCGTCCCGATCTCGGCCACTATTTCTCGCGGTCGCATTTTAATTCGGCGCCGCGCGGAATTTCACGGAGCACGAAACCAGACAACGGCCACCGTCGCGCGGGGATCACGGGACGACGCGGAAACGCGAAAACCTCTGGCCGTTGAGGTAGAAAAGACCGAACTTACCGTCGTTCAGAAGTATGCGACATGTTCCACTCACGGGAGGACAACGGAAAGGAAGAGTGAGGAATAGTTCGTATGGCGTCACGAGGCTCATTCACAGCGACTGCCGCGCTACGGCGCTGCGAACGGCGCCGGTGAAGATTTCGACGATTTTTATAGGCGCGCTAGATCGCTATCGGCCGGGCCTGCTGGGGATAGAGCCAATTAGCGCCGCAAACATTCGTGGGCGAGGGGAGAATTTCTTTCGCTCATACAAAAATTTCCGAGATATTTCGTTTACCGGCCCTCATCGCGCATGACAGGACGTGACGTTCTGTACCCATAGTGACTTGCGGCGTTGTAACAAAGCTTTAGGCGGCGAATGTGAATGTTCTCAACGCTTTCCCCGAAATTTATCCAGAAAGACCGCTGATGAATATTATCCACCTACACCTGTTTAGTACACAGTAAAGGCTGCTACACATTAAGTGTCAAAATACAATGGCATAACACGAGCATGTTGACGATGAAATAATTGATGTATATGTCTTATTAAATACAGACAATATATCATTATTGTAGGTATATATCATTTAATCAGTCAAAATGTTTATATGCTGTTTTATTTAAGTAACTGCTTATTTATAGCAGCCTGCAGCACGCACCAATTCGGCATGGTGTAGACGGTCGAATTCGCTGTACAATTGAAAACAATTGGAATTTTTTTTTTCAATTATTTTAAATTAATTTCTATATATACGGCTAGTGGAAAATAAAAATGGTAGTCTGTAATAAACTCCAAGTAGACATAATATATACATAATTATATATGAAGTAATATATATATATACATATATATTACTTAATTATATATAAAGTTTTTATATTCGTATTACTTAATTACATATAAAGTAATATATATAAAACGTTATATACAAAGTAACTGTTAGATCCATTATAATCTATATAATGAATATATTAAATATTACGTGAAATGTCTTACGTGAAATTCGATATGTTTGGTGTATATTAAATAATATATATATTTATTTGTTTGTTGGTTATATACAAGTCTAAAGATCTTCAGTCTTATTCAACTTATGAATAAATTATTTATTACATGCGATAGATAACATAATGAAATCCCTTTTACCCGAACCCTGTACCAAATTTTCATATGATAAAAAAATCATACTTGTATTTTTAATAAAATAATACTTTTGCACTTCCAATGATAGGCATATATTTACTCGGGCGAATATCTTTGAGTCGAAATATACAGAGTTATTTATATTCATTCAATGTAAGCGCAGCCAAGAATTACAGACAATATTGCAATTGGGAAAATAACATATATACCCATTCGCGGTTGGCACGTAGAAATCAACATACTAACATCGTCCGTTTCGTCGTGCTCTATACCATCCTTGGTTGGTATTTCGACAATCACCCTTTCCGGTGATAACATATTTACAGAAAACGAGCATTCGGTTTGATTAATGCAAGACTTGGTTATATTCTCATATTGAAAAGTTGGTTTATATATATCAAAGACCGCATAAATGTCATTAGATACGACGTCGTTATCGCTATAGAAAATATAATAATAATAACCGTTCTCTTCAACGTGGTGGCTTGTCTGTATGTGCTTGCCACTGAGTAAATAGCTAATATCAGTACATTGATTGGAAGGTTCGAACTCGTGTGCCAACAATATCGATCCACCGTAACAGTTAAATAAGCCATACTCGAAACTGGAGACAGACGACTCGTCGTTTGATTCGGACATATTCTTATCGGCATTACCACCGTGTCTGATGCCTTGATCTAACAACGATGGCGGTTTCACGAGTTCTCGACTTCTTTTGAGTCTTTTGGCGTTCTTCAGACTAGTATCTTCCACTTTTGCCGACTGTTTATATACGTCTTTTTCGCTGACCGAATGCAATACCCGTTCTAATTTTTTTACACGCATCTTTCTCGAGTACTTTTGAGTATTTTCTGTACTGTTTTCTATTCTCTTCCTCTTGTTTTTCTTCGTACCACGTTGTCTGTTTGTAGTGTGTCTCATTTCTCTAGTATTGTTCACCGTTGTCGCTCGATAATGATCCGTATATTTGTGGACATAAGTAGCTGCCTTTCTGTACAACATCTCTAAACTTTCGTCATTTTTTAAAGCCACTGAACTTGCATTATGCGCCTGTGCGCTATTATCTATTGTAGAAACTTTAAAATCTCCCTTCAAAAGGTCCTTAGACTTAGAATTTACACGCACATGTGATTGCGTATCATTGATACTGTACGTTTTAACAGACCCAAGTATCTCATTAGAATCAATCTCTTGCGCATTCGATTCATATATTATTTTAACTTGTTTATTGGCTCCTGGCATAAAGAGTGCTTGATCCTTCTCAATATTGTGTTCCAACAGGCCACAGGTTTGTAAATTCTTCTCTCCTTTCACCACTAATATGGAGGCTCCCTCAAATCTAAATGGAAATATTGCTTTTATAGAGATATATTGTGCTCTCACAGATAAAAATGAAATAAAAAAATATATTTGCAGACTGCAACTGCGGCACATAATAGTTCACTTATATTTCCTATTTTGCTTACCTTGAACACACAGAGAGAACTACAGTTGCACCTTTTAACAGGTAAAATCCCCAATATTCTAATGTATCATCTGGTAAACTCATGCTCTTTTTTAATCTTATATGTTTTCGATACGACGTTACTTCTGGTCGATGCGACATTTGAAAAGCATTGAAGGTGTCATTCATTCGTACAGTATGTTCCTATAAAGATCCAACGTTTCATCACATTCTTTTAATTTAAAGATGTTGATATAAATAATATAACAATTTATATTCTTATATGTCATAATTCATGTCAATTAATGTTTTATCATGAGTGATACAAAATTTTGTTTAATGTTATTTGATATCAAGTCACATAATAACAAGTGGTAAAATTAAATATTATATTCTTTCTTACTGAACAAAATATGCTCGAAACTCCATCGTTGATTTCCATGATATCAGATTCTGTTACAGCATACGCAACATCTGCATAGAGACTATGCCGTAGATACAGAGGGATTATTAGAAGCGTAATTGGTAAGAGAACTATCGTTGTGCAGAAAAATAATATTCTTCTGATACCGTGCATTTTTATTATGTCTACAGAAAATGCAAGTTAAATGCATGTTAGAGAATGATTACCGATGTTAGTTGGAATATGTATATGAGGAAGCAGAAATTGTTTATATATACATGGTTTTATGCATCTTAATAAAGCTATACTATGATGCTATGTATGAAATATTCATCTAAGCATACATAGATTCCCAAATATTAATGCTACTAAACGTTATTTTAAATAGAAATTAAAAAGCACCTTTACATTCAGAGATAATAAAATCCGAATGAACACCAAATAGTAGTAACAAGACATCAATGTTATAATTTCGTACTGGACAATGTAACTGGACAATGTTACATAACACACGTGCTATATTGCGCATTTACATTGTTGAGTGGGAAACTATAATATTATGTTATTGTTAGTTGATGTTCACTGGAATATACATGTTATATCTGCTAAGTAGATATGCAAAGAATATATGTAACATGCATCTAAAAAATTATGTTGAAATATTATTAACGTATCAAGTACAATCTATAAGAAAAAAATTATTTCTCCATATACTTCAATTTATAACGTATATTTTATTGTATATCGTGCTCGATAAATGTTTTGGAGGTTATGTCTTAATTCATGTTTAAAAATATTCTAGTTTAAACTTCCTTTATAAATATTATAAATGTTATAGTCCACAAACTTAACAGAGAAAGACGAAAACATAGAAAAAAACATATATATTATTTAGGTAGCATACCTACTTATAAATATAAGGTAAAAATAGTATGATGATTTTTATTAAACACATGTATATTTCTCTTTCCAAGAAATAATAATTACATATTTCTATCAAGTCGTTATTCATAAAAGTTTTAAATTCCAGAGCTTTACAGTATATGTTCTAATTACATATTAATTACATTTGTAATAAACGTTAGTAGAAAAAGATTAAGCGTTAATAAGACTATAGATAAAAACTGAACTTTATCGACATCTAGATAAACGATTGATAAGCGATATGAATAGGATTTGACCGTTATCGTGTATGATTCATCTGTTTTACTAACAATATATAAATGATATATAAATCATATATTAATTGCATGAGTTACACATTTAATAAAATATTACGTATAATTTATAGGCAATTCGCAGATATTTATACAACTATTAAAAAATACCGTATATATATATATACAATTTGTTTAAATTTCATTTATTAGTATATGAAAGTTACATTTTCTTTATTTTGGTACACTACATAAGAGGAGAGAATATTTTATATATATATATAGTATGTGTGTGCATATGTAACTTACTTCTTTTGCTTAAAAAGCAATTGTTATATAAACATAGCAAGTATTTGTATTTAAAAAGTAATACTGGCTATTGATTTATAGTAATTGTCCTTTGTAGCAGTATGTGTTTCAGATATGTCAATCCGATTAAATATATTCGTTCCAAATAATGTATTCTCATGAATCTAAAACAAAATAACATAATGTTATAAATAGCTCTATTATTAATCTGTTTAATTATTTATGTAAATGTAATCTACAAAAATATATATTTTGTTACTTTTAATATTTCGCTTGCATTAAATTTTTGTTTATATGCTTCCTTCTCATCTTTAAAGTGTATATTCATTACAGTCATGTGTAACTTCACTCTTTCATATTCCTTCTCTCGTAAACCTACAATTAATATAGTTAATTATTTCAATGTGTGTGTGTGTGTGTGTGTGTGTGTGTGTGTGTGTGTGTGTGTGTGTGTGTGTGTGTGTGTACGGTATATCAATATAAACAATATTTTCATAAATGAATATTTTATAAGATTATGCATATATAGTAACTAAAAAATTACAAATTATACTATGATAGTTACTCAATATATTAAATATGTTTAATTCTATTTTGTATATGTTTTGTATTTATTATATATTTCATTATATATTAAATATATTTAATTCTATGTGACAAATATTATTTACCTATGTTTGTAAAATAATCAGCAATTTTATCAACAATTTCTTGTAATTTTTCATTGGGTGTAACTTGTGCAAACAAAACTTTAACCTCAGTGGGATCATCATTCATACATGCAACCCCTCGTAAGTGTATATTTAGTGGTCCAGCTTTTTCAAGGATGGGGCTGTAACAGATTATTTAATTATTTAAAAATCTTTTAGAATATTGTTGCTCACATAATATTTAATATAATTTGTCATACATTTATATGATATAAAATCTATTAGTTTTGCAATCAGTTACATATATACTATTAATTAAAATAGCAAGCTTTTTTTATTATCATTCACAGATCAGAATATATTACTTTACTTACTCTATGATATTTTCTTTACAATGCATAAGAGCATTAACAGCTTGTTCTTTCTCCTTATCATCGAATAATTTCAGCACTCCAATGGTAAGATGCAATTTAGATGATGTTTGGAACAATGATTCATCAATGTTATACGCAGTTTTGCCATAATTTTCCAACACATTATTTTTAAAAGAATAATATTTCTCAATTATTTCTTCTGTATTTAATGGTATCGATAAGAAATGTGTAAAACGTATTTTTTTTTTCGAGGCTTCCACTAACAAATCAATTCTATGTTTTGCTGATACTATGGCTTTACGATCTTGTGCAGTAATAACTATGAATAAACACACAATATTAAAAAATTACAAATTATATTAAAAGCTCTAATTAAATGGTTCTTAACAATATAGTTATTTTTACCAATGTTTTCATCTTGGTCCTTTTTCTTTGGTACATATATGGTTGCTTTTGTCTCAACTTCTAATTTTTTAAGTATTGTACCTTTTGCACCAATTATATGTGAATAAAAAATTCTAGAATGATGCAAATAAGAGTAATATCCGTTTCTACCATAATGATTTAAAAAGTTAATCTCTAGTATGATATTCGGCTAGTCTAAGCTTTTCAAAATATTAGTTCCTACCAATAATTTACTTACGATTGAAGGTATATAAACTGAATAAATTGAACATCAAATGAGTTCAATTTAAACAACAATATGGACTGTTTAGAACTATTTAACGATGGAAGAAAATGACTAATCAGTTTGATATTAAAAAAATCGTGCTTAACTTTTATTTATATATAATGGCATATTTAAGTTATCTTGTCTTTTCATCTTCTAATAATAAAAATCATCGAGAATCACACAGAAGAAAAAAAATTTTAACGATGTACAAGATTTAGAGAAACTAAATGATATTAAATTTAAAATATGACTTAGATTAAACAAGCAATCAGTACTATTAGCATCGCAAGAAATAAGAAGAGAATTAAAGTTTTTGACAAATAGGTAAGTTCAAACTATTTAATAATAATATTTTATAATAATATTGCATTAATTATGCGTATATGCAGTATGAGAAAAAGAGAGATAATATAATAAGATAATCAGCTCTATATTTTATTCAATTTCAAGTAATATGCGAATATTAGAACAATATATTTAGAAAAAATTTACTTAGGTACGTAGAAGGTATGTTTAAAAAATGCATCATAATCTACTATTTCTATCTCATTTTCAAGCTCTTCATCTGAACAAACTGGTTCTTTATCCTCCATGTATGGGGCTGATGTATGAATGTTTTTCCAGGCACTACTTTCATAAAATCTGTAGCATCTATCACCAACCCAAATTAATTCTGGCTCTAATATGTCCATTACATGAAATGCAAAATATTTTATGTAAGAATTCCTAAAATTTACATTATTCAATTAATCGACATTAATAATTGTCACATTATTAAAAATATCGATAAACCAAAACAATATCTAACCTGTTTAATATACTTAATGCACGGTGCATTGAATTATGTTGAAACGTAATACCTATAGGACTCGTGGCATAATTCAACCTTAATGTATCTTTTCTCCTTCGATGAACTTCTTAATTAACTAAAGGAATTTCCTCGACGAAAAGTTGCAACCACAGAGATATAAGAATAGAGGGAACAAGGGATATATGCTACGTTTAAGTGGAAGTGATAGAGGTCAAGAGAGAGATGGATGCCGAGTGTCCTATCTGTCTCTTTCTAGTTGAGCGCTGTGATTGGTACAATGAGCCGCCAAGACGACCACGCGACGTCAGGAGGGGAGAAAGCAGACTAAAATTTCGTTTTGTAAACATGCGTGCACATGTGTATAGAATTAAAATTCGTTAAATATTCGAACGTTAACAAAATAATAATTGGACGCGATTTGTTTAAAAATGAAGCATTGTTTGAAATGCAAGGCGGAGTCTTAACCTGGATGTAACCGCAGTTTTCACTCGTAAGAAAGTACAAATACGTAACCTCAAATAATTATGTTATTTTTTCCTACATTTAAAAAAATATGTAAATGTTATAGGCTACCGAAGGATGTAGATATAAGGCGTAAATGGTTGAATATACTTCAACTACCTTTGTATTTTGAAGTGAAAACAGCATATATTTGCAGTGATCATTTTAGCAATGACAGTTTCTTTGAATTGGATGGAGAAAAATGTATAGCTATATCGTCGTTGGTGCGGCAGCCAATCCCAGCGCGTGACTAGAAAGAGACAGATAGGACACTCGGCATCCATCTCTCTCTTTGCCTCTATCACTTCCACTTACAGGCTTGTTCCCTCTATTCTTATATCTCTATGGTTGCAACACATTTATATATATTTACTAAAGTGAAATTTAGTAAATTTTGGACTTAAAGTCCGTGTCACACTACGGATTAAGGTTGAAATTTGATGAATCAGAACAAAGCTCACTAAACTCGTTTAGTCAAACCTGCTTTGATTGGTCAAGTTTCACCCCAATCACAATCTTAATTGGATCGGATCGAGTTGCTGGCCGGATGTAAAAGTTGCTAGAAATTATTGGAAATTCTAGTACCTTTCAAGCATTTACCAACATAAATACAAGATCTCGATTCGAGATCTAGCATCGTAGATGGACATAAGGCCTTAAAGGGCATTTTACAATACGTGGCGAATGCCTCGTCTCCAATCGCGAAGAATGGCAATTATATCAGGGGTATGCAAAGGTTTCCGTCGTTTGAAGGAGAAAGGAAATAGGAACAAGCAGGAAACCAGAACATATTTATTTAACGGAATATTGGCCGTTAGCATCAATAACTTTTTGCCATTTTTCGGGCAACAAATGAATGCCCTCCTGTGATAGGACTCGGGTTTTGAATTGAAGAACGCGGCGACAAATTTTTCAACATCTGCAACTGTGGTGAACCGTCATTGGGCTAGGGAATGTTGCATAGAGCGAAATAAATAAAAGTCGGAAGGTGCTAAATCTGGGAAGTAAGCCGGGTGTGGTAAAACTTCCCACTTTAACTGTTCAAGAGGTGACTTTGTAGTTGCACCGACATGAGGTCTGGCATTGTTGTGTAACAGGATAATTGGCCGTCGTCCTCTATCAGTCCATAGGCGTTTTCGCTCAATTTCGCCATTAAGTTTCATCAACTGAGTGCTGTACCGTTGTGCAGTGATTGTTTTGCTCGGTTTCAACAGTTCAAAGTACAACACTCCATATAGATCCCACCACACATACAACAGTACCCTTTTCCCGTGGATATCCTGTTTTACAGTGAATATTGATGGCTGACCTGGATTGACCCTGGATCACTTACGTACTGAGTTGTCACAATAGATCCATTTCTCATCGCCGGTTGCCACTTTCCACAAGAAATTCTTCCGTTGAAACCGCTGCAGCAACGACATGCATATGCCCAATCGTTGACCAATATTACGCTCCGTTAAAGTATGCGGAACCCATTTACCAATCTTCTGGATCTCTTCCAAAGCTTGTAGACGCCGTACCGTCGATTGATCCACTTTTAAGCGTTTCGCCAGTTGCGTGGTCGATAGTGTGGCATCCTTTTGTAACAACGATTCCAGCTCCTCGTCTGAGAATTCCTTCGGCCTACCAGCGCGTGGTTTGTCTTCCAAGCTTCGATCACCTTTCTTAAACCTGGCAAACCATTCTCGACACGTTCACTCACCAATAACCGTTTCGCCATAAGCCTGACATATTGAACCATATGCCTCGTTTGCACTCTTTCCTAAATTAAACATGAATAACAAACAGTGGCGCACATGAACTTTATCGACCGCCATACTTGGCTTCATGAACGAAATAACCGCACGGATAGCCGGCCGATTGGACGACTACAGCGACGTGTATTAATGGCGGCGGAAACTTTTTCATACTCCTAATAGAATGTCCTTTATTAGTCAAGACGGTTTTATGCTATGCATATGCAGCTATGCCATTTTTTATGTTTGACGGTCCTAAAGACGTAATCACACTTCTAAAGCGGAAAGCACATACTTTGGCATAACGCATAAAGTAACAAACCAGAGTTCTAAGTTTTTATCCTCACGATGGAAACGAAAGATCCTGATTGGCTCGCCTTCTTATGCGTCATGTACTTATGCGCTGTGCTGGAGTGTGTGCTTCCTGCTTAAATCTTAAGAAATTGACCAATCACAGACGAATATTTCCCTCACATTCGATTGTGATTGTTCAATTTCTCAAGGCTTAAAACACTTATTATAGAGTGGGACTAAAGTACAAGAGAATAAAGTGCATTAATTCTTTTTAAGTGTGAAAAAGTGTAGATAGATGCGCCATCTCTAAACTTCCGACACAACAGTATTACAAGCAAGCATTCAATGATTGAGCATATCTTGGCTTTTTCCAGGTTAGACGTTTTCTTCAGATCATCGTGTCTAAATATTTGTACATCGTGATTCTTTGTTAAAGAATCAAAGGCATTATTTATATTTATGAATTTTCTCCTGCATTAGTAAATAGGTAAACTTTTAATATGTGAAATATATTTTACCTATCTTGTCTAATATGATTGTTAATTCATTTAAAAATCATATTCTGCGATTAACAGATTATGATCAATCGTAAAGTTTTGATCATAATATATATTACATATGCGGGCAGAATTAAAAAGAATTACAATCGATAAATAATAATTACTACATAAACATAGTTCTTTTTATTCGATACTTTACATTGCTTTCGTTTCGAAGATCACGCATCACAGAATCAATTTTTTGTACCATGTATAGACAAAATGTGTTGATAATATAAAGTTAAATTTATAAATGCAAGAGATTTACCCTTCCGCTTGGTTTGGTTTTTTGTAAACGTTACATAAGCCAAAAAGCACATACAGCAGCAACCAAGTTGTTAAGCAGTTGAAAAGTTATGTGTAATCTATTATTTACAAGATTTGTTTTGTAACATTATATAAATAAATATTGGCTGAATATTAACTACAAGATAAATATTGAAAAAGGTAGGTCAAATAGTATCTTATACAACTATCCAAGTATGTATTTTACACTGTATTGGTATATAAGTTACAATATTTATAAAAGGTACAACATGCATAGTCGGCATGTAAATAAATGTGTATTCAAATATACACATAAAGTTATGGGAAATTAAAAATTTGCTAATTTATTAACCGCTAAATCATGAAAATGTTTATCACGCATATACAAACTTGCCTATTTTACAATAATGCAGTTACAAATGTATTATCTACATACGAGCATTACCTAAATATATGTCATAATAGACAAAGTAAAGAGCCCGTGCAATAAATAACAATTTCGTTTTATAAATTACACAGCTAATCTTCATCTGTACCTTTCTGATACACTGCGCCAAATTTGCTCATGTACTTACGTACAAAGTCTTTTGCTTTGTGCTTAACGTTTTCATTGCATTGCAATTCATCAACACTTTTACAATGTTTTAATTCCTTTGCGAGTACAAAATGTGTCAGCTGTAACAGATTATATGGATTGTATTAAAAGAAAAAGAAAGTTAGAACTAAAGAGTTGTATCAAATTTGTTGTATTAAGGTAAAATCAACATACCTTTCTAGCTAGATGTTTAAAATCTTCAGTGTTAGTTATTCTACCTTGTTTGCAATCATTCTTTCTATACGGATTTAAAAAGTGCACCATTACATTAGCCATATTTATTCTAAATGTATCCTTAATTTTTCTTTCGGACATAGGAGACATTTCGGCTGATGTCGATTGCAACTTGCTTAATCCATGTCGCGAATGAGATTTCGATTTGTTACTCCGTCGATGTTTCCTCAACTTCTCAACATGGTCTTTCAATTTTGCTCTCTCCTTCTGCCGTCGTAATTTCTCCTTTATTTCTTTGTAAACCTTGTGGTCAATACGATCCTCTTCCCTACGTGGCTGTAACGTAAAACACTATATATAATAAATTCTGAGGCAAGATAAGTTTTCAAAGAATTTATTTTTTACTTTATATATCTACGATGTGATTTCAAATTTTACATAAAACATAAATACATAAAAACAGCCAAAGAAATAAATATATACTCACACTAATAATTCTTTCCTGTACCAGTCCTTCTCTTCTTTTCTTAGGCTCGATAAGCGGCAGTGAACTTCCAGTCAGATTGTGACCACCTAACTTTTTAGATATATTTGACCTAGATGCGCTCGAAAGACTTTCTACTGAAACACTGCTTGTCTCTATATCGTCATTCTTTTGTTCCTCGGTATGATCATCATCGAGGTCTTCGTCATCTTCGTTCGACGAGCTAGATTCTTCGCTAGATTCCGAGGTAGACGAAGAGTCTGGTTGCACCCCGATGTGATCAGGTGGTGGAGGTAGCCACTGCGATATTCTTTCTTTCACATGATAATAGTACGTTCTACCTCTGCTGTCTGTTGCACTCTTCCATTTCGGCGGCAGATCGATTGGCGGAACTTCAGGTTGCGGCGGTCGATTTTCCGCAGATGCAAATTGTTGATCAGCAGGTTTCTCGATGTGATTATAAAGGGACGTTTGAATTGATACAGTAGGTGTTCCACCGTGAACAGACACTAAACTATTCGGAAGAGGTAGTTGTCCCTCGGAATACGGCTGCGGGTGTGATATCAAAGAATAGGAAGATGTTGTCTGACTGAACACAGTTGTCTGACTTAATGAGTAAGCTACTGGTGGCACACCGGGCGGAATGCCGCTTGTAATGCCGGACGATATATCGGTTGTCATTGTCGATGGTAATACATGAGAGGTTTGGCCTATTATATTAGTAGATTGAGGGCCTACATATACAGGAGTACACTGTTGCGTTACCTCTCCTCCGTCTATAACAAGAATATTATGTCACGTATGCCGCTCTATATCGAAACTTTTAATAGGTGTATCTTACTAAAACGAAAAGTCGTGAAAAGTACTGAATATTCGTTTAGAAAGGAAATACATGTTCACTGAATATATATTACCTTGAGTAGAATAATGCTGCCATTGACCTAACGAGTGATTATAAAAAACAGGATAGCCAGTTTGAGGATCAACCATGGCAGTGGTATGGGGGTCTATACCCAGTGCCAAACATCTGTTCTCGTGCTCTTGCCACGATTCTTGTTGTTGCCGACGTTGCCTCTCCTCCTCCTCTTTCGCAACTTGCAGTGCAAATAATTGCCTACGCTCATACTTTGTCATCCGTGGTACAGGAACTAAGCTACTTCGTTCTTCGACTCTTTTCTCTTTTATTCTAATATGCTCAGTTTCCGGAGATTCTCGTCCTCTTCTTCTATCGCCACGTTTGTCTACTTCACTTCGACTATATCTATCAGATCTATGCCTAGGAATTTATGAAGCCAATTAATACAGAATAATTCACGAAGGCTGTCAGCCTCAGACATAATATATAGCTCAGACACATTCATAGGCACTATTATCTTTGCATTTCTAAACTAAGAAATGATGTCTAACAATATAAAAGTCCGCAAATCCTCTGTCGTCTCTGAGATATTAATGCTCGACTTAAAAAGCATTATTTTATAATAAATGTCTAAAGTAACCGCTGAACAATTTCTATAATTAGTTTCAATAAATTACGCTTATTACATTTTTATATAGTACAGAAAGATTTTATTTTTCCGATTTGCACCCTAACGCAGTTAATTTATTAGTTATTATAGTTTATTAACTAAATATGACATTAATATTTTTATGAAACACATACCTATCGTACGATGTCCCTCTCTTGTCTTCTTTCTCCAATTCTTCTCTATACCCGCGATCTATAATAAAATTAAAATAATTTCAAGTTGACATTAAGGAGTGTTTTTTGAGAGGCTTTAAATATGACTTGTATTTAATTAAAATTAACCTGCTTCTCTTTCATGCTCTTTCATTTGTTCAATCCTTTCTTTCTTCGGTATCCTGAAGACTTCTTTAAGATTGGACCACTCAGCAAGAAGACTAGAAGCTAAATCCGAAATAACGGTTTGTTCTGAAGCTTCTAATTTAATTTCGTTAACTGCCAAACAACTCTCAATATTGTTATTGCGCTTATCTGGAATGTCGTTTAAGCATTCAGGACTCTTCTTTTCGTTGCTGTCAGAATTACTGCTCGAATCTTCGCAGCTCAACTTTAATTTAACTTGATCATCCTCCGGAGAATCGGCATTTGGAGAAAGATACAATCCTTTCGCCCATTTCTCGATTACACCATATATCTTACTATCCATCAACATCGTCTTGTTGGGTATTGGCAGTGTATTTAGAGTTTTCAACACTTCTAGACGAAATTGTTGAGCCTCTTCTGTATCATTCGTTGCGATATCCATGACGTAACTCCAGATTAAACGCAAACCGTGATAATCCAGAAATAATCTTCGACATGGTTGTACGCCGCTTTGTATGAGACGCAGTAAACGCGTTCTGTGTTCTAGTTCTCGGCTACGAACCATTAATCTGCTTAATGTCAATGTATGCGCACGATTCTTCAAACCGCCCGAACACAGCTTATCTATTTCTTCCTCCAACTAAAATAAAACACAAAAAGATAAAGTAGGAAAGAAATTGTTCTACAACCGGCATGTAATATCAGTAATATTATCCACTGTGCAATACTCACATCTTCATCCTCCATATAATCAGCAGGTTTCTTCTCTTCTTTCTTCTTCTTTATATCCTTTTCACGCTTCTCTTTCTTCTCGATCTTCTCCTTCTCCTCCTCAGGTGTCTCACCTATCCAACCTCGACAATTCGGTGCTTCGCAATAACACTTCTGAGCTTCTTTTCTGATGGTTAAATAGAGAATAAAGAAACTCAGAAAGAGAAACTAAGTTATATAGACTATATGTACAAATACATGCAAATATCTGCTTTATAATTATTAACAGAAAATATATAATCAAGAAATATACCCATATCGTTGAAAATGGTAATCAAACGTAATTTCTTCACCAGCAGCTATGAATTTTTTATTAAAAAATCCTATTCGTAATTCTCCATTCACCGTCCACTAAAAATAATAGATACAATGTGTACAATTGTATGTTGGAGTATGTGAAATTAATTAATTCGTAGCACATGACATTTACCTTTTGTGTCTCTGCATTTGGATCACAACTATGATTAATGAATCTGGATACATTCCCTTTCATGGTAGCATCTATAATCTGGTCAGATTTTAGCGCCATGAAATAGTAATGTCTGTTTTTATCTTTGGAATACTCTTTTGCCCTACGTTTGAAATCTTTCGGATCCACGACCTCACCTACATATTCCATTATAAACTCGCCTCTGTAATCGTGAAAGTAACATGGAAATAGAAAATTTCAATTTTTCCATTCAATTTTCACCTTTCAAATAATCAATTTTATCCAAATCACATTTTATCCAAATCAAATATATCTTGTATCAAATTTTTACTTACGCCATTATATCAATAATAGCGCGCAATCCAAAGCCCTTCTTCTCTGTGCGGAATACTTCACACTTGGCATATTCACAATTTTGAAATCTCTTATTTGTACATCTATCTCCTACTACACATCTAGGTCCGCTACAATAAACAAGAAAACACGCAATATTACCATCCGTGCAATTTATTTTTATCATTGTTATATTAATTAATCTACCCATATTTATATTTATCTGTCTCGAGAAAATATTATTTCTATTTATTGTTTCAATACGTCTCCTTTATACAATCTATAGATACAAATTAGAATAAATTGAGTATATATATTTTACATCGTAAAAATGAATATTTACCATTCTATCATGAGAAGTCTATTAAGGCAATCCTCTCCACAACCAAGTTCCCCTCTCTCGATTTCTTCTTCAGTTAAGAAACAGTCGCATACCATTCTTTTAGTTTCCTTGTTTGTATATCTGATAACAACATATTACAAATATATATATCTTACGTGTGCAAAACTATTACAAGAAACAGTATTTATATATGCAATAGAGAACATAATTAATATTAGTCTTTAACGCCGTTTACTATTAATTTTACTCACCTTTCAGTAAGATATAAATTTTCACGCAAGTGCTCAAACTGACTCAGTCTTTCTTCCATTTCTCTATCCTCTGTTTCAAGAACCATCGGCAAAGGAATTTTTGCTCCAATAGTCTTTGGAATTTGTGCTATCGTTGAAACAGTAGAAATGTTACTAGATGTTAATGATGTGTCTTTAACTTGCTCTGTTTCTATATTAACTTTTATATTTGTGCTGACGATATTATGTTTCGATTCTGTGGACGTGGATTCCCCTACAGTAATAGACACAGAACGTGCTGATTCAGATAAAGGTGTAACAGATGACCCGAGCATTGACACAGAAGCAGTAACAAAACCCGCACTCGAACTGCCCATTTCGAGTTCGCTCGATCTTCGCCAGCGAGATTTTACTTTAACTGGCTTTGAAGAATCAGAATCGTATCCTGTAGTGTTGTAAGTAGTACTCAACGGTACTAAAGTATCAAGTGACGTCGATATCTTGTTAGAACTATTTTCCTTATCACATTGCGCTTCGGAGTTATCTATTTTTATTTCCTGAGCAATTGCAGGATTTATATTATTAACTACTTTTTCTTGTTGAAGAGTTGCTTTCGAAGTGTCTATACTAGGTTTTGTAACCAAGCCACGTCCACGAGATCTAAAAGTAAATTGATTTTTTCATATAAAATTTTTATTTTAATAAGTTCGGAAGATTATTCATCAACAACTTACCTCACATAATTATAATATTTTGACATGCTAATACAAAGTTTTATACGTCAATATTGAGTAACTTGAATCGTTACCTTTGTTTCATCAATCCAATAGATCGAATTCTACTGCTTCGCCTTACACCCGAACTGTTTGAGCCACTTTCGGAACCTGTTGTATCAGTACTTCCACTACGGCTTCTAAATTCAACCCTCTTGTCGATATCATTTACATTGCTCGCTACATTTTTTACATCAAGCTCCCGAATCTTACAATTAGTTAGCGACACCAATGTGTCGTTACTATTTTCACTGCTACTACATAACTTCATATCTTCACTATCGATTTTGTTGTTGTCTCCTTCACTATCTTGTAAATCATCAATGAGTCCTAAAGCCTCGATGTTTTTCTGTTGACTTGTATTTCTCTTATCTTGCATAATTTTCGATTTCAACGATATCTGATCTGTACATTGTATTTTATCATTGCAAGAACTGGACTTTAAAATATCTTGCTCTTGATTTATTATATTAATGGGCTCTATAACTTTCGAAAATATGTCTGTAACGTGAGAGCTAATAGAATTATTTGAACGATGCAGTTGCTCCATTTTATCTAATATCGACGAACTGCTTTCATCATCAATATGTACCGGCGACAGTTTTTCTACATTTAAAGGAGTTTGTACTGGAGAGTCAATACTTTCCACGCTAGAAAGATCATTCACCAACTTTTGTATTTCCTTCGAACTTATATTTTCACTTATCTGCATATCTGCCAGTTTGTTATCTAGATTGGAAACTGTGTCTTCCTTTGACAAATCTTTATACGCACTTGTTTGCAAGTTTTTATTTTCCCACTTGCAGCTATCTGGCAACAACTCGTTAGTAGAGCCAGAATAATCCTTGATAGGACATATTTGAACTGGATCAGACATCGATTCCGAAATTTCCTGTCTTATTTTGTCGTAAATTGTCTTGCCACTCTTCTGCTTCTTACCAACCTTATCTTCTAATACTGTTTTCTTTTTGTTAATATACGGTTTGTCTACATCGGAATCTATAATGTCACACTTCTCACTGCTTGAAACCACTGATTCGTCTGTATGCATCATTGATATGGAATTTTCTGGTTCACTGGCACACACACTATTAACACTTTCTTGAATAACGCGGTACTCATCGTTTGAAACGTCTTCAGATTTAGGTGCCATCACCATAGACTTAGTACCGTCCTCATTTTGTATCACAGTAAATTCCACAAAATCCTTGCCTTCCAGATTAGGTTCATTCACAAGCAGCACTTGTTCAATCATAACATTATCTTGCGGTAAATTAGCACCATCCTCTTCCACTTCCATTTCTTCACAGATTATCGTCTCCTCTATGATATCCTCTGACCATACTTCCATCTCGGCTGATATTGGCGCAGGTAAGGATTCAATGCTTGGAGGATTTGTGTTACCAACTACAACTTGTCGTACATCCTCTGGGCTAAGTTTCTCTGATTTATTAATTATGTTATCTGTATCATCTTGACTGTCGCTCTCTCCTGCGTCTCGTTTACATTCAGAAGCATCGTATACAGCGCTTTCGTCACTCATGGCTATGCTATTATTAGAAGTACCTTTATGCTTACTATACTTCTTCTGAGAATTTTGATTTTTTCTTGATGGGACTTGGCTATGATCATCACTCATAGATTTAGAATCGTCGGAATTGTTTAAGCAAGATGTCTGTGAAATCTCCCCGTTTTTCTTCTCTTCCAACTGCTTCTTGGCTATTTGTCTACTGGATTTGCGTACAGGTACATATTTATTGGATGATGATTTTACAGATGCTTTAACTTCAGTTTTACGTCTGCGTGCCATTTTGATTCCATATATATACTCTCAGTCTGAAATCATTAAAATTAGAATATAATTTGTTGCAAGAAGTGGTTATTAAACTAAGCAATATAACATATTTATTTTTTTATACGAAATACACATATTACAAGTAAAATATGGTAAATTATGCACATATATATTTAATATACAATATTGTATTTATATTAAAAAGTATTTTATCTCTGAGATATGCAATTTAATTAAGGGATAGAAACTAAAGAATTTGAGATATTGAAGTTTCCACTAAAAAATTAAGAAAATTTACTGAAAAACTGCAATATGTGATACTTATGTATATTACATGAATTCCTACGAATCTGCTGATCTTTTGAATCAATAATATATTATAGAATAAACATCAAAATTGATAGTTCTTGCAAAACCAAAAGATCTCTATTACACTTTGTAAATTTGCTTATTAAACAAGCAATAAGAATAACCAATGCTTACTCACCGTATGCTTCTAAAACTGTGTTCTGCAATTCTAAGGTAATATTCATTATTCGGGATACTCAATATGTATTCTCAAACGGACGCTGTCTTATATTCCTCCAATTTATCGGCATATCCACGAGTGAACAAGGTATTTGCTAAAACATTGGAACTAGGCTAACTCATGAGAAGATTCGGTGAGTCTGTGAGTTGTTGAAAAATTCTGCCGCCTCGACGGAGCACAAATTGTACGATGCACGATCGATCGAGCTCTCTCTTCCGTCGATCGAAATCTAATACACTCTCGCCGCATGAAATTGCTGGACGACGTTCGTTCACGTTTTGGCACTCACTCGGAAACTCGTTGATCCCGCTCGGTGATCTCGTGGCTTCCCGTTAATTCTCGCGCTGGCTCGTGATTCTCATCCAACGTGCATTAATCGCGCCGACGAGAGGTCCATCGTTAAAATGCAAGAAGAGCTCGTGTATGGAAGTATATACCGTCGATGTGCATTCTAAACGTATATACCACCGCCACTGAGCATCGCTTCTCGTTCCTCGTCCTGTGACTCGCTGGTGTTGCGAATGAAGTAGCAGCGCTATCAACGACTTGCGGTGGAAGCGTCGCGAGCTCGCCCCGTCGCGACTGCGAAGACGCTACGATACGCTGCAAGTACCACGAAACACCATATCGTTACACCATATCTTACTGTGTTACGTAGCAGCCGCGGCAGACAACCAAGTTGCACACTTACACGGTTTGCGGTTAACAACGAGGATATAATTGTTCACGATAACGAGCATCGACGAGGAGGGATCGTGAAGGTTCTGTTTCGAGAGTGACCACAGCCGCCCACAACTGACAATGACTGAACAACCGTTGGCGCTCTCACGCTTGTCCACGCGCGTTAATCGTATCAAGCATTCGTATTCTCGCACCGTTTGTTGGAAAATACGGCGGGTTCAGATTTCACTCAAGCCGAGGACGAGTGTGTTTTTGTTTCAGATGTATATCTACGACCAATAGCGGCGCGCAGTGACTCGGGGCCCTTCGGTGAACTCCACGTCCGCAGCGTGAAGCGCACAGGGCTCGGATTCTCGGGGAAATTAAGCGGAAGAAAGTCACACCATCCCGTTCATGCGCGTCCGTCTAACAAAAGTGAGAGAAACTATCGATCATTCTTATTTATAGGTGTAATGGCAATACAAGATGTAAAGATCATTGAGTTAAAGGTAACATTCGACATACGAAGACGGACTTCTCTTAGCTACAATTAACGCGTCAAGTTCGTTCTCAGCAGGATAATGGTCCTCCTTCTTCTTCTTCTCGTGTTCATATAATTTTCCTACGAAAGTCCCCTTTGAAGTACAGTATCAGAGAGAAGTAGGGATGGGCAATTATCGATCGATGAATCAATAATCGATTGTTTTTCTTAGGAGGTCGACCACTTTTTCGATATTTTTCACGCTCGATTTCTCCTATGCCAGTAGTTTTCCGCTTCGATGTCACTGGATTCTATTACTAGGAATGTTTACGACAATCGGATCGGATTTCCAAACAGATCGCGCACCTAACCAATGATATAGAGATGGACAAAATCATCGATGACTACATTTACATTAACGGTAACGTTAATCCGATTTATTATAAAACTATAGTAAGTGAACTCTTGCATACGATTAGCATATTCTTTTATATTTAAAAATATATTCCAATTAAATGCAAGGCTCGATAATTGAAACATCGATGTTTACTCATTGAGGATGCGTCGTATGGAACGTTTGTCGGATGTGCCGATTGGCTGTCGGGTAGAGAATTTCTGGAGTTTCTAACATTTTCTCTAGATGTAATACCATCCTCAACGAATATCGATACTTTTACCCATCCCTATAATGATATAGAGAATTTCCTAGGCTAATCCGATCCAGTCTATTAAGGAGAATTTACACCTTGACAGAAAAGCAGAAAGCAGAAAAGCGACAGCTAATTAGAACTCGCGCTGGTAGTAAGCAGTAGATAAAGCAGAAATTGTCGACTACCAGCGCAAGTTCTGATTGGTTGCTGCTTTTCTGTCAAGATGTAAATTCTCCCTTACCCAGTAAGAAATAACTCATCGAATCGACGTCGAAACGATCGAAATTACATTGAATTGACGTAAATTTGACATCGATTTGACGTTCAATTTTCGCTGGGCAGAAGTTCATCTCTTTAAAAAAAATCGATTTTTTTCTTCAGCTGGAATATCGTCTAAATTATAACAGGTAGAGAAAAACTTTTTAAATAAAAGTTAAATTTTAAGTTTCAAAAACACTTTACGACGTTTACAGATTTTTAAAAAATGTTACAATTTATCAGATATTCCTTTCATTCGCTCACTTTTTTTCATAATTAAAAATATTTTTTTCAACCAAATATTTCGAGAACTATTCACTTTTCTGATTTTATTCTAGTATTTTTGTATGCAGAACAAACAAAAGAACTGAATTGTGTTAAAAAACTATACTATTCTATTTATAATAAAAAAAATAAAGTTGACCTTGAAATGATCTTGAATTATTAACTATATAACAAAATTAAGGTCACTACGTTACATCTCTCTCGAAACCCTATAACTTTTATGTGAAACATTTTTCTTTGAAATGCATCGTTCAAGAGATATTTAACACGTTGAGCGCCACGCGTATTTCTAAGGCAATCCCGTTCAGGCCACGCGCGCCGCTTAGAAGCGCTGGTATTGTAGGGCCAGTGTTTCTTATTGCAGTAGAAGATAGTTAACGTTAGTTAACGTTTGGAACGTGATTCCTATAGGCATTCATTCAACACGTTACGCGCCAAGTCTGTTTTGTTTTCTTTACCGTTTGGCCCGCTAGATAAGATTTTATCGAAATGGATTCGTGACCGGTGTTCCTTTTACGACAAACCAGTTCATTGCAGTTCTTGGCCCCGTGCAGACAAAAATTTTCTTTAGCCCTGAGCGTCAAAATGTCAGTCCGAGAGTGTGAAAGCGATAGCAGCAGTGAAATTATTCTTGCTAGAAAACAGCCTAGAGTGGATGTATTTTTATCATCTGACGAGGAGGAGGAGATTGTTGGAGAATGGCATGACCCGAGGGGTAATCAGCCAAAGATGGTGCCATTTACACATCCTTCTGGGTTTGTACGTGAACATTTGCATATAGGATCAGATATAGCCGTAGAAACCAGCTATCAATTATTTGTGCCGGATGAATTGATGGAGGAAATTGCCGAACAGACAAACTTATATGCATCACAGAAAGTAGAAGATGGATACACGCAGCGCTTGGCAAAGTGGACAGAGACAAGTAAATCTGAAATAAAGAGATTTTTTGGACTGATTATATGGATGGGATTAGTAAAATTACCAGCTATACATCAATATTGGTCCAATGATCCTGCTTATTTGCAAACGTTCCCGAAAACAGTCATGTCAAGGAACAGATTTGAACTGTTACTAAGAATGCTACATTTTGTAGACAACAAAAACAATAATGGTTCCAATTGTTTATTTAAAATACAACCAATTATAGACACTTTGGAAACCAATTACCAAAAATATTACAATCCAACCGAGGACATATGCATTGACGAATCCTTGATTCCCTTTCGTGGCCGCATTATATATAGGCAATATCTAAAACAAAAGCGCCATAAATATGGAATTAAAATATTTAAATTGTGCTGTGGATCGGGATATACGTATGCTTTCCGTGTATACACAGGGAAAACTTTAGAAAAAGAAATGCCTACTAACATTGTAATGTCTCTTTGCAAAGATTTATTCGATAAGGGACACACGCTCTACACTGACAACTGGTACACGAGCTTAAAATTAGCGGAAAAATTAATCAATAAAAACACCCATTTAGTGGGAACATTACGTTCAAATCGACGAGGATATTCGCACCAAGTGATATCAACAAAATTAAAACGAGGAGAAATCGTGGCAAAAGAAAATAACAAAGGAATAACCATTTTGAAATGGAGAGATAAGAAGGACATCCTAGTTCTATCGACAAAGCACTCGTCAGAAATGATGAATGTTGAATGCCGATCCGGAAATAAGTGCAAGCCACAAATTATAGTAGACTACAACAGACAAAAGGCAGCTGTCGACTTATCTGACCAAATGAATGCCTACAGCAATCCGTTACGCAGGACCATAAAATGGTATCGAAAACTAGCCTTCGAATTGTTACTAAATACTACGGTTGTAAATAGTTACATTCTATACAAAGATATTACGAAGCAGAAAATTAGCATTACTGAATTCCGGAAAGAATTAGCACTATCCCTTACAAGTTGTGAAAAAAAAGACATTTCATCGAACAGAAATGCAAGAAGATCTAAAAAACGACAACATAAACTCCAAAGAAAACCGGGAAAAGTCTCTGAAGTACGGAAATATTGTAAATTATGTTATGATAAAAATGCAACAGAAGATGATAGAGCAATGGCCAGAAAAAAGACTAAGCGAGTTGTCACATTTTGTAATAGCTGTAAAGGAGAACCGTTTTTATGTTTACCGTGTTTCAATGAAATCCATTAGTCCTGTAATGAATTAAAATTAAATAAATTTTAAATAAATTTTCTGTAATTCCATAAAACAGTGTAAATTTTATAGTTCTATATCATGTTACACGCTGTCAGCCAGCGGTGATCGACGCGGCCTAAACGGAAAGTCTAGTGTCAGCCACCGATGGCTGACGTGGCGCTCAACGTGTTAATAGGATAGCCTGTATACCTTTTCCTTTTTGTTATAATATATATATATAAATGCTAAAATCTAATTAATTAAATGTACATACAATATATTGTGTATCAGTTTTTTTATTCAATTTATAAGAAAACAGATACATAAATATATATTGGTGTATATTAAAAACGAAATACAAAATATTAATATTAATATAAAGTCAGGAGGCAAAGACATATATTTATAGAATATATCTTCTGTTTCTTATAAGTACATTCATCTCATAGGTCCTCTATTTTACAAATTCCTATAAACATTTCCTATTCACATTTAAAATTGCCCTTGTTAAAAACATTCATATCTAGAATTGTTGTCAGTCTTAATTTCTTATGCTCTCTTAGTAACATTTCAACGGTATCATGCTTCAAGCTATTAAACTGTCCTGTTAATTTTAACACGATAATCATACAATTTACTATTTTCAATTTTATCTGTTTACAATTATAACATAGTGAGCTAATAGTTCTTTCAGTTCTGTACACATATTTTGCACAAAATTATGTAAGATAAAAAATAAGTTGTTGAGCTTTCTATGGAACAATCGAAAGATATAAGGAAACAATATTGGCTGCAACATTTAGTCCCGTTACATTCAGTGGAAAGATATCCAATCGTTTGACGTCTTTAAAATTTTCGTGTCGTTTAGAAATCTATAGTTAATTAAGAGATATTTAAAACATCATACGTTATCGATCAATCGTGAATATGCTCATCCGACTTCATTCGAGAGTTTTCATCGTTAAGATCTTTAATTCTCTCCGCATATGTAGATTTTCATATGCATCTTATTCCTGCATCTGCTCCGTCAGTTTTCGTTGTAACTTGAACAAGCCAAACGAGCAAATCCATAATTTTAATTATTAAATATACAATTAATAATCCTCGTAAATCTCCATAATAATTGTATTTCCTTATTTTGAATTACTTGCAAGCGCATTATTCGTTATAATCTTTCTTTCTGTTCGAGATAAAAGTTATTCATGTATCAACATATTCGGAAATGGTCCCATGAAGAGAATATTCTACCTCATACATACGACTATAATTCCCCATAAAATTCCACCAAAATGCAAAATATATACTTCTAGTAAATAATTAATGATATTATATGTATAAAACGCTTTATGTCAGGGACTCTGCAATTGCTTATTATCAGATTTTGTCTTCGTAAGCGACACATTAGGTACGGTTAAGCTATCGCTTCGCTCTTGAAGGCTTTCAGACGTATTCGTAGTGCTGGATCTTTCGCTGTTGGAATTTGAGTTTTGAAATTTAGGTGTGGAAGTTCTCCCTTTCAAAAGCACAGCTTGCTCCGTGCTCTTGTTGGCCTCTTTGATCGATATCGACGACACGTCACTAATGTCGGGGAGGCCACTTGGTTCAAGATGTTTCTTGGTCGGAGAAATCATCCTTCTAGCCGTATTTATCGGCGTAATGTCCGAATTTGAAGATGAGCTAAGAGCGCTCGCTTCCCGTGTTTTCTTCAGTGTCGTAACAGCCCAGCTCAAGCCTAGCTTCTTTAGAGCAGTTTCCATCTCCTCCGGAGATGAAGCATACTTCAGTAGATCTGACGACGGGGAACTCGTTATCTCAGAAATGCCGGACAATCCGGAGAAGCTATTCAAGCTGGTAGATGTTGTTTTATGCTGGCTATTTTTGTGCTGATTATTCAAATCAGTACTTATAGAAGAACCGAGCCCAAATAAGTCTTTTGCTTGAGGAACGGGCTCCTCGCTGATTGTGTTACATTGTAACTGTTTATTATATTTCTCAAGTGCGTAATCCGTCCAATCTCGTTCAGCTTCAGTTTTTGTTGCCGCAATGCGATCAGTCGCATTTTTCGATTTTCCCGGAGAGCCGCAGACGGTTGTAGTTTTCTGTGATCTTTGGATCGGGGGAATCAACTCGGCGGAATGTTTCATGTCGCTCGTCGGATCCGCCATTATCTCGGCGATATTTTGATTCTGTTGAACAGGTAAAGGAGCCACATGTACCGACGGTTTCGCACCAATGGCGGACCTGAATGGCTCCGCATCTCCTGTCGTCCTTTTCAACAAAATTTTCTGCGAATCTTCCATCGTACCCACAGCCGTACTTTTAAGTTTCGTCGGACTTTTGATGCTTTTATTAACTGTATCCGTTGTGTCGAACTCCACTATCGTTGACAATTCATGCCCTGACGATTCCAATTCTTGCCTATGTTTGAATGAAATGATTGATGTATCTTACGTGATGTGAAGGGAATTTAAGGCACAAATGTTACTTGAAGATTTATATTGATGCGCAAATCATTAGGAAAATCTTACCAATGCGGTGCATTTAACAGTGTAACAGGAGGTTTGGGCCTTGCGCTTACTGATGTCACAGTTCCGTGAGTACGTGCTACTTTGGGAATACTCGTTAATATGGGAATGAAACCGTTCGCCTTCGTTATCTAAAAATTGTAAAATGATATATTTATACATCCACAAATTATATTTCACTAATAATATATATATGTATATATATATATATATATATATATATATATCATAGCTTTCTAGAATTTTCAAGATTATTTTTGAAACGTTAAACATGTCAGATACGTACACACAGATGTAAAGCTACGATATAAAATATAATCTTCATGTACACAAAAATATTACCTCTTGCACAGAGTTCGCAGTGCCAGTTTCCTTTTTGTGCTCTAATAAAATATTGTTTTTCAGGTTAGCGTTGTTATCAAGAGGCGGCATTTTCTCTTGTACAGAAGTTTCGTCGTTCCCTTTCAAACTGACGAAAGCGGAACTCGCTTTATCCAGACTTTTACTTTGTTCCAGAATTTCCTTCGACAATTTCTCTATTACTTCCTCTTCGTGAAGAGAAAGTGCACACGGAGGCCAAGACTTACGTTCTGGTGTTCTTATTGCGTTGGGCATTGCTTGAGGTTTTTGCTGCATTTTAAATCGATTAAGCTGTATATTAACTTTCTCGTCATTTATAACCTTTGGCTTAGCCTTGTCTCTCGCTACTTCGGATTTCTGTACAGGAGCTGTATCTATTGATTTACTTCGAGAAGTACTTGTGATCGCTTGAGCCTCGACGTCCGGCGCGAGTTCGTAATCGGAGTCTCCGTTCCCAATGATTTTTTGCGACTCGAAGAGAGTTTTCGCAAGCTGCGAGTGAATTGCTTCTATGCTCTCGATCAGTTTGCGTATCGCTTGCACATCATTGCGCGCCGGTCTGAACACAGGCAACTGCATCAAACTCGTCTCATCACTGGGGCTGATTAACGTAAGGTCCATGTCTGCAATAAGTGTGCGATATCATCAAAAGTTTCCCGCAGAAGATACATTCTCCCTACGACGATGTCTTGCACACACACACAGGGGAGATCGATTCCGCTCGGTAAGAAGAGAATCGAAGGATGAGAAGTATGAAGAAACGATAAAACTAAATAATATCACCTTACCCTTTTGCTCATTTCGCACTCTTTCAATGAGATCGGTTAGAGACGCTATTCTCTCCGCGCACAAGTTCTGCAGATCCTCGTACTTCTGCAGCATCTCGGGGCAATTTTTCAGCGCGTAGTCGTGAATATCGTCGAGTTTCACGTGCAACAATCTGCAATGAGGATTCTTGCACGTGCAGACTCTCGACGATTCTTGCGAAGCGGCAGGCTGGCATTCCGACGCTGCGGCTTCCCGCGGGCCAACGTCCGTCGACGGATCTGTTAACGGGAACTTTCGGGTCGACGACAATATATCGTTGTTCAGGAAATCATTCGAATTGTACATGAGCATCCTGCTGATCTTGTCACGGTGCGGAATCCGGTTGGACGGCATCCTCATTGTCCGCGGCGAAGGGGTTTCCGGCGTGGAGACCGGGCTGATGTCTTGCCGCAATCTCCTCAATTCCTCGTTTGCTGAGGAATCTAGTATCTCTAGGATCGGCGTGATGTTGGTCAAAGTGTCGAGCATCGATCGGGGCTTCACCGGCGGCGGGCTCGCGAACGATGTCGACGTAGTGTCCGAAGTGTCCTTTATTCGGATCCACTTCTTCATTTGCGTCCGTACGCGATACGGCTTGCCCGTAGACCCATCCTGATCGTTCACGCCCGAAATCGTCTGCGAACTTTCCGCACTGGCGTCTATCGACACTCTCGTCTCCTGCAGGGACGGGTCAGTCTCGTCGTTGAATGCCGACTTGCTCACGCGTATATCGACCCTTCTGCTCGCTGTATCCGGCGCATCGATGGTGCACCTCGTCTTCTTCTGGGGACTGGTCAGGCGAGAACTCGAATGGGACCTCGAGAACCTCTTCACGGGCGACGTAGCTTTAGAGCTGACAGATGTCGAGCGTATTTTCTGATAAACCCGAGGTGACGGTCGCTTCGGTACCTTCAGGTTGTTGCTTTTCCTCTTCTTAGGCGTTACCGTCACCTCCTTCTCGTCGATCTCGATGATCATCCCGGTAACGTCAGAGCTCGTCGAATCGTTGCTACTGTCGTCCGTCTCCGGCGTGAGGACGGTTATTTGCGGCTCAATCGGATGAGACACCTGAGTGGGTATATCTCTACTGGAATGCGCGACTTCGGCGTTTTCTCGAGGTAATTCCACCTGTACGCTCTTATCTTCCGCCGGGCTGGTCTGCACGGCGATCTCGATCTTCCGCGTAGGCGACTTCCTCTCCGGCTTCTTCTTCACCTTACAACCCTTCTTCGCGCACTCATTGTAATTAGACATGTTGATGACTGTAACCTCAGGTGACGCAGGCTTGGCAGTATCGGCGACCTGCGCCGCCGTTGCTTGAACCGGCGTTCTCTCCTCAAAGAGCGGCTTTATACTGGCATTGAACACGTTGTCCGGCAGGCTCGCGCCAAATTCCTTCAGCAGTAATCTCTTTTGCCTCTCGACTTTCTTCAACATGTCTAATATCTGTTCTTCGCGCGACACCTCGCTGTCTTGCTCCCCTTGGTTAGACTGACACACCGTGATTCCCTCTTCATCGAGGTGTGGCTCTTGCCACGTTGAATGAGGCACGTCACTGCACACCCCGTCTTTCTTCTGCGGCGTTGGTGACGTCATCGGTCGCTCGGCGAGGTGAGAATATCGGCTCAGTGTACCGTCCGCTGTGCACAAAACATTTTTAGCCGCACGATTCATCTTCCTCTGATGTTCTTCCTGGCACTTGCTCCTCTGACGTAATCGCGCGTGTGTATCCTCCTAATTGAGCACGAAAAACGTTTGAATATTAAAAACAAATCATTCGTTTCTGTACGAAACATCTGAGAATCTTCTTCGAGGACTTTAACAAACACATATCACACACATCTCTGATGTACCCACCGCTTTAGAATGAATCTGGCTGGCTTTCAGCTTGCGTTCTTCTTGCGCGAGATGCTCCAGGTTCTTTATAAGCGCTTGATAATCTCTCCGCACCTTTTCTCGTAAAATCGCGTCCTGACCGCGACGCTGAGCACTTAACTTGCGACTTACGGCTGTATGCGTTTTCTCATCCTCCACATCTTTCATCGCTCGTGCTGCTTCGATCGCGCTTGGCTGGTCGCAGAAGTATCGCAGAAAAACGTATCGTTACGAACAGATCGCAATACAAATTGTAATACTTGCAATAATTTCAAGGATCGCATGAAGATTAAAGCAATATGTAAATCAGTACTACAATGAACAAACCTCGCTTCCAATATCGATTCTTTCAACGATGCCAAGAGGCGTGTTGTAGACATTTCTTTGACGTGTATCGTGATCGTATAATTGTACTTTGCTGCCCGTTAAAACAGCCGTTTTCGTAGCTTTCTTACACGCAACCTGTTCCGCACTGCCATCGGAAAAGTATGAGGAGTCGTCACTAACTGAACTAGAGCTACTACTACTGATGCTACTTGTATCTGATGTATCTTGCGTGTAATCCTCTGGATTATACCTGAGATATTACGAAGAACTATTATGAGATATCGGGTGATGACTGTGCGATAAGTATATATTTATAACAACGTACCTTGCTACTTTGTCAGCTTTAGCTGGTGTAGTGCTTACAACTGGCACCGTCCTTCGTGGTAATTGCTCATCGCTCGCATCATCAGCTATATGTTCGATATAGTCACTATCAGCTTTCTTCTTGGAGGTCATTCTACAAGGTTGGTTTTGTAAGCCTGAGGGACCTGGCTTTGGCGACAAAGTCTTTTGATGTTCCTAAACAAGATATACGCAAGAATTTTTCGTTGTTCTCAAAGATATATATTCAAGATTTAGACACATATGACATATGCGTGTACAAATATTACGTACTTTAGCATTAGGTTTCTTTGTTTTTTTAGATGATTTTTTAGGAAGAGCTTTGTTACTCTTCCCGTTCGGTGTTAATCTTTCATGAACGATTTCTTCACCGGAGCCTTCCGTTGGATAACTTGTCTTTGAATTACTACCCTCCTCAGGTATCGTTACTGGCTTTGGTTGTTTTATCATCATTGCAGCCCTCTTATTTTCTCCTTCCCGTACCTTGTGAAGTCTTTCTTGATGTTGAGTCACTTCTGCACTATCCTTCTAAAGATATAATTAATTACATTGCGATAAAAATGATCCTATACAAGTTATATAGTATATAGGTAGATAAGTGTTGCTTCCGTTACCTGTTTAATTTCTTTCATACGTTGCGCAGCTTCTTTTCCCCTTTTTAATGCCGCAGCTCTAGCTTTTCTTTCTTCTTCTTCTAATATCGCATCTGCATCTGGTTGCAAAGCAGCAGAAGCATGAGCTTGACCAATATCTTCCAAGTCTTCCTGATACTTCTCTTGTATCTCCATGATCTTTTTATTTTGCATTTGCCTAAATTCTGACTTTGCATCTTTCTCCAATTTCTCAAGTTCTTCCCTTGCTATTTTTTTGGCACGTTCCAAAAGTCTACTTGATATTTCCTTGGATTGCTGACGAACCTGTGATATAAAGTTTCTCTTAGCGTCATATCAGGTCTAGTAGAATCTTAAAATCTTAGGGAAAACAGAGATTTATCACAAGACATGGTTATTTGCAAATAATATTTACAATTTCAGATAATACAACTAAAAGTCGAAAATTGAGAATCTAGTTTAGTTAGAAGAATCTAAAAATTATGCAGTGTGCTTTATGAATTTATATTTGATTTACATCTACAAGAAGGCTAAGTCCGAATTTCAGTAAGATTGTATCATACACACACACACCTGCTCCAGTCGTAACCTCCGTCGGCGATCACGCTCGTTCTTTTTGATTTGATCTAAGTCCGACAATACCATTCTCCCACGGCGTATATTTACAGGATTCCCGTTCACAGTAACATGTATCGACATATTTTATTGAAATGAGATCGTGTCGAACTTACATGGGCTTTTCATTAATCAACTATCTAAAGTTTCACTCAAAATTAAAATGACAGGAACGGCACGAACGGCCATTCTGATAGTTGTCCAATGTTGATACCTTATGAATGACAACAACCCGTTACTTTTATTGGTTCGAAAGTCTCCGCTAGGAGCCGCCACCGTTGTCGAGAAAAGATTGAGATTTTAGTACGATTCAACGATAAGATGAATACCTGCTTTATTTATGTAGTTCGGCTCAATGGCTGAATTCAGCAGAAAGAGGAGGGAGTGGATTGTGTACCTCAAAACGTAGTGAGAATTACAAAAGTGAATGAACTTAATAGAATATTTGTAATTTCATTGATCAACACCTAGTAAATTTGTTCACTTTTGTAATTTTCACTACATTTTAAGATACACAATCGACTCTCAGCTCAGAAAGGCTATAATTATTTTCAAGATAAGATGAAAATTACAAAAGTGAACCAAATTCACTAGGTATTGACCAAGGATAAAATCTGAAAATTACAATTATTTCTCGGCGGTTGATCCTCGTCTAACAAAGTTCATGCAGTCACACGTTCAACAAGGTGGGTCAAATATTCTGTTGCTTTTTCAATCAATCTCATCGACTAGGCACTTTTTATTCTCACAATAAGTTGAAGATAAGGAAATATTTAAAAGTAAACAAAATATGTAAAAAGTATATAAAATACCTGAAATATAAAATATATTGCAGTATTTATTTGAATGGAATCCTTAAAAGTCATCTATTATATGTCAAACCTATTAGTTTTCGTTAAGAAAGAATAATATGTTATAAAATAATAGGCAATAAGGAATTAAAAAGAGAAAAAAATCTTGTTTGATAAAGATTTTATTTTACAAATTAATAAAATATAAATAGGATGAACTAGTAATAAAACATATATTGATAATTATCACATATAAAATTATTAGGAACTTGTTAAATTAGACTATTAAATAATTTCTAAGCAATTCGGACAAACTATTCTTTTATGTTCTCCGCAAAGACTTTGCCTGCATATCGTACAAAAAGAGCGGCCTTTTCTATCTTTGTGTATTTTGCTTATCTTACAAACGTTACATCTACCAAGTTTTTCTATTGAAGGTACAGACGAGTCCCAAGAGTCAGCTGGGGCATCCCAAGTATGAGCAACATTCTCTTTAATTCCCAGGAATTCTATAATGGACAGTCTAATTGAATGTGACAAATTACGTGCTTCCAGTCTTCTCTTAGCCTGCGGCTCTGCCAAAGAATAAGCAAGATATTTTAGGAAATCAGTCCTGACTGTTCCTGAGAATTGAGCAAACTTTTTATTTAGCTTGAAAATCACGTAGGAATTTAATGCCGCGAGATCTAAAACGCTATAAAAATATCTCAGCGTCCATCTTCTTGTTTGTCGTTTTGTGCTTTTATGTTGACACAGTTTGTCGACCATGTCAACTCCTCCTTTAGTCATATTGTAGAATAGAATCACTTCTGGTTTCCCATCTTCATCTATCATTCCACTTGAGTGCATTGTGGACAAGACAATAGTATTTTTATTCTTCTTAGGAATAAACGAAATTAACACGTTGTTGTCATCATATAGAAATTTTGAAGTTTCTTGTCTGATTTTTAGCATCATAGGTGGGATCTGAGGTTTATCTTTTCTCAAAGACCCAACAACCGTTAGCCTCCTTTCTTGCATTTCTTGTGCCAGTTCATAAGACATAAACCAATTATCCACGGTCACGTTCCTATCCGAATTTTTTATTGGTTCTGTGAGACTTAGAACATATTGCGTGGGGTCCAATAAATCATTCTTTCCTCTTTTTTTGCAGCCAATGTACGGTATTCCCGAACAAAAATAGAATGTTTTGGCATCGCACATTGAAATTATTTTCATGCCATATTCATCAGGCTTTTGGGGTTGGAAGAGTTTGAAAGGGCACCTCTCTCTAAACCCTAGAATAATTTCATCAACGGTCAAATAGTCTGATGGAGTGTAGTAAGTTTTGCAGTTATCGTTGAACATATCCCAGAATTCTCTAAAAGGCGCAAACGAATCAGTTGATTTTCTGGCTTGACGTGTTCTTTTGTCGTCAAAACGAAGACATCGTAGGAGGAATTCGAATCTATTCTTAGACATCACGCATCGAAATATGGGAGGTCCGTATCTATTAGAAAACATATCAGCCGTACGGAGATCGGAGTCCTTTAGCACTCCACCCATATAAAGCAGCCCTAATAAGGCTTTTATCTCTATAGGATCAGTAGGTGCTATATACCACTGCTTTGATGCATACTTGGTCGATTTTTTTCTTATTTTTGCATTGGTGAATTCGACAATAATGTTAATCATCTCGTCTGTAATAAATAAAGAAAAAATATCATTTTCTTGAGTGAGCCCACAAGCAGCAGCGTTCGGCCTGGGGAGATGAGAAATGATGTTCTGTTGAAGTGTCTTTGCTGCTTTCGGGTATAGTGGTAAGTTTGTCCAAATTGTTTCCATATCTTTGCCAAGAAAAAATTTTCTCTCATCTTCTAATGGCTCATAGCTACTATTTAGAACATCATCTGAACTGATTGACATATCGTCTTCCTCGTCGACACTGAACTCATCATCTTGTATATCATCGTTATGAAGTATTTCATCTTCATTTTCTGAGCAGGAATCGCTTGAGAAGGAATCCTCTTCATTTTCAGCGTTCTGTCTTTCGATCTCGCAATAACTTTCCTCCAGAGACACAAAATTCTCCATTGTTGATATTGCTGAAAAAATTCATATCTAATTATTTTAAGAATAATTATTAACAATTATTAAGTCATTATTATTATACTAATTACTTAAAAAAATAATAAAATAAAAGAGTTATCCATTTTTCGCCTTTAATTGGTAGAAAAATAATTACAATTATTATTACTGTTAATTTATGACAAATACTTTCCAGATAGACAAAAGTATTGAACATAGTATGCAAATATTTAGGCAAATATTTAGTATTCATAGTCGGGTCTTATATTTAAAAAGTCTCAAATTTATCTTCAAATGCTTTACAGCCAATGAAACGATCCGTACAGTATCTGAAGATGAACTTAAGATGATCTTAAACATAAGATTTAACTATGAATATCGGCCTTAATGTATACATTGTGACGCTAGTGCAACAACACATGTTTAAAATATGCTTGTATCGCAAAATGTTCATTTGTTACGCCATAATTTTAATCCAAGTATTGATTTCTTATCACTACAATAATTCCAGGACAATTACGTTCTATTATTATAATTCCGGGCAAAATAAGCAGCAATATTTATGACATCAGAATATCGCCGTATTAATAGCATCGAATGATCTTTGAAGAAGAATGGAATCTCTTACATGCTGACAAAATGCATGTTATACGAGGACGTATCTTAACATATTTAGTCTAGCCACAATATAAACAATATGCTGAAATATGTCTGGTTTCGTCTAAAAATAATAAAATAAAAAAATTAAGAAAAACTGACGTTAATAACAAGGTGAGTCGAATTCGAACGGGAGACCTTGTTGAAAGGGAGAATTAGGCCTTATATAAGGAAAAAAAAGACAGTCACCCATCTTCTTACCTTATCTAATGCTATCAGTCGCTGCGAGAAGACTGGCTTGAAAGGCTCATGAAACCACAGCACACCATGCTTCACCGGCGCGTGCGCAGAAACAGTAGAATATGGATCCGGTCGAATCCGACCCAATCTTTAGTCTTTTCTTTTTAGCTGAACTGACTGTATTAGAGTTCAAGAAACTTACGCACACTGAGGCATGAGAATTTCGTTGCACGCTTCACGCGCTTCAACGTGTATGTACATTTCTTAACTAGTGCAACCATATCAGCTAAAAAGAACAGGCCACTTGTTGGACGAGGATTAACCAAGATGCATCGGTTTTAATTGAAGTTTTTCGCGAGATTTTTCGAGTTGAGAAAGCCTTGACAGTCTAGGTTAAATTACTTCACATAGTGCATGTGATATAATATTACGAGCATGCGCACAGTATATCACGCGCGATATTTTAATTTGTACGAAACACACTATGTTGTGCATGTATATGTATATTGTTTACCAATTTTATGTGTTCGCAATTACATGTTCCTAACATTTAAATTTCCAAGCAACACTACAACTCTCCCTTCACTATATTGTGATATCATATGCGGATGTAAATACATTATTATTATTCAATCTTAAATGATATTTTCTATATATATTGATAATTTTGAATGTGCTAAAAATTAGAGAGAGGAATCTACACATGCTGTGTAAAAGCATTTCAACTTAAGTATAAATTAATATCTAATCTTTTTTTACAATGTCCTTAGTATTATAAATGAACAACAAACTGACAATGGTTCAAGCAATATATTGAATAACAAATTCGTCTGATGTGACATTAATATTAACAATGTGACCTGATAATCTTGTATTTTTTTTTTCTTTCATGGCCTTATGTTTCTATTGCAAGATACACCATTGTCCACTAAAGAAATACTGATATCAGGAATTCATGTTGCAGAAATATTGACCACATAGTCCAACACAGGCCGCTCGATTACTTAGAACATAGAACAGAAGACTCTTTCCTTCTTCGCACGCGATGCCTCTATTTGACAGACTGGTTGTCACAGCCAAGAGCCGAGTAATCCATGGTAGAACTCGGCAGGCCTCCAGGTGTGTGTCGACCATCGTCAAGAACAACGCTGACAGTGGTGTTTCTTCTGAGCCACCAATCAGAAAGTCAGTATTTGTATCGCAATCCACGGACGTGTTTACCAATCTGGCCTGGGAGGACTGGTTGTATCGCCATTACGACTTCACCAACCATCACGTCCTACTCTTGTGGAGGAACGATCCCTGCGTGGTGTACGGCCGACATCAGAATCCATGGAAAGAATGCAACGTCCAGACAGCTAAAAGGAGAGGAATAACGTTGGTGCGCCGAAACAGCGGCGGCGGTACCGTTTATCATGACAACGGCAATCTCAATTTGTCCTTCTTCACACCGCGAGCGAGATACAATCGAAAGTATAATCTGCACATTATTACGAGGGCCCTGTTTCGCGAGTGGCGCTTGGAGAGCGTGGTCAATAAGCGCGACGACATCGTCGTCGAGGGAAATTACAAGGTATTTTTGAATATAAAATATCTGACAAGTCACTTCGTTGAGCGGCCGAGGTAACGTGAAAATTCTCCGCAGGTATCTGGAACAGCTGCAAAATTAGGACGACCGAATGCTTATCACCATTGCACGCTGTTGGTCGGCGTTGATAAGAACAGCCTGAGGTTGGCTCTTGAGAGAAAAGAGGTACAGAAGGCGTCACTAGTGCTTCCTGGTTCGTGTATTTAAATAACGTTTAAACCGGAAGAGATAACTTGAAGTCATTGTTGCGATAACTTACGACAACGAATGTAAGAGACGATATCAACGATCGTATTTACGGATTTTCAGGACGATATCGTTACGAACGCGACGATTTCTATACGTTCGCCAATAAAGAATCTGATCGACGTGAACGCGGATATCGAGATGGATAAACTCATAACCGTTATCGGCGAGGAATATCTACGTACGAAAGCTCTGGTTCTTGAAGATGAAGAACGTGAATTGTCCCAACAGGAAATGGAACTCCAGTTTATCGATCCAACCGAACGTTTATACACTGGTGCGTAACGAAATGCTTTATAACGTAATATTTACGATATTAAAATCATCGTCACGATTGTCAAGCGTGGAACGATCATCGGTTGATAACGACTTCTTCAAGATCCACCGTCTCGGTAAATTTGAATTGCAGGCTTGGATAAGCTGACAAGCGAGTTTCGCTCCTGGGATTGGAATTTCGGCAGGACGCCGAAATTTACAGTGACCCGAACATTAGAAGCTACCGGCCACGACGGTAAAGTGCAACGTCTGAATTTCAACGTGGAGGTGCAGAATGGCGTCGTGGAGGAAGTCAAGATGAACCCGCCCGGCGGATCAACGATGGTAGACTTCGGCGAAGATGTGAGCGTGATTGCGGCCAATTTCTGCGGCGCAAAATACAGCCACGAAATAATAGAAAATATAATCGCTGCGATTAGTTGTAAGGCCATCGCGCCAAGGACTCGAATCGAGGACGAAAGCAACGTGATTGTCACTCAATAATAGGAAAATTGTAGCTGTTTTAAGTAATTTTATTTGTCCCAACGAAAATAATGAATTAAAACGAGCACGAGGCCACAATCCTCAATATGCTTAACATATAGTGATATTGTAGGCATGATTCAACGTGAATAATCGTTATCGGTTTTCCAGATAACTACGTATATATGTATATATTATGTATATATTATGTGTACATAGTAACTCATATGTTGCATATCGTGATGCGCAACAGAAAGAATATTAATAGTTCGGCACAGTTGATTAAACAAGGAAAGCTTCGTCACTAGTTGACTGTCACGCTCCGACAATTTTGACCAATGACAAAAGTGTCGAAAGAAAAGGGCAGGGAGGGGGAAAGAGAGAGAGAGAGAGAGAGAGAGAGAGAGAGACAATAAAGAAAAGCTTCGTCCATCAAGAATTTTTATGATTTATAATTCGTACATTAATTTTCATGTTCCATTAATTTGTGCATTGATGTATGTTGTATACAAGTGTTGATAGCCATTTGATAGTCAACCGTACTTTGTCTGTCCTCGTTAGTACCATTGCCTTTTCGCCCGCGGATATCGGCGACAACAAGATATTGGTCTCCGCGAGGCGCGTACGTGACGCGAAACACGCGTTACGCGCGGCGCGAAAATCCGGAGGAACCACCGCGACAGCGGCGGCACTTCGTGTTTTCGTGTCGGTCTCCTTACCCCGTTGCATTGAGCAGAAGCAATTTCGGATTCATCGCGTAAACGGCGGAAATTTCTCTTTCGTCATCACGTTTCGTCCGACTCACGTTTGCGAGTTATTGCCGATCGATGCTTAATTCAATTTTCAACGATCATTTCCTCGAGTCTGCCGGATGGTGCGGATGTTTCGACGTCGCGAAAGAAAGGCCCGCGCTTCGTTGAAAAGGAACCAATTATGCGATCGTTATTCTTCCTGCGAATCACTGTGCATACGTGCTGTGCGAAGGTTATTAGAACGATCGAGTCAGTACGCATCGATTGTTCAACGTCCGTCACGAGATGCAGGTGGTGCAACGAGGCTTTGGTTCTCGTGACGGCTAGTACACAATTGGTGGCGGTCGGAACGGCCGCAAAATACCAGCCACGATGTTTGTCATACACGAGTGGTAGCGGAGGGGCCCGTTAACAGGCTGCACCGTCACTGGGACCGTCTGCAGGAATCGCGATCCGCACACATCAAATTTATTCCGGTTTCGATCCCTCCTCCGAATCCGAGTACCACTCGCGGCAGCGAACGGAGGACAGGAGTACCTCCGCCGAGTACCGAACGCCAGTTAATCGACTTGGGTAGAATCGCACGTATCCGGACCTTCGGAATCCATATTCCCCGTAAGTCTCGACACCGTTGCATCTGTTTCTTTTTCATTTTCCTCCCCTCGCATTTCGCTGCTTATCTCTGCCAATTTCGTTTTCCTCGTTCTCTCGCTCTCGCATTTTTCATCCCGCCTCCCCTCTCCCCCGCACTCACCAAACTCGGAAAATATCCTTTTTCGAAATCCAAATGCGCAGACCGTGACGATCAATTGCACGAACAGCAACGTTGGACCGATCGGTTTTTTTCTCGGCGCAAAGTCTTTCGCGATGTCGTGCGTAGTCAGCGAAATCCACGGATCATGCGTGTCGGTCATGCGTGTGACGCTCATGATCACGGAGTATATTCGATATGACGTTTACGTCGGGATTGAATTGATCCTTTTTTTCCCCTTTTATTCGTGTACACGTGTAAGCGCGTTCGACGAGTCGACAACGCTAATCCGGCAATAACACGCACGGGATTATCTATTTATCGGCGCAGGCCTTAATTGCTCCCTCTCCTCCGTAGTAACGCGATAGTAATTGACACGTGAACGAGACTTTTCACGGACTTGGAACGACGCAGCATATTATTACGGACCCACGCAGCATCGTCGTAAGCGCGATATCAAATATATACGCGTGTATGCATATACACGACGGAATAAACACGGGGGAAGCGCGAAGTCGCGAAGTCTCGGGCGCGCTCGAGCGCCCGCGTTTCAGAGACGGCAAGCGATAACACGCGCGCGCGCGCGCGCGATCGCTGTTTACCACGGCGTGATCGCGACTTTATTTATAGAGAAGTTGCAAATCAGACCGAGGCAGAAATAAATCCCGGTAAAACGTTTTGCACGGGAGATATCGCGGATCGATGCCAGAACATATCGACATCATCCCAAGCAGCACGTGGACATTCGGGGAACGTTCACTTTACGTTCACTTGATTTGGTTACAGCATAATTGTGATACTGCGACACTTTTGCTACGTAAGGTATATACTGAAGGTTCTAAAAGCGTAATGTCCTTCGAACGTTTCCATTTTGTTTGAATATAAGCAAACCGAGTGCCGTAAAGCGACGTTCCTCGAATATTTACGTGCTGCTTGGGATCATACTCGGAATTAATTCCGCATGTAGCTTAATCTACAAGTACATGATATGACTATTTTACCTAACGACAGATATCAATACACTGAATTTTGAACCTCGAACTTTGAACGTGTCGCTGTTTTCAGTCATTAATAATTCGAAATTTTTCGTGGTTCTTTGCAAAATGGTGGAGAGGACTTTTCCGCTCGGTTTAATCCATTTTGCACCCAAGTAGCATTTCACGAATTACCGGACGTCTTATATATATATATTCGATATAGATACGCACATATTATTATAAATGATTCGGCCTATTCATCATGCGCGCCTTGATGGAGAGAATGTTCGACATGCATTTGAATAAATAAAACGCAAAATACCTGTGTTTACGAGCGTTAATACGGGTCATTATAACTCAGCATATTATTATACAATTAATGAGCACGGTAAAAATATTTTACGAAAAAAGCAAACAGAATTAATGCCGCGATATCTCTTTGTGAATGCAAACGAGGCGGGCAGCGTAGAATGTAGGAACCAAAGTAACGCGCGTTCGAAAGGATAACCGGAGGAATATGGTACGCTGCATGTAAATTCAATTCGGGGAATACTTATTTCACATATGATCCAGAGTTGTTGACACGCGTTTTAGCAATTCAAAACATCCGCGAGATGCGAATATGCCAGTGCTCCGTCACACCGAAACAGAGAGAGAGAGAAAGAAAGAATGAAAGAGAGAAGGTCACGCAGACCGAAACTTCTTCTACTGATGCGAAACACAAGAAGAGCGCGCCGTATATACTTGACCAATGGTACAACGAGGTCCATACGCAAAAGGAGGGAAAGAATTACGCAACCTACGAGCTCTGTAAACGCCATGGGGCACACGAGCGAACAAGCGACGGGTCGTCTTTGGATTGGCTCGTTGGATTTGTATTTTGTATCCTCGACAGTTAACGAAATCGTCGCAGCCGGACGTGTATCGCAAACAAGACGTCTGGCGATAACGCGAGACTAACTTTTCCCGACGACGGGGGGTCCTTATCGCGATATTTACGCGCCTGGCACAAAATTCGATCGCGCGGTGGGGATAGACGGTACACGCGGGAGCGCAGCCGAGGAGGGTGTCCGCGGCGGTACGGTATCACGTGCCAGTCGGATGTACTTTGTGCTCCGAACCCAGATAACCTAACCTCTCGCACACGCTGAAAGAACCTCCCATCTGTCTCCCCACCTCGGCCTCGCGGCGGTGACTACGTGCGCGCAGCGCGTTAATATAATATCAAATCCGAAGGCTCCTCGCCATCCACTGCGAACTCGCGATCGGCACCGACTCGAGAGAAAGAGAGCGCTCACGACGACGACGTTTCCGGCAAATACACCGCGCATCGACCTCGCTCAAGCACCGACGACGACGGCAGTTTGAGAGAGAGCTGCTCCTCTGTGGCTCTCGTCGACTCGTATAATCAACAACCGGGGCCCGTCCAGCGACGCAGCCGACGTAGCTGAGGTCGGCAGACCGAAGAGGAAAAGGAAAAGAGCAGCCGACCGCACCTCCGGTAAAAGCGGGTAAATTTAACTCGGTTCAAACTGTCAGCACACGGAGGAATGCAAAAGGACTGCCGAGATTGTCTGGGTATCCGGTACCGCATCAACACCCTGGACCAGACCTGGAAGTGGCTGCACCAGACCATCGCCCTGCACGACTACCTGATCTCTATAACTGCCAGCCAGACCAACGACGTCTCGAATCGTTGCCGTTGTTAGGGTCCGCTCTCTGCTCACCGAGAGAGAGAGAGAGAGATTGATTGATTGATTGATTGATTGATTGATCGTTAACCCGAGGCTGACCTCATAGCGCGCGGTACAAGGTATATATAAGGGAAAAGAAATATATATACACACACCTCACGACTCATTAATCAAAGACTGATACATACACACATATATATAAATATATATATATATATATATATATCAATATATATATCAATAGTCCACATCACCGACGTAATAATCAGGTGATCCAAGCGAATTCTCTCTCTCTCCGGGCGCAAATTCAGCAGCAGGGGCTGCTTCCTCGCGAGAACCATGTCTCTGTTCGGTAGACTGACCCTCCTCGCCAGACGCTGCGTACCCCGCGACGGAATGCAGCGGGGCTCTAGGTATGCGTCGAGCTACGCCGATTACACCGGCGACAGCGGCGTGTCCTCCGATCCTTCGATCAGAAAGTCAGTATTTATATCGCAGTCCACGGATGTGTTCACCAATCTGGCGCTGGAGGACTGGCTCTACCGCAACTACGACTTCGGCGATCGCCACGTGCTGCTGCTCTGGAGGAACGATCCCTGCGTGGTGTACGGACGACATCAGAACCCGTGGAAGGAGTGCAACATCCGGGCGGCCGAGAAGAGCGGGATAGCCCTGGCGCGCCGGAACAGCGGCGGCGGTACCGTCTATCACGACAACGGCAATCTCAACCTGTCCTTCTTCACGCCGCGCGAGAGGTGCAACCGCAAGTACAACCTGCAGATCATCACAAGGGCGCTGTTCCGCGAGTGGCGCCTGAAGAGCGTGATCGACGAGCACGACGACATCGTCGTCGAGGGAGACTACAAGGTATCCTTGAGCGAGCGCGATTCGTCCCGCTTACTTCCCTGGTAGAACAGAAAATAACAATGACGTGACGAAATGGGTCCGAGTGACGTCACAATGACGAGAGAACGACTATAAAATTCACGTTTTCGTCACTTTTTCATCATACTGACGTCACTCTTGACGTTGTTTTCTGTTCTCTGTGGATTATTCTTTTCTCGTTGTCAGAATCGTTAATTTTGCTTTTCAACCTTCACGCGCGGTAAAAACGATAAAACAACAATGGTAAAAAACCGATTGGAAACGATTTGAACGCGGTTAAGTCCGAAGTACAGCCGGTGGTCCAATGAAAAGGTGTCCTTTTATTTATTTCATCGTTTTTAACAGAAAGAACCGCTTCTTGCCGTTTTTTTTTTTTTTCCGAAAAATACCAGTTTTTATCACCGACGTGGGTTTTATCCAAGAAAATCTGGAATTCGGCCAATCCTTCTAAAATATACGTGGATCCTCGAGTGGGAGCAATGTAAAACGTCTCCGGTTGCTTTCCAGCAAGAGACACAAGTCGACAGAAGTTTAGTTGCATCATCTGTTGTCCTCCTCTCTTTACCTAAGGACAAATGATAATATAGCTACACTTGTGTCGACTTGTGCCTCTCGCTTGAAAGCAAGCTTTGATACTAAGCGGCATCAGCTTAGCTCATCGCTGAGGCGAAGAGGGGGCAGTAGGCGTGACGTCTGAGACGATCGTCGTTGTTATCTCCCAAGTGCGTCTTTTAATAGATATGTGTCCAAAAATCTTATCAAAGTGCGGATAATTTGCGCTGCCTTCGCACGACACAGCGCTTCGATACGAGCGACGTAGCACACAACCGGCGAAAAGAAAAAAAAAGATCTTATCGTTACGAAACTATACGCTTGCTCTCGTACGCCGAAAATTTTTTTATCTTCGCGACTGAGAGGATATTGTTTGTTTATCGCCCTCCCCCTCCCCCTCTCGATATCGTCGCGTATCAACACGATACATATCGTTATATAAAGTTTCTCTCTCTCTCTCTCTCTCTCTCTCTGTAAAAATGTTTCCGCCAACTTGGAGAATTCTAGCGAAAAACAATCTCGCGTTTATCTTCGCTGATCATTCTATTAATTACATTACAATGTTTATAGATATCCGGGACAGCTGCGAAGTTAGGACGGCCGAATGCTTATCACCACTGCACGCTACTGGTCGGTGTGGATAAGGACAATCTGAACTTAGCTCTTGAGAGAAAAGAGGTAGAGTTTTCTCCGATATGGCCGGGGCCGTATTTTCCTCGCGGATGCAGAACGCTTTCGTAACGCAATAATGCTGCTACGGTATTGCGACACCAATATGCCACATTGCTAATGTGTTTTCAGGATGACATTGTCACGAACGCGACAACTTCTTCCGCGCACTCGCCAATAAAGAATCTGCTTGACGTGAACTCGAATATCGGAATCGATAAGCTCATAACCGCCATTGGCAAGGAGTATCTGCGCACGAATGCCCTCATTCTCAAAGACGGAGGGCAAAAGCTGCTTGAGAAGCAAATGGGATTTCAGTTTATCAATCCGAGCGAAGGCTGGTTCCCTGGTACGTTAAAAAAAGAAGTAAACCAATGTAGATAAAGCAATACGATTGTGAGTGACGAGACAAACGTAAACTTTTCTTATCTTACCATCGGGCGCGGTTATCGACGATGAAATAATTAAGCGCGGTGTTGACTTCGAATTATATTCAATAAACTCGAATTACGCAGGTTTGGATAAACTGACCAACGATCTTCGCTCCTGGGACTGGAATTTCGGCAAGACGCCGAAATTTACGGTCACTCGGGATTTTGAGGTAACCACGCACGATGGTAAGGTGCACCGGCTGAATTTGCGCTTGGATGTTCAGGACGGCATCGTGGAGGAAGTCCGCATGAGCCTGCCCAACGAACTGGCGTCGGCCGATTTCGATCAGGATGCGAGTGTGATCACTAATCTCTGCGGCACGAGATACAATCATGAAATAACGGACAATATAATCGCTGCGATTGGTTGTAAGGTCGACGCGTCGAACACCATTCAAACCGAAGACAAAAGCAATGCAATGATTACTCAGTAGATCGGCCGGGTCTTGGACACAATCACATGTGCATTTATATCGGTTGTATTTGTACGAGGGTGATGAAAAATTTCGGGGTATTTGCTTTAACACAGAACAGCGTGATTTGACACAACTTGACAAGTAATGTTATCATTTATTAATAATAATGTAAGTGTATATGTGGTATATATGTAACGTATTACGTATGTATAGTATTTTAAACATATCCGTGGAAAAAGATGAAAAAAAAAGGTTTGCTGTTATTGGCAGTGTATCAAACGTTATCAATGCAATGTTCGTTTATTATGCGATGTTTATTTAATAATGTCATAATAAAAGACTAGACTAATACTTGCGTACTCATGTTAGCGCCTCTTCGCAAATATAATCACGAATAATCTATCAATATTTTGTATCACTGAGAATATACATGCATATCAGTTATATTTTATCGGTATTAATACACGATAAACACGGGGTGTTCTAGAATACCGCCGCGCGTCCGCATCTATACGTGTGCGAAATTTCAAGGAACGGATCGGCAACAGCTTGAAAAATCACTTATCTAAAAATAATAAATTACCTAAATACGTCCTGTGCGACTTGTAGCGGCGTTATTGCATGCTCTACTCGAGGGACGATAAAGTCCCGGCCGCAGCATAACTTCACGATACGGCGGCGGCGGAGTGCCCGGGCAAGATATTGTCCCACTGTCGTTGAAGGTAGAATCGTCAAATTGCCATAGATTCTGCAGTAACGAGACTCTCTGAATGTCGTTGCTCCTTCGCTCGCGATATCCGCGGCAGCACGTTACACTCCTCGTTAGCCAAATGTAACACGCGAACGTACCGCACGCGCTACCGAGTACAAATCCGAACGCGAAGAACCAATACGGCGAGATGGCGTTTAGCGTTCTCGTTAAATCCGACTCCTCCGTCGTGTTGTTAACGCAAACGGTCGTGTTTCCGATGGCCGGCATAGGTGTACAATTTTTATTTGGCGTTAGCGTGTCTTTCTTCATGTTTTTGTTGGCAATTTTCGGCGGTCGACACTTCTCGCATTTCTTCTGTGGATCGTAGAGTATCATCTTCTCGAATTTCTTCGGTCCTGGGATTTTGACGCACACCGCACTGTGTTCTATGTTATTGCTCGTCAGATACAGTTCCAGATCGTGCATCAGTTTGTCGCAGGACCATGGGTTTCTGTGAAACAAGTTACGATGCATTTATAACGCTTTTCATTATCTCAGCACATTTTCTCGAATTATTCAATCTAACTTGCCGATAAGCGTACGTAAAGAAATGGCTAGATTTACATAATACATACATAGTACTATATTTTATATATGCTATATGTAGAATGTATAGAAAAATGTAAGTTATTTTGATGCCCAGCTTCTAGCTCGTTGGCTTACCCTTCTATCGATATTTCTGTTAATTTCAATGGTTGCAATACAGCGCTGTCCAACTGAATCATCAAGTTATTCGAAAGATCAAGGGTATGAAGATGCGAAAGCCCATCGAACGTGTCCGCTGGAACATGGCTAATTTGACACGAGTCCAGAGCCAGATTCTATAAATAAAATACTAATAATAATAATAATGTAATATTTTTAAAATATATTAAAATATCCCGCGCGAAGAGGAACGTGACGCACTCTACGTGAAGCGAATGCCGGTAACACATTTCTGTACATTTTTGTATGCGAAGTAAATGTTAACTTGCGTGCATTAATTACAACATTTTCACTGTTACCGTGATCGAAGGACTCTGTAACTTCGGCACGCGAGAATTGAAATTGTTCTTTGACAGTTGGAGAATCCGCAAACTCTTTGCCGGCACAAAAGTCTTCGGGAGGAGATAGTGAAGGTGATTTTGCGACAGATCCAGAACTGCTAATTCGGATAATCCATCAAAAGCGTGCATGCCGATGTCGCTGATTGTGTTCGCTGAGAGATTTAAGTATATGAGCTCCGACAGTCCTATATTCTAAAAAATAAACAACAAACATATTATATTTTTATATGCAACGTCATACAATTAATGAGAGAAATCTTTTAATAATCACTTGAACTCCGACAATTCTATATTCTAAAAAATACACAACAAATGTTATATTTTTACATACAATATCCACTATAATTAACCACGAAAATCTTTTCATAATAAATACTTGAGTTTCAACCGTCCTATATTTAAAAAAAAAATACGCGACAAACGTTATATTTTTATGTGCGATATCTTGTACAATTAACGAGAGAAGTCTCTTAATATAGTAATTAATATAATATTATAGCAAATAAGTAAATCTGTATTACAATAAATATCGTAATCAGTTCTCGAGCGATATAGTCGAGGGTCCTTGGATGCGCTCGAAGGATCCTCGAGCAAGATTAAACGCAACGTGAAATAGCGAGGATACCCGAGATCTCGAGTGCGCGCGGGAGCCGAAAATTTCATCCCTAAAGCGCCCGCCGCGTTCACTCACCGCTAATTCGTAATCGTCCAATTCGGATATCGAGTTCCTCGACACGTCCATAGCCTGCACGTCGCTCGACGCACCTGTATGAATACTGTAAAGATGGCGGCCGATGCAGGAGACACGATGCAATTCGTACCACGTATCGCACACGCAAAACGACGGGCACGAAGCGGCGGAGCGCGTCGGCACACCGTTCGCGAGCACATCGAGGACGAGGGCGACGAGTACGCTTTCGAGCATTTTGCGCGTCATGCCGGGCGGGGCCGAAATTCAAAATGCACGGAGAATCGAGCGCAACGGTCCCGCAGTTCGACGGGTCATCCTTGTTATCCGGTAATTTCACGTCTGATACATATCGTCGCCTGGTCTTGGCGAGGCACGACGCGAGTCCCCCCGTCGTCGTGTGTGTGCTGCCGTAATCTTATCTCGCTAACTCGTATGACGAAGCAGTATATCGAGATTCGTCATACCTTGCTCGCTACCTCGTTATACTCGTTTGTACCTTTTGTTTTCTGCGAATCACGACCGCCGACCGATGGGTATCCGCGATAAGTGCCGTCGGAAAAGCGGTGTCCGAGGCGCCCGCTCAAGGGGACGCGTTTCCCGGGACAAAGTCCTCTCGCAAGTTTTCCTCTAAAACTGCAGCCGGGAACAATGGCCTGTGCCACTAATGCTACTACCATGGCGCGAGGCGTTTCTTAGAAACAGTACTTTACCGCAAGCCGAAAGGAACCGCGATAAACTTCGCGCCGCTTCGACGGGACAGCCGGAGGACAAATGAGAACTTCTCCCCGAGTTCTCGAGACCGCAAAGCTGGCCCCCTCCGAGTTCAGCTGACTTTGGGCGCGCGATCAGCTCGGGAGAGAGACATTCTCACAGTCGGTTTCCCCGCATTCAAATGACTTTAAACGCGGCACCGGTGGGTCAATACGGCATTTAAACGATTACGAAACGGCGAGTCCGCTCTCTACCTGCCGCCCCGCCGACTCCGCTCGACTTTTTCGCTGCCGGGTCTAGCGTGTGTTGTGTTTACAGTTTTTCAAGACGGAACACACACACACACACGCACACCTCGACGTAGACTCTGAGCGATACATGGTACACGTAACTCTCGAGTTTCAATCGCGCTCTCTCATAACTCGGCGGATATTCTCTCTCGAGCCGGCCATTATACACGCTTGAATTAACTTAATTGCAAGTATCGTGACTTAATTGCGAATACCGCAGGTCCCGGCATTCACCGCGGCGCGCGTTGTCGAGCCCAGCAGCGCTCCGCCGTGAATCCGGCAGACGGACTGACGACGCGCTGAAAGATCCGCGGAATCGCGGATCAAACGCACGGGAAGGCCGGTGGATTTTGGCAAACGCTCGATTACCCCAATGGCACACTTCTCCTTCCGCACTTATAACAAGGGTCGGAGGTGCCCGAGAGAGAAAAAGAGCATTCTCTAAAGTACAGTCACAGTGTGTATTACTGCTAACAGTCAATAGTCACTAATGATAAAAGTCATAGTTATAAGTGTAGCACTACAAGTCAGTAAAATTTCGCTGCAAAAGCCTATCGATAGTGACAACTGTTTCCATCGGAAGGATGTAACTGCAGAAACGGTGAAGAGAGATTATTTATTATACTTTTTTTATTATCTTAATCTCACTCTTAAGATAACTGTCAATGGATTCTTGCCCTGAAATATTCTTAATTATATTTTACTGATTTGATCTTATATCATACTTGAAAAACACGCTTTTATCCTGATAGGACTTGAGAACTCGAACCTTCAGGCTCTTGAGTCTGCTGCCGTACCAATTACGCCAGATACGACACACAGTCGAACGCATATATGATATGTTCATATGTATGTACACATATTTCTGCTGCGGGACGCCTAAAAGCGATTTACAATGAATCTTTCACAAGCCGAAATCAATGAAGCATCAGATTTAAAAAAATGGAAGTGGAGGAGTTTCCATTAAAAATGAGTGAATATTCACTTATTATCGAATGCTGTTTTAATGATTCAATTAGTGACATTTTCATTGCTTCAACTTAAGAGAGAGAGAGAGAGAGAGAGAGCGCTAAATAACAGCGAGCAGCGCGGCATTGCGCAACGTGTCCACGGAAATAAATGTAGGATAGGCTGCTGGGAACGCGTCGCCTTCTGTTCGGCCTTAACCACTGGTCCTGCCGTTTCGCTCCCTCCCTCCGGTCCTCCTTGCCGTCCGCAACATCTTCCGGCCATTTTCAATCGCTCTCTCGGTTCTCTCTGTTCGCGCGCGCGGTCGATCGCGCGCGCACAGCCTTACCTTCGCGAGCAACGACGCCGCCGGGCGGCCGATCGATCGTCCACGGCGACGCGAGACAAAGGTCTCGAATTAGCTCGGCATTTAATAGTCCGCGGCCTCGAAACTCCATGATGCAGGCGGACACGAGGACATTCGCCGGGCGTCTGCCGTCCGGCGGTCAATTGAGGAAAAGCGCGTTACTACGCATCGGCCGGACGGACGGACGCGAGAACGCGTCGTGCCGGGAGCAGCGTCGCCGCCAGCTCTCCCAGACCATCCACTCTTCCGTGTTTCGTCACTGGCGCCCTCAGCTGACGGCGCGCGCTCTCTTCGTGCATCGCCGCGAGCCAGCCGCGTACGTGCGCATTTCCCGGCATCCACCGATGAGTACACGCGCGTCGATATCCGACACGCTCGGCCTCCGAACGACGAGGAACAACATGGGGAGATGCCGCGACGAACGGCAGGCACGATGCGGAGGAAATGCCCGCCTCGACGACGAGACGAGCGTCGTCGCCTTCCGCCCGCGGCTGTGACAACAATGCACGGTGCGCGCAGACCCTCCACTCGCCGTGTGTCGTCACCGGGCGACTCAGCTGACGCAAAATGGCCGACCAGCACTGACAGCTGAAGCTGAAAGCGCGGTTTTCTCTGGAGGAACGCGAGCCGCGCCGCGACCGAGGCCGCCGGCGTGGCCGATGCGCGTGCGACCGGGCGTCGTCGAGGGGGCCCGGTCGCAGCGCGACGTATTTCACGGGGAATACGGTACAGTATGGTATCGGGGCGGCAAGTGGCACGTCTGGCGAAGCGAGGAGCTTTGCCGAGCGGCCGGTCACTCGCGCGTCGTTTCGTCACCGGCGTTCTCAGCTGACGGCGGCCCGTCCGGGCGTATTTAGCGTCAACAGCTGATCGCTGCAGCCGCCAGGACGGCCCGAGCGGAGAACCGCGTCCGCTCTCTGGCACCCTCGGCGAAGAGAGAGAAAGCTTCTCTCTCTCTCGCGGCATCTCGCCCGCGTCCGAGCATCGTACGCGTTCGTTACCAGATGCACTACGCCGTAAAGTCGGCGTCGCCTCGTAGGGAACGAGGGGACGCCGGGGACGCCGAGTACGCAAGCTCGTCGGGGAGGGGAGCGGTGGGGGTGAGGAACGGGGCCGAGATCGGAGCGGAGGGTCTGGCCGAGCGAGCGTCTCTGCCTAGGGTTCTAGCTTGCGATTTTTTCCCGTTCCTCTCGTTGTCCGGGCGGTGGGCCAATCGGAGTAAGTAGGTCAGCGCGTTCGGCCAATCGGCGCTCGAGGCCGAGTCACGTGGGTTTGTTGTTATCTATCAGCTGTTTTTCCCGGACGGGCGGGCGGCCGGCCGGCGCAGTGAAAGCCGCTTGGTAGTCAGTCCTCAGTCCTTCCCCGGTCGCTCAGCTGTGCATCACATGTCGGCCGCCGCGAGAGACTCTGTCGCGTTCTCGAACACTACCAGCGCGCACGTACAACCTCGGACCGGTCAGGCCGCCGTCTACCACTTGCGTTTCCGTCTATTGTCGGCGTGCGTCCCGCAATTCTGTATTATGCTGTCAGCCGCGTGCACGTCAACGCATCGCCACGAATCGATCACGAAGTGCCTCGAATATGCGGACGGCGTGACAAATCCGGGCGACAGCGCACGCCGCTTTGTTGATACGCTGAGTTCTGTGTTCAGGCCGCGGAGGCCGCCGCGTCCATCCAGCGTCTGAGCCGGTGGCTCGCGCTTCGTAGACGAAGACGGCGATTGAGAGCCCCGAGTGAATTTGAGCCGCCCACCGGCTGTCGTCTACGCCGGGCGGCAGGTACCTACACACACACAACAGTGCGTACGAAAAAACCACGGAGAGTACGATGACCTAAGGGGGCGGGTAGTGCGACAGCAGGTAGCGCGCAGTAGAGAACCGAAGGGAGGCAGTGCGCTCTCTCTCCCTCAGCGTGAGGCCGTCTCAGTGCCGTTCGTTGTTTTTTTTTTCGCCAGTGCGTGTGCCAAGTGAGAGTGAAGGAGCGAACGGTTTCGAGAGAAGATCGCTGCGCGCATGTGTGCGTTATCGCGCTGCGAGTTTCGAACTTTCCTGCAGCACAACGTGCCGCGACTCCGTAGATCGCGCGCGCGGATCCTCTCTCTCTCTTTCTCGGCTCTCTGCGAGAAGAACATTTTGTCGACGTACGGACAAAGTGTGCGCGTCGCGGCCGCGCGAAGAAGAGCTGCGTGAATGAACGGAGGTGTGGTGCATCGTGCGAGTGGTCCGCGTCCGAGTGCGTCGCAGCACGACGACGCCGGCTTCAGGCGTCGCGAGAAGACTGTCGCCGGCGAGACGGTGCGAGTGATCGTCGGCCCGGCGGAGAGGAGGATAGCAGCGGCAGCGATAGGATCGGCTAACGATCCGCGCTGCGCGTCGCCGAGCGAGATATCGTCGCGTCCCCGGCGGAAGCTGCGAATAATGTCGACGGGCAAGAGGCTGGCGAAGCGCAGCATCATCGGCACCAGGGTGTGCGCGCCCGGCGACGACGGCAAGTACTACTGCGGCGTGATCCACGCCGTCAAGACGCCGCAGCCGGCCGATTCGGGTCAGAGCGTCACGGCGAAGACGCTCTACTCGGTGCGCTTCGACTCCGTGCCGGGCGGCCATCCGCCGAGCGCCGAGTACTCGGACCGCGACCTCATCGGCCCGGGCTTCGGCACCGTCACCAGCACGCGACTCGTGCCCGGTCAGAAGGTCTATCTCACCTACAACGGCAGGGAGATACACGCGGAGGTCACGCAGCATCGCCAACAGCTCGACGAGGTGGACGTGGTCATTGCCCCGAACGGACAGGAGGTGAGTGTCGTCGTCTCTTGTACGAGCGTTGTACTTGCATTGTACCTGCGGGCGAAATTTCTCGTCTCCCCAGCCGTAAATCGTGCTCTCGTGGAAGATGAAAGTGCGAACGACGATTTCAAGCTCGATGTTCGCTCCGAATTAGGCCGCGCTTTTTCAGACTCTAGAGTGTTGAACGAGTCACCCCAGTCTTGGAGGGAAAGGGAACCGAGTACTGGTTGAGTTAAGACGAATAAACCTGCCGTCGTTGAGAGAGAGAGAGAGAGAGGCGGACTATTTTCGAAATTACCGCAAGAGACTAGATCCGGAGCTGGAGTTCGCTCGGCTCCCGTTCGACGAAGTCGAGGGACCGTCCGCTCCGAGGATCAACAAGTTACTCGGCTACTACGGGAAACTTCCATCTCGAGGTTTCCCGTTGTGCTTCCCGACGGAAATTATTTTTTCAGCATTCCGATCGTCCCCGATCCGACGAGTAGTGGATACTTCCGGCCGGTGCTGCGGGAATCGCCGGGGTGATTATTATTTGCGCGATCGCGCGAAAACGCCGTCGGTCAAGAATTAACAACGCACGGCGGCGGCGCCGATGGTGTCGCGATCGAGGGGACAAGAACGCGTTTCTTGCTCGTGAGAACAAAGAAGCGTCTCCGATGAACCTAGACAAAGACCCCCGGAGTCGACGTCACGCGCGCACGTGCGCTATTTTTCATTTTTATTCGCGCCGCGCTCGCAGAAATTAAAAAAAGCTGCGGTTGATGTTGCGCGGCGTCCAGTCTCTCTCTCTCTCTCTCTCGGGGAGCCATTTATAGACACCGTGTCGCGGTATTCTTAGTATTAACGGCGGGTTAATGCGCCTTAAGAAGATTAACGAATCGGACGGGCGTAATATCGCGCGGGCATACCGTGGCGTATACGACGATATGGCGTCATCCCGGGTATACACGCTTTCTTTCTTTCTCTCTCTCTCGCCGAGTCCTACCGTCGCATCGACGACGCAGAGGCAAGTTAGCACGCGTCAAAGGCGGAGGAGCCAGTGCGCTTGCGCTCGCGCTACCGCTCGTTCGCGCAATGATTGTGCGAATACTCGCCTCTACGGAGCGATGAAACCGACGTTCGCCCGATAACGTCGACAGTGTGACGTCACCGAATGCCGGAGCGTGATCCACTTTCGTCAGAATCGCGCGTCGCGATTCCGCTTAAAATCCCGGCGGCGGAGACGCGTTTCGCGAACGCGGCACACAACACATCCTAAGGTCGAGCCTCTTTCTTTCTCTCTCTCTCTCTCTCTTTATCTACTTATCTCGGTCTATCTCGCGAGTCGAAGATAATCCGGAGCGAGCTTACAAAACCTCATATCCGGCGGACGAGGGCGGAGCGACAAAATATCAAGATACGCTTGCTATTAAAAAGAAAGAGTCGTAAAACGTCGCCGGCCGGGAGAACGCCGATGCCGCGCGCGGGCGAGCGCGCGCGCGCGTGTGTCGTTAATCAGAAAATTTAATTTTCGTGACCTCGTTCCTAAAGTGGACGATCGAGTGGCTGGCCCATTTACGCGGTGCGCATGAGCGCGATGCTCCCTCTGCTTTGACGGGATAGATGATAGTAGTAGAAGGGGGGAGGGAGGGGGAGCGGGGGGAAGGAAGCTCTCTTCACATCGCACGCGTTGCATCCCAATTCGAGCGCGTTGGGTAGACCTGAGGTTCGACATTGGAAAATCCGGGCGTGCCCCCTTTCTTTTTCTCTTTTTTCTCCCCCCCTTCTCTCTCTCTCTCTCCCCCTCTCTCCAACTGCGCTCTGACCCGCTGCTTCTCGCCTTCTCGTCGCGTCGCCTTCGACGGGGAAAGCGTCGGGGCACAATAATCAACGAGGTGATAACATCTGAGCTAACTCGGATTTGGAAACTTTCACTTTGTGTCGCGCCTTGCGTCGGATATGCGCGTCGCTCTTCGTCCAATCTATTCGATCGAATATCTCTTGGACACGTATTTCGAGTAATCGAACGGATCGTATCGTCGAGAAAAATCTCGCTGTGAGGACCAACGTGTCACTCAGTGCGAAACACAGCAAATTAACAGAACTAGGATCGAGGAATGTCTCGTTATGCGGAGCCGAGACGGTAAAATTGAAAGTCGATAAGTGGATGGGTTAACGAGTGGGTTAACAGAGGGAAACGCTCGTGTGTCGTTGACGTCACACGATACGTACGCGACGCGCGATATCCGACAATTTTCTCTCTCGGGGTCGGCTCGAATTACGTGACATCCCGCCGCGCGCGCATTTTTGCACGCTCGTGGAAACGCGACACGAGCATGCCTCGATAAATGCTTCTTATAACCCTAAATTGCCGGCGAAGTAAACTTTGCTCACTCGGGTCTTGATATACATCTTTTTACCGTGAACTTTGAAAAACTTTGCTCAGAGTCAAGATTCGCACGAGTTGTTTCGCGTTTTATTTTCACCCGAGAAACGGGCGTTAAGGAAAACCGCACGATACGTGAATAGGTTTCGATATCACCGGCGGGTCCGAAATAAGGTCGAATAAAGATTTCGTACACGATGACACGTGTCTGCTCGATACGCACCAATGCAACAATTCGGAGCCGTTAAATCGAGAAATCTGCGGGAGAGAGATCACCAACGGTTAACGAAAAGTTAAGGAATATCATATATATGAGACGGGGATCAGGCGCGATAATTAAGTAACACTCCATCCGAGTAATACCCGCTAATCCCCGGTAACACCTGCAGCTCATACGTCGGAGTTCTCGCGCGTAGGGATTTGAGCCCTCAGGTAGAGCACGTAGGTATTACGCTCGGTGAAATGTGTTGGAGAGATGCGTATAGTCGCTACGATACCGCTACGTGGGCGCGGTAAGATTCGTAATGAGAGGCACTGGGTAGGGGCGACGGCGGCAGCTCCACGCATGTAAACGCGAGCGAGCGAGTGTGTGAGCGAGCGCGGCTTTTATGCGCGCGAAGCGGATACGGTAGTACTCGCCGGTGCACCGGCTACCGGGGTGACCCCACGTGGAACGCATTAACGCAATATCTCTCTCTACCTCCGTTAGACAGCTCAGGCGTGACCAGCGCGGCTCCATTTCGTAGAAATTGCGCTGCGCCGTGGAAAAACGAACCGGATCCGCGGCGGTACGCCGCGCGCGCGCGCGCGCGCGCGCGTCCGGTTTTTCGCGACTTTTATTGTATCGCGCGCTTTAACGCGCGTCGCCGCGCCGCATCGCGCATCGCCGATGGTGATAGTAGTGCTGGTGGTAGTGATGGTGATAATGATGCTTTGGGAATCGCTCGACCAACTGTGGCGCGTCTGTGATTTACGAGCGAATACCAACGACAAATGCGTGATATTTTGTAGCGTGGATCGGGCTGCATGGAGAGAGATAGAGAGAGAGAGAGAGAGAGATGGAAAGCGTTTATCAACATTTAAGGGCGGAACTGTCTAAGAACGTTTAATACAGTGTAATGATACAATAATATTATGATATAAAGTTATATCAATGAAGTCATTAATGTATAAAAAAGGGGAGAGAGAGAGAGAGAGAGATGAATATGTTTGTAATTTTTATAAATAATGTTCTTTATAAATTTTTTAAGACAGAAAACTAAAAATCAGTAATTCAAGTTGAGTTTAAAAGTCTATTTGTTTTGTAGAAACTGTCTCCCTCGCAAACTTTTATTTAGAAAATATTTTACTTGGATCATATTTAACGAGTAAAATATTTTCCAGGCAAATTATCCAAGTATTAAAATATTTACCTGATCCAAGTAAGATCTTATTTAATCCAAGTATAAATTTGTTAAAGAGTATTGGAGTATTTACTTAATTATTTGCTCAATAGCATTTTTTTCCTATGTACCTTCTGAGACAAGAAAATCAGTATCAGTTGTTCGTTCTAAGAGTTTATTTTGTGAATATAAATATATACATTTATGATAAAACATTGTTTTTTTTAACAATTTTTAAATCTATTCTAGTGAGGAGCTACATTACCACCTCTACTCCTCTTTGAACCATCAGTGTCGCTACATTTCTATAAATAACGTCCGAAGTAATGAATATTTCATAACTTTTAATCTAGAATCGATTTGAACAACACTGACGAATATAACCGTTAAGTTTTCAATTTAAAATATTGTATAATATAAATATATATATATATATATATATATATATATATATAAATATACATCAATTTAAAATATTGTACAAAATAAATATATATATAAATATTATTCAATATATATTATATATTTTATAGAGAGAGAGAGAGAGGGAGAATTCCGTGTCATTAGCGGTACCCGAGAGCGGATTTTCGAGTGCTTTTCCCTCCATACGGTAATCCATCGCGTTGATTTCCCGTGACGTCCGCGTGCACGCGTGAGCGCGACCGCGAGTCTTCCGTCGGCGAGTCCTCGCGTGATATTATCGTGGAAGAGGTTTTCACGCCATGCGGCGGCCGTGGCGTCGACGCCTATACAGTACTGTCGCTATGGGCTCTAAATCGTCAGGCGCCACGATTAATGGGCCGATAGGAATTCCGAGGCGTACCATGACGAGTCCTACGGACGATATCGTGGGCGTTTATTTTCACGCGCACGTCATAGGAAGCGCGCGCGACTCGGACATTTTTAACGGACCGCGAAGGGGGTCTATTTTTCCGTCTCGCCGTGGAACAGGCGTGAGGATTTCCAGTACCCCCGCGAGTTCGCGCGTATCTTCACGCATGGCCGTGGCGCGGCCGATTGAAATGTTAATTCGCCATTAACCTTTAACTGCTCACGCGAATCGGAGGTGTTCGAGTTCGACGGCCCCGAGCTGCCGAAACTCGAGGTGCAATTTCGCGGATTATCGATCCCTCGTTCTCGAGAAACGACGGTGGATATCCTGAGATTTTGAATTTCACGAAGGGTGTGCGCGAAGAAGGAGGACAAAACGCGGCGCCGCGACTGCTCACGTCACTGTGCGGACGCGAGAGTGCGACACGAAA